TTTGTTGAATGTCGAATTGTCTCTGAAATCTCAAAGCTAGAAATTCCAAAAGAAAAAGGTTTAAAACGTTGCATCAGGGAACGAACCCCCATGCTCTAGGCGGAACGCTAAATCGTTATCCAGTAGGCCACCAATAGACCTTTTTCCCCGTCAGAAAGCAGCGTTTTAAAGCAATTGTTTAAAGCATCAAAGACTAGAAGCTGTATAAAAAGAAAAGTATCCAAAAAGTTGTATCAGGGATTGAACTCGGATCTTGTGAGTGGCAGGCGAACTCGCTAGCCAGTCGGCCACCACCCTATTTCTCACCGGCGAGGAAAAAAGGGTTTTAAAACATTTTTGACCGAAATTTTCGATTGAAAGAAAGTCATTTGTCAAATTTTGATTTCAGAAAAATCAAAACCCTGATTTCTTCGATTTTAAAACATAAAATTAAAGTAATTAACAAATAAATACCACAAAATTTCATTTAGATTTTATAATTCAATTCAATTCACCTATCTTTCCTCTTAAAACCAACCCAAAAGCCCAAAAGCCCAAAAACCCAATTTTTCCTATCACAAATCGAATCTATAAGCTTTCAAGTATCATAATTCTTTTCGTTTATAATTCTAATTGTGTAATTGTTGCCGTAGTCTACGAATTATGCTAACTTTTGCACTAATTTAACCTCTTTTATCACCTTTTTCTTTTAATTCTACATTTCTCTTTTGACTTTTCATTGACTAATTTTTGGTGGGGTTTTTTTTTTTCTTTTGATGAAAAAGGGAATGGGCAGAATGGGGTATTGAAATTCAATTCCCAATTTGACATCGTGCCATCCATCCTCGCAAACATCCTTTCTTCTCACATTTTGATGTTTTCTATAGTTCGAGAAAAGAAAACATTCAAAAATTTGAACATTTTCTCAAGAATTTTTTCTTATTTATTATGGAACTTGCTCCCAAACGACATACGAGAAATTCAGTCGCTTTTCATATTCAAGAAACGTATCGATGCTTTAGATCTAGTGGCTCTTTGCCGTAAGTAATTGGCTTATTGATTTCAGTATGTGCATTTCTCTATGATTTCTTTCACTTTATCGTTTGAATAAAGTATTATTATTCTAACTTTTTCTTTTTCCATTTTCTCTTATTTATTTCATTCTACTTATATCTAAAGGCCTAGCGTCTTCGTTTGTGAACCGATTTTGCTGAAAATCACACAACAAATAGAGAATTATAAATAATATTATAATATAGAATTATCAATATCAATAAGATCCATGTTTAAGCGTTTTCTTAAGACTCAAAAAATTCTGGCCACACCCGGAATTGAACCCTTGACCCATAGATCTCCAACTTTTCCCTGCTTAGCTTAAGCCTGAGCCTAAACTAAGCCTAAGTCTAAGAGTCTGAGTCTGAGCCTAATTCTAGACATGGCAGCGATCTGAAACTTTGCGTGGATACCCCCCTTGGGTTGCAAAGCACAAGGGCAATTGCTTGTACCCTTAGCTCCTGGGAACCGGCTGAGATCTAGAAAATGGGGGTTCAGCCCAGACCCAAATAGACTTAGTGCGAGGCGCTAGCCACTAGCCTTCGCACTAAGTCCAAGCATAAGCATAAGCCTAAGTCAAATCCTAAGCCTAAGCCTATGCCTAACCCTGAGGCTAAGCCTAAGCCTAAGCCTAAGCCTATGTCCAACCCTGAGCCTAAGCTAAGCCTTTAAGCTTTTCCTTATTGTTAGCGCTTTAAACATGTGATTTAGTCAATTAAGCTAATAAAATTTCAGTTTAATTACACTTAGAGAGACTTGGGTCTTTTTTTTTGTTTTTTACTAGCACTACAAACCAAGTCAAGCGATCAAAAGCAGTAAAGTGAGCTTACTCCAAAAGGAAAATTGGGTTTAAAACACGCTGGGCGGAACGCTAAATCGTTATCCAGATTTAAAACACGCTTGGGCATAAAGTTGACAAATTGTAAGCTATTGATTGAGATTTGTTTTTAAAGAATTTTTTTGGAGAATTTCATTGCTAGACTTTTGGTAGAAGAAATCTCGATAAAATCGAAGAAATCGAAGAAATCGAAGACTTTCTATCGATATTATATTGATACTTTATTCAGGACATGAAATAAAGCGTAATCAGTCAGACAATACACAAATCTACACATAAATACATAGAGAATGATGAGATATTTTACTCGGCGATTTGGAGGCGGGGAGAAAAGAAGATAGATAGAAGATAGGCTTCTTGCTTTAATAACCTCAGGCCATGAATGGGCCAACCCAGTGGAAGAGTGAACTCCGCTAGAGAAGGGATCTCTAGTCAGCTCTAGAGAAGACACCTCTAGTCTGGGCGCACGGGCTAGGGAAGAGAACCCTAGGGGGGCCGAACCCCACACCCTCAGTTTGGAAGTGAGAACTTAACCAATACACCATGAGGGCCACCTATTCACATCAAAAATCGAATCTAATCAAAACTTTCTTAATGATTCAAATCACTCAACTTTTATCCATCTCAAATCCATTTCTTTTTTTTTTGGTCATTTCTTCGCCGATTCAATTGCATTTTTGTCGTTGTCGAAACGAAAAAAAAAGACAAAAAGTTTCAATCATTTCAATCATTTCCCTTTATTTATCCATTTTCTATCTTAAAATAGTACAAAAATAGTACAAAAATACAATCAAATTGTATTTTTATCCTTTTTAAATCTAATTTCTCACTTAAATCTTTACTTTTCTTTAGCTCATAAGTCTTGATTCAATCGTTTTGTGACGCAAAAGTTGAGATTTAGCCTTTCCAAAATTTCTTTCCAAGTCAAAACCCTAAAACTAACTTTTTCTCATATAAAAAAGGCTTCTTTTTAAATCTAGAATTGATTGAGTAACTAAAAAGACATTTTCTTTGCATTTCTTGTGCTTCTTTTTAAATCTAGAATCACTTAAGCCGATCGTAAACTGTTACTGCCTGATAAGCCTAAGCCTGATAAGCCTAACCCCCCCCCCCCAAAGCTAACTTTGATACTTCCCCAAACGCTTAAACCAATCGTAAACTGTTTTCTAGCTAATTTTTTGATAATTTTTGATAATTCTGGATGTCATGTAAGCTAAAAAAAACTAAAAAAATAACTAGATAGCGATTTTTAAAATTTAAGTGAATACCAGTGAAGCTATACCAGCTACCCCCCTTTTTTCTCTAATTTCAATCAATTTTTTTATTCAAAACTTGCCCTGTGCGTTCCAGATAAGGAAATTAATCACTGAGATTTGATAATATTTTGCGGAAAAATTGGCAAAATCCCGGTGAAATGGTTTACAATTAGCTAGAGACAGCTAGAGACTACGAGATTTGACACAACCGAACACCAACCTCTTCAGTTTTCTTCTATTAGGATTTGGTACTTTAATTGGTGAATAATCTATGGCTTTAACTCGACTAGACACGGTGATTACGGTTCGAATTTCAGGCAAGAACCGTCTCAACAATCTCTTGACCAATCATGCAATCATCACAAGAGATTTCTGATATTTCTATACTCTTTAAATCTAATTCTCATTGAATCTAATTCTCAAATCTTTACTTTTCTTTAGCTCATAAGTCTTGATTCAATCGTTTTGTGAGGTAAAAGTTGGGATTTAGCCTTTCCAAAATTTCTTTCCAAGTCAAAAGCCTAAAACTAACTTTTTCTCATATAAAAAGGCTTTTTTTTAAATCTAGAATTGATTGAGAAACTAAAAAGGCCTTTTCTTTGCATTTCTTTTGTTCTAAATTGCTTTCATTTTAACATTTCATCATCTTTTTTTCATTTTAAACTTTCCATTTTTCGTTTCTCTTTTCGTTTCTCTTCATTAATTCCATATTTTAGAGTCAATAACATCAAAAAAAAGACGAAAAAGACGTCTTTTCTTCTCTTATTTTCATCCTGTAATCACTCATCGATTTTCTATAATTTATTCAAAAAGCCAAAAGCTTTAACGATTTCTAAAAAACGATTTCGAAAACGCATTGAGGTGAGTAAGAGTTGAGAATTCTGGACAATTGATCTATTTGACTAAGTTAGATCTAAGTCTAGTCTAACAGTCTAGTCTAGGAAAGTCTAACAGACTAAGTTAAATTGATCAATCAAAATGCTTATGGATTCTATTTTAATCGTTTTTAAGGTAAAACTTTATTTGAATTTCAATGGCGTTTTTCTGGTGCTTAGAAAAGGTTGATACTTACAGATACCTTATTTTCTCTAAGTAATGCTTATAGTAGTGCTTAGTTTTTTATAGTAGTGCATCCAGAGCGTCGCCTAAATCCCTCGTAATCTCGAGAACCGCTTATCAGAACCTATCGATGTGGGGTCAGAAAATGTAGCTGACGATGAGATCTTTTGGGGGATTTAAGTGTTGAGCTTCTGCAAAAGCTTCGAAACCGTAAAATAGGCATCAACTCGACTCGCCCGGGTGCACTACTATTAGCGAAAATACGGTAGTCACAAATGTCACATGAATTAATCGACGGGGTTTTCAGGGGTGAGGAATCCGAAACTGCAATCAGATTTGTGCTATGTGCTCTTAGTGCCTCTAGATAGAATATCCGCACGGACTGCAGAAAGCTAGACTGCACGCGTAGCTGGCTTTAGATACCGTATCCTCTCTAATAGAGTGGTGCACCCTGATCGTCGTCTAATCTAAATTCCTCGTGATCTCGAGAACCGCTTATCAGAACCTATCGATGTGGGGTCGGAAAATGTAGCTGACGATGAGATCTTGTGGGGGATTTGAGTGTTGAGCTTCTGCAAAAGCTTCGAAACCGTAAAATGGGCATCAACTCGACTCGCCCGGGTGCACTACTATTAGCGAAAATACGGTAACTCATTTGAACTACTTTAGACCAAATTCAATGAAGATCTAGGCTTGGAATCAAGTTGAAAAGATAAAACAAAGCTTGAAATGTAAATAAGAATCTAATTAAGTGAAATCGATAACAATTTGACCAATTTCTCTACTTTTCAGCTAGTTTTCACCTCGTCGTTGCGATGCTCGGCGCGTCGAGCAGCGAGGACGAGGACGATGAGTTTATCGAGCCGCAGGATGTGAGTAAACAGCTAATCTTATCCAAAACATATCCAGAATATAATTATCGTACTATTTAATAATAGAAATCTCTTAAGTCTCTTAAACTCAGTTCTAAACCTGGCTGGCTCTGGCTAAAAACTTGTAAACTTATCATGACGCTTGAGCTAGAAAATCTATTGTTTAAATCACAAAACTTGCATACAATTTGCATGCAATTGATTAGCAATTAGCTTAAAAACCTTCAGTAAAACAAATACAAATAATTACATTGTAGAATTGAACTTGTTTTTGTTTGTTTTTGTTTGTTTTTCAATTGTTTACTCATCAAAAAGCCAAATTCTTTCCTCGTTTAAAGAATTTTAAAAAAAAACGAACCAATTTTTTGACTAAATAACAAAATAAAGTGAAAGAAAAGAAGCTTTTTTTCAGTTTTTCTTTTCTTTTTTATCTTTGAGTAGCTTTTGCTTGCCCGCTTGCCCAAATTGGAGCCCAAAAATTAGATGAGGAGCCGCATAAGAATGGAAAAGAAGAATAGACAAGAAGAATAGACAAGAAGATCGACAAAGAGGCCACCAATTGGAAGCAGAACAAAGATGAGAACAAAATAGTGTTTAAGTTTAGAACTGATCAATTCAAGGGTCGACTATTTTCCTAGAAACTCCTAAACTCCTATTTCCCAGCTCAAAACTAAGTCAGAAATCATTTCGTCATTGACATTGGCATTGGCATTGGCATTGGCATTGGCATTGGCATTGGCATTGGCATTGGCATTGGCATTGGCATTGGCATTGGCATTGACATTGGCATTGGCATTGGCATTGGCATTGGCATTGACATTGGCAATGAATAGCTTCATTTGAAAACAGGAATACTGTTACTGTAAAATAAATAAGAAATACTGTATCCTGTCAACAACAATTGATAAATACCATAACTAAAACTAAACTAAAACTAACTAAAACAGGGCTTTGGTTCAAAAATGAACTTTTTCGATCATTTTGAACCATTCATGGACCTGATCCTTGACTCTTTCTGATCCAATATCCATTGATCTGAATCCAGAGTCAAGTCTGCACCTAGCTCTAGCCAGTTCTAGACAGTTTCTTTGACTAAGACAGCTGAAATCTAATATATTATCCTGTGTTAAAGAAGTAAATGTATGGAAAGATTGAAAAAGGAAAGATTGCCTTGCCTAGCTTTAACTTTACTTGAGTTATTAAACCAAAGAATACCTTCTAATAAAGAAGTGAAAGAATCAGCAAAAAGTCGATTTCCGGAGAGGAGATTGACTCTTGCTTAGACTTAGATCTCTTGCTTAGACTTAGATCCGTTGCTTACCGGGCTGCTCTAACCACTGAGCTATGCGTACCTTAACTTACAAGAGAAAGAAGGAAAGAGAAGGGGGAAGAAGAAGGAAAGAAGAAAGAAAGAAGAAAGAAGAAAGAAAGAAGAATGAAATAACTATATCTAGATCTAGAAAGCTAGATTCAAAGCTAGAAAAGAGTTAAAGAGTAAGTCTTGATCAATCTTGTCAAGTCTTGATCAATAGTATACAAAGTTTATTTTAAAGTAGTTAAATAGATAGTTTAAGAGATAGTTAAATAGATAGTTCAATAGATAGTTTAAGAGATAGTTTAAGAGATAGTTTAAGAGATAGTTAAATAGATAGTTCAATAGATAGTTTAATAGGGAGTTTAAGAGATAGTTTAAGAGATAGTTAAATAGATAGTTTAAGAGATAGTTAAATAGATAGTTTAAGAGATAGTTTAAGAGATAGTTTAATAGATAAAAAGACTTCCTAAAAAGATTCAAAAGAAATCTTTGTTTAGAATCGAAACCAAAAGCGTTCTTTTCTCTCTGGCCCAACGATCAGTCCCCGTTCGGCTTCTCCAGCTCCATCAGACAGCGTTTCACAATGTAACTCGTTAAAGGTAAACCTTCGACTTTCAAATCTAAATTCAAATCTAAATTCAAATCTAAATTCAAATCTAAATTCAAATTCAATTTTAGAAGTGTTATTCTTAATAAAACTTCTGAATAATTAGTAAAATAAACATTAGAAATTTATAAAATTCTCTTCTACCAATCAGAAACCGAATTGGCGTGATATGGTAAGTTTTGTTTGAATTTGAAAAGATCAAAAAGAAGTATTCCAGCACTACACAATTATTTTTTTTTAAATCCCCGCTTTATCCTTGATTTTGCGTCATTTTAAAACAATTTTTGACTAAAAAAACGAATTTCAGAGAGACAACTCGCTTGGACCGAAAAGAAATGATTCGATTGGCGCACAGACACCGCAAAGACAGGCAAATTATAAAGGGATTTTGGAAATTGTATTGAGAAAAGTATTAGAACCATCCAATTCAAAGTCTAGCATTAAAAACAGCTTTGAAATATGGAAAAACTTATTGTTAACATTGCTTACTACTGTTGTGAGTTACTGCAATTGTGAGTTACTGCTTACTGCAGTTAAAAAAAAAATCTTTAAACCATCAACCGTACTTTTACAGTCAATCAGAACTTAGCCTTTGAATTGAGGCGTGATTAGCCTAAGCCTAACCCCCCAAAGCTAACTTTGATACTTCCCCAAACGCTTAAACCAATCGTAAACTGTTTTCTAGCTAATTTTTTGATAATTTTTGATAATTCTGGATGTCATGTAAGCTAAAAAAGATAAAAAAATAACTAGATAGCGATTTTTTAAATTTAAGTGAATACCAGTGAAGCTATACCAGCTACCCCCATTTTTTCTCTAATTTCAATCAATTTTCTTATTGAAAACTTGCCATGTGCGTTCCAGATAAGGAAATTATCACTGAGATTTGATAATATTTTGCGAAAAAATTCGCAAAATCCCGGTGAAATGGTTTACAATTAGCTAGAGACTACGAGATTTGACACAACCGAACACCAACCTCTTGAGTTTTCTTCTATTAGGATTTGGTACTTTAATTGGTGAATAATCTATAGCTTTAACTGGACTAGACACAGTGATTACAGTTCGAATTTCAGGCAAGAACCGTCTCAACAATCTCTCGACCAATCATGCAATCATCACAAGAGATTTCCGATGAAGATGGGAATCAAGTGAGAGATTAATTTCAGATGCTTTAGACGTACATTCGGTTCCGATTCAGTTCTTATTTAAAGCAAATTTGTTCCCCATTCGGTTCCTATTTAAAGCAAATTTGTTCCCCATTCTATTGATGGATAGGATAAGTTGGGTGTTGATGGATAGGAAAAGTTTTGAGGTAAACAGCTATTTCTAGGAAGAGCTTTAGGAAGAGCTTCCCGTGAATCCAGGAGAAGAAAACTTGTCTCGAGAGGAGTTGGAAAGGATACGGTAAGGGGAAATTAAGAAAAATTGAACTATTTTCAACGAATTTCAACTAATTTCAAAATTCTAGCGCTGAAAATGAGGAAGAAGAGCGTAAACGGAAACTCCAGTTGTATGTTTTGGTTTCGCGATGTGTTGCCTATCATTTCAACGCAAAACAACCGACAGATATGGCGAGGAGACAAATGAAAGTCAATAAACAAGAGCTCGCAAGGATAAAAGAGAGGTTTGGCTTGCATTTTTTGATTCAGTTTCAATTTGTAATAGTGTAATAGTACCCCACCCCCATAATGACGGTGCGAATTGTTTGCGTAGTCGAGCTTTGAACGCGTTTTTCTCAACACTGATTTATGCTAAAATGCGCGCTTAGGTATCAAAAAATAGCTGAAATTCAGGGCTATTTTTTGATATTAATGTTGCAGCATTGTAGCTTAAACCAGTGTCGAGAAAAACGCGTCCAAAGCTAGACGACGCAACACTCCGCACCGTCATTATGGGGGTGGGTTTATGCTACAATGCTACAACATATATCAAAAAATAGCTGAAATTCAGGGCTATTTTTTGATATTAAAGTGCACATTGTAGCATAAAGGAGCGCGGAGAACGGGATGTTTAAAGTTAGACTACGCAACCATCCCGAAAAAACGCGTTTTTCTCGACACTGGTTTAAGCTACAATGCTCGCTTTGGTATCAAAAAATAGCCCTGAATTTCAGCTATTTTTTGATACCAAAGACGCAGTTTTTGAAAGTACGGGTGCTTTGAAAAAAAATGAAATACTAAAAAACTTTTGCGACTACGCGACTGTACGAGGGCGGTGGGGTACTATTACAGTATTTACGGTAGGTTAAAGTTCTGAGAAATCACCAAATAAACGTACTTTGTACTCTTGGAAACGTTCAGATTCTGGGAAAATGAAAAACGATTGAAATTTCCAGATTCAACCAGTTTATAAAAGGTGAAACGCAAATCGTTGCCGACGAAGCTTTCACTAAAGCGATTCAATCATATTTTGAGGTTAAATCTCTATAAATCGCTAATCAAATGGCTTTTCCAGGTTTTTCTTAAGTCCGAACGGGTGAGTAAAGTGGTAATGGCTGGCGGTTTCTCGCAGCATGACTTTCGAGAGGTGAGTATACTCAAAAAAATGACTTTTCTAAGTGACTTCTCTAATTTCTAAGCAATCTGAGCCCTTAGGCTTTAAAAATCTTAAATAAATGATGGAAAAGATTGATCTTTAAGTCTAAAACTGATTTGAAATCCTTTAAAATCTTTGTTTAAATCAATCTTTCATCAAAAAATCAAAAATTCCAAAAGAAGTTGCCCACGGCTGGAATCGAACCAGCGTCGCCACGGCCACAACGTGGAGTACTAACCACTATACTACGTGGGCCGAAAGCTCGAGTGAATGAGGCGGCTTTTCTAGGCGATTGTGAGGGAAATTTTCAAAGAATCTCCAGAGAATTACTTGCAATTCTCGAAAGTTCAAATCCAGTTTTGCCACTTTTCACTAAAGAAACCTATCTTTGTGTCAATAGATGAAAGATAGAGCACAAAAAGCTTAGTCTATAGCTAAATTTTCAGCGAAATTCATTCAGTCAATGGCTTTGTAGAGGTTTTTCTCGTTTTTTTTACTCTCGAATTGCTTGAAATTAACCAAAATTTATTTAAAAAGATGAAATTGAAGAAAAAGAAAGGTTAGATTCATTGCTGAGTTTGTTGTTTTTCAAAAAGAAATCGTAAAAGGAGTGGAAAGATTTTCTGGAAAGTTAAATAATGGAGTTTTTGCTTGAGAAATAATGAAATTGGCTAGAAAACTTTCTAGCCGATTTTCCTTTCAGATTTTTCATCCCAAATTTCAGGTATTCCGGTGTAACGTCGAGAAACGCATTCGCAGTTTGCCTGACATTGACGGCTTGTCGAAAGACACCGTTCTCAACTCGTGGATGGCGAAATTTGACACGATCATTCGAGGAGACGAAGATTCAGCAAATCGACCAGCCAGGTATGAGAAAATGATTCGAAAGCTCGTAAAAGACAGCTTTTTTTCGTTATAAACTAGATTTAGCTTCATAATTCTAGAGATTTTCGTAAAAATTTACCCTCTAGCACAGTCAGCTCGTTGCTGAAGTTTGCTTAACTTAAGTTTAACTTTCAAAATAAACGAAAAGTTTTTCAATTTTCTTTCTCATCACTTTTTTCTGTTTGTTTATTTTCATTTCTTATTCTATTTAGACCATCATTTCGAGGAAACATGTCTGTAAGGTAAAACCCTTCCAAAATTGTCTGCTAATTTCTGATATGCAAAGTTAAGAAGAACTTTAGTTCTAATGTAGTTTGAGCTCTGGTAAACGCAAGGTTTTTGGAAAGCAATACAGAAAGCAATACAGACCAAAAGCATAGACAGTATGCCAAACCCTAGCGTTTACCAGTGCTCAAATTTCATTTGAAACTTTTTCTTGGGTTACTGTAGTCTTTTTCATGGCATTACGAAAAGCTCAAATTTCCTAGAGCTTTAGACTGACTGGTACTTGTGCTTTAGACTGACTGGTACTTTCCTAGAGCTTTAGACTGACTGGTACTTTCCTAGAGCTTTAGACTGACTGGTACTTGTGCTTTAGACTGACTGGTACTTTCCTAGAGCTTTAGACTGACTGGTACTTGTGCTTTAGACTGACTGGTACTTTCCTAGAGCTTTAGACTGACTGGTACTTTCCTAGAGCTTTAGACTGACTGGTACTTTCCTAGAGCTTTAGACTGACTGGTACTTTCCTAGAGCTTTAGACTGACTGGTACTTTCCCATAAGTTTATATGTCGTAACCGATTTCAGAGCTAGGTTTTCAAAATTTCATTAAATAACAAGTATACATTTCCGATTTCTAAAAACAAATCTTCTGACATTTATCATCTAGTTAATACATTAATTCCTTCAGCGGGTAAACCAAATGCATTTTCAGGTCAATAAACTCGTCCAGAACAAGGCTAATTTGTCTAGATGTGGTAGCCGTTTATGAATTTCAGCTGTTTGTTGTTTGAGAGAAGACTTTGAAGCCTCGTAAATTTTTTTCTTTTTGTCAAATCTTGCTAATTTTAAAAATTTAAAATAATTATTAATGATTCTACGTTAAATGATACCAAAGAGTTGATGGTTGGACGCCCCTAGATCCACTTATTCATAATTGGCTACGGGGATCCCGTCGATTTCGAATGAAACGTGTAGCGCAATTTTGAATCTAAACTCACTAATTTGGTATCAATAAACGCAGAATTTAATTCTCTACAAAATGATATAATATTTTCCACATACAAACATAATTATCAATGATTCTGCGTTGAATGATACCAAGTTGATGTTGATGTTGATGGTTGGACGCGCCTAGATCCACTCATTTCATAATCGGCCAAAATTCATAAACGGACAAATTAGTCTAGACATCTAGACAAATTAGTCTTGTTTTGGACGAGTTTATTGACCTCAAAATGCATTTGGTTTACCCGATGAACGAATTAATGTAAGCTGTGGCTCGAAAGCTGTGGCTCGAAAGCTGTGGCTCGAAAGCTGTGGCTCGAAAGCTGTGGCTCGAAAGCTGTGGCTCGAAAGCTGTGGCTCGAAAGCTGTGGCTCGAAAGCTGTGGCTCGAAAGCTGTGGCTCGAAAGCTGTGGCTCGAAAGCTGTGGCTCGAAAGCTGTGGCTCGAAAGCTGTGGCTCGAAAGCTGTGGCTCGAAAGCTGTGGCTCGAAAGCTGTGGCTCGAAAGCTGTGGCTCGAAAGCTGTGGCTCGAAAGCTGTGGCTCGAAAGCTGTGGCTCGAAAGCTGTGGCTCGAAAGCTGATAAATGTCAGAAGATTTGTTTTTAGAAATCGGAAATGTTGAGAAAGGGTGCGCAAATGAAGAGATTTGTATTTTATTTTATTTTTAAAGATGCCCAAGTACCGATTGAATTCTTTTATTCATAAAGTAATGAGAAAGATTGCAGTAGCCAAGAGTTGCCAAAAGTTCTCTTTCAACTTTGCATCTCATCTTAAACTATCGTATTCTCCTTTGCTTGACTACCAGAGAAAACCGAATTTGTTCAATTCTTTTAAAGTTAAAGCATGATTTAAAAAAAGAAAAACAATTTGTTTCCCGTCTCCCTGTGCATTTTGAGAAGTCCTTTTTGTCTAATTTGTCGAATTTGTGTTTAAAATTTGTCCTTTGAATGAAATGTTTTGAGAATTTTGAGAATTTTGTCTTTTTCTTTGTTTTTTTGGTCAATTTTGGTCAATTTTTGTCAATTTTTGTCCTTTTTTGTCAAAATTAAGTCTTTGTAATGTTCTTTAGAGTCTTTCGGCTAAAAGAAATCGTAAACAAACCCTTTCTAATGCACTGAATTCTTATTTAACAGTGAAATAGTGATTTTTCCGAAGAAAAATCCGAATTTCAGTGCGCTAGAAAGGCAAAAAGTCGATTCTAATCAAATTCTAATCAAAAACTCGGTTCATTGCAACTACAATTCCAATTTGAACACTACAAATTTGAAGTTAGGCCAAAAAATGAATAGAAAAAATCAGAAGAATCCAAAATTTCAAAATTAAAGGCGACGACTTTGATGTTAGTGATGTTAGTGAAATATTCCATCGAACCATAATGTTTTAGATGTCATTCAAGAGCCCTTATCACGCTCTTTCAGAATGCTGATTTGAGTTTTTGCGGAATTCTATTTTCCCATGAGATTTTTTCAATATTCTGCGCCGAAAAGTCAAAATCATTTTTTTCACGAAAATCCAGCTGATAAACTAGGCTCAAAAAGCAAATTTCTGAATTCTACGCAAAAAGTTAGTCGGGAAATATTTTTTAATTTTGCGTTTTGGTCAATGAAAACGCGAGCTCTGAAACCTAGGTTTTTTAGAAGTTATTGGGTTGGTGCTGTCGGACAAAAAGTTAAAACTACTTATAGATTCTAATCAAAAACTCGGTAAATTGTAAAGATGAATTGTGTGTTTTTACTTCTCTATTAGCATTAAATAGAGTGTTTTTCGATTTAAATCGAATCCAATTCAATAACAATTCAAAAACTCAAAGTAAACTCCAACCAACCTCGAATTTTTAAATCATTTTTTAACAGCTAACATTTCCCCTCTCTTGCAAATCAATTTTTCCACAGCTTAACAACGATTTTTGTTTGAAATATTTGCTTATAAACCTTTGATAAATGAAATAAAAATGAAATTGATTGTTTTCTTTGGTTTTGTTGAAAAAAAAATCCCATTTTCAGAGGCCGACTACGAGGCGCAAATCAAGCAAATGCAGATATGATTCAAGGAAAAGAACAACTCTTTGATATGTTCCAACAAGTGCTTGGAGTCAAGAAATTCGAACATCAAATCATTTTCAATGCACTACAGGTAAAAAAATAAATCCAAAAGAGATTGCCCACGGTTGGAATCGAACCAGCGTCGCCACGGCCACAACGTGGAGTACTAACCACTATACTACGTGAAAATCCCTCCGAAAATCTGGAGAATTTCTAGGATTGTTCTTGGATTGTTGCTGGATTCTTAGCCTGACCCAGCTCTCTGGCGGGCTTGACTGGGCTTTTCCTCGACCAGGACCTGTTTTACAGACTTATAGCTGGGTACTAGGTCTTGCTAGATCCAAAACTTGGATTTAACCTAATGCCTAAGCCTAATGATAGTTGCCAGTTCCATAAAGTTTCCATGAAGCCAGTTCCATAAAGCTAACCAATCTCAGCCCTTAGGCTTTAAAAATCTTAAATAAATGATGGAAAAGATTGATCTTTAAGTCTAAAACTGATTGAAATCCCTTAAAATCTTTGTTTAAATCAATCTTTCATCAAAAAATCAAAAATTCCAAAAGAAGTTGCCCACGGCTGGAATCGAACCAGCGTCGCCACGGCCACAACGTGGAGTACTAACCACTATACTACGTGGGCCGAAAGCCCGACTGAATGAGGCGGCTTTTCTAGGCGATTGTGAAGGGAAATTTTCAAAGAATCTAGAGAATTACTTGCGATTCTCCAAAGTTCAAATCCAGTTTTGCCACTTTTCACTAAAGAAAGCTAGCTTTGTGTCAATAGATAAAAGATAGAGCACAAAAAGCTTAGTCTATAGCTAAATTTTCAGCTTTTCTAGGTGATTTTGAAGCTTTTTCAAGGAATCTCTAGAGAATTTTCTTACAATTTTTGAGATTCTTGCATTTCTTTCCTTTTTCATTCTACTGTTTAAAGAAAAAGTTAAAAACTTGCTGAATTGACGTAAACAAACAAATTCTATCTATTAAAATCTATCAAAATCTCAGCTCGATAATCTCGACGAGCAAGCGGCCGCAATTCGACGAGAAGTTACTACAAGAGAAGAGGCGTTAAAAGATATTCACAAGGTGAGCAAGACTGAAGCAATGAAAAAGACCGAGGCAATGAAAAAACAGAACATCAAATCATTTTCAATGCACTACAGGTAAAACATAAATCCAAAAAAAATTGCCCACGGCTGGAATCGAACCAGCGTCGCCACGGCCACAACGTGGAGTACTAACCACTATACTACGTGGGCCGAAAACCCGAATGAATGAGGAGGCTTTTCTAGGCGATTGTGAGGGAGATTTTCAAAGAATCTCCAGAGAATTACTTGCAATTCTCGAAAGTTCAAATCCAGTTTTGCCAGTTTTCTCTAAAGAAACCTATCTTTGTGTCAATAGATGAAAGATAGAGCACAAAAAGCTTAGTCTATACTAAGTAGTGGAGTACTAACCACTATACTACGTGGGCCGAAAGTCCAGCTCAATGAGGCGGCTTTTCTAGGCGATTGTGAGGGAAAGGAATCTCTGGAGAATTTCTAGGATTGTTCTTGGATTGTTGCTGGATTCTTAGCCTGACCCAGGTCTCTGGCTGGCTTGACTGGGCTTTTCCTCGACCAGAACCTGGTTTACAGACTTATAGCTGGGTACTAGGTCTTGCTAGATCCAAAACTTGGATTTAACCTAATGCCTAAGCCTAATGATGACTGCCAGTTCCATAAAGTTTAAAGCTGTCGATGCTACTTTTTCCCATCAATATGAAAATTATGAAATTTCTTTATTACCGAGATCGCAAAAGAGGCAATAAAGGTGAATTATCGCCTCTTTTTGGCAATAATTCAAAAGATAGAATCCTTTTTTACATCTTATTTAATTGACTACTCATCACAAAAGTCAGTTTCGAATGTTGTTCAAAAGTTTGATCGACAGTGGACATGAAACAGGGAGATCGGTAACGATGCATACTATCCACTAGGCTATCAATAGCATACTATCCACTAGGCTATCGATGCGCTAGCACACTATTCACTAGGCTATCGAGGCAGTGAAGCGTGAGCATTGAATCCCCTAGGCACTGTTTAGCGAAATTGATCGAAATTTTGAAGGCTTTTAACTCAAAAATGACTAATGAAAAGTAGGATTTGAAAGCAGTTTTTGAATGCTGATAACTAAGAGATGTTTGCACCGTGGAATCAAATCAAAAATTTCACTTTAATGGGTTCCCTGGTTAGATTAAAGCTACATCTAGGTTCAAGCCTGACTTGAATCTGTAAATCTGGTAGACCCAGAGACTTTTCTGCGTAAGTCCAGGTCAGGATTTGGCTTCTCGCCTGTTTTTGGCCAGAAGAGATGAAAAGATGCCAGAAGAGAAGAGATAACGAGATCAGAAATATAACTTTAACGAATTCTGTTTTTTTTTCCAAATCCACTCAAATTTACTTGGTTTAGATGCGAAAAATGATGCCGAAATTCGTCGTAAAAGACATGGAAACTCTCTACATTGATGAGGTGAGAAATTAGTGAGAAATTGATCTGTGAATCATGAAAGATCTGTGAAGATTCGTTTTCTAACGAAAGTTTAGGTGCGTCAATCGATAAATCTCTTAATCGCGAATCTCGAATCGGTGCCTGTCACTCCGCGTGGACAAAACGTCGGCAAACAGAACAAGAATCGCTCTCGGTTAGTGGGAAATTCGATTAGAGTTACAGATTCGAGAATTACCGTAATCCTTTACGATTTTTATATGTTGGCTTACAAATGGGACAAAAAAAATCAGCAAAAAAGCGAAAGAATTGGCGATTAGAGGAGTCGAACCCGCGAGCTCTTTCTTTCGTTCGCTTGAAAGACATGCCGATTAGCGACTCGCCGTACCGGTTAACCGTTGGTGCAGTGCGAGTGCTATTCTCTCTCAGCCAGAGAACCCGGGTTCGACTCCGGTCACTGACGCTAGTTTTATTTTTTTTTAATTTTAAAACATTTTCCATAACTAAATGGAATTTTAAGCTAAACTAAGAATAAATGATTAGTATTCGTTCCTATGTATAAACGGATGTGGACTAGAATTTGGGTTAAGTTAAGTTTGGGTTAAGTTAAAGAGAGTGGATCCCTTTTGATATCCCGCCATCTCTAACACCCCGACAACCCAAGTCAACTCCTCCAACGTATTAGAGGGGAGTCCCTGTGAAATGACCGACCTGTACTGCAGTTGCAGTTGTAGTTGCAGTTGCAGTTGCAGTTGTAGTTGTAGCTGTAGCTGCAGTTGCAGTTGCAGTTGCAGTTGCAGTTGCAGTTGCAGTTGTAGAGGGGAGTCGCTGTGAAATGACCGACCTGTGACAGTTGCATAGACCCGGAAGATATGTATCTTTATTTACAGTAGTATAATAAGACGAATAGATTACAAATAAGTGTAAGGGGAAGGGAGGACTCTAAATGTCCTCCTAGGCAATCCTTGTCATCCTAGGCAATCCTTGTCATCCTGGGCAATCCTTGTCCTCCTGGGCAATTCCAAGGACCACCGCTTCTCGGCAATAAAAGGGATAAGCACAGGGGAGGACAATAAATGATTAGTAATCTGCGAATTTCTTCCATAGATCCACATCAAAATCACGAAAGGATTACGGTAATTCGTTTAACCAAAAAGAGCCTTCATTTCATCAATTTCTCATCCTATTGCAGATCGAGTAGTAAGAAGAAGTGGGTATCATTTACAGTTGTTTTTTTCTATTTTTTTTTTGTTCTGTTTATCTCTTCTTCGTGTTCATTTTTTAAAATGGTTTTTCCAAAGAAACAAAAGAAAAAAAATCGTGTTCCTCTCTCTTTTTCCTTCTTTCTTTTGCAAAATTGTGTCAAAATTTGCAAAATTACGTCCAAATTTGCAAAGTTACGTCAAAATTCACAAAATTTGACTTGAATTCACCTGAAATTCACTCCATTTTTCGTTTCTTCGGCTTCGAAAAGACAAAAAAAAAGTCGATTCCGCATGAACAAACACTCAAATCGAGTTCAAATTTGCATCATAAAACGATCCGTTTTCTTTTTTTGAGAAAAACGTTCGAAAGCTCGTTCGAAAGTGGCTTTAAACGCTGAAATTTTGAAGAGATTTGAAGAGATTTGTAGAGTTTACAACGATAAAACGAATAGTTGTTTAAGCTACGATTAGTACCAAATCAGATTCATCCTTGTTTTATCAATTACTTTAAAATTACTTTAAAATGGCTTTAAAATGACTTTAAAATGACTAAAATTACTTTAAAATGATTAAAATTACTTTAAAACTTACAAACACTTACTTAGCTCTAGCTCTAGCTTCTAGCTCTAGCTCTAGCTCTAGCTTAAAGCTTAAAAGCTTAAAAGCTTAAAAGCCACTTAAAAGCTCTAGAACTTGAACAAATCTTTGCTGTTAAACAAAAAAAAGAATCTGGCCCACTTCTGGTTTCTGGCTGAGCTAAACTTTTAATATTTTGTAAAATAGAATCTTACGGTAAGCTAGATAGATATTGGGTTGGGGAGAATGAGTCGGCGCCGAAAATCAAAAAAATGTCTAAAACTTCTATTCGACTTCGTCAAATAATATGCGTTTGATATCAGTAGAATGGTTCTAATTCTAATTCTAATTCTAATTTGCCTAGATGAACTAATTCTCTACAAAATGACATTTAAAAGAAAATTCAAACAGCGCCTCCGCTCAAGAAAAAGCCATTTTTTCACAAAAACTACAAACTGTGATCTAGAAAAAACCATTGGTGGGATCTTCCTGCAAATTTGGCAACTTAAGTAATTGAATGTGCTCTATATTTTTTATATAAACACCAAAGAAGGTTTATGTGAAAGAAACTGTTCAAATGATGAGTCGGAATCTTTGCCATTTTAACCAGCTGCGTTTGCAAGTTCATAAACTCCACGAAAGAAAAGCTTTGTGGAATCTCCCAAAAGTGATTTTGTAGAGAAATAGTGGATTCTTTTGATGAAACCAAACGTATGTTTAAAGAAGGCTTTATGTGTGCAAAAAGTCCCTTTAAAGTGTTTGGCGCCGTCTCATTCTCCCCAACCCAATAAATCAAAGCAAAGCAGGCAAAAACAGTAACCAGAACTGGGCCTTGGTCCTGGATCTGATTTGGTTTTCGGAAAAGCAACACCTGACTCTGGTTGACTCTGCAGAATGAGCCAAGTTCTGGCTTTGATCTTGGGCTAAACTTGTGTGAAAATAACTGTCGCTTCTTTTGGTAATTTAAGATTTTTCTCAACACTAACCCTTTGATTTTGTCTATTTTGATTATCATTCGATGCAGAATCAAATCCTGCGTCGAATGATACAAAAAACAACTCAAAATATAATATCCATGCAAAGTTATTGGCTCAAGCCTAAACCCCGCCTATTATGAGCCGGACTTAACCATTTGCCTCATAACTTTGCATGGATATTATATTTTGAGTTGTTTTTTGTATCATTCGACGCGGAATTTGATTCTGCATCGAATGATAATCAAAATAGACAAAATCGAAGGGTTAGTGTTGAGAGAAATCTTAAATTACCAATGGGAAAAAGGATTGACAGTTATTTTCGTTACAAGTCTATCTTAGACTCGGCTGGCTTGTCTTTTCGATAAATACAATATATTTTTTCTTTTCGATAAATACAATATAATACTGCTTTACTTCAAGTTGTTAGTCTTTATTCACGAAAAATTGTTCTAAACTTTAATTCTTGACGTTAAGTTGACTAGAAGCAAGTTCTGTACAAAGCCACAGCTTTCGAGCCACAGCTTTCGAGCCACAGCTTTCGAGCAACAGCTTTCGAGCCACAGCTTTCAAGCTACAGCTTTCAAGCCACAGCTTTGTACGGAACTTGCTTCTAGATCATAGCCAAAACTTGGCTCGTTCTGCAGAGTCAACCAGAGTCAGGTGTTGCTTTTCTGAAACCAAATCAGATCCACAGCTTTCAAGCCACAGCTTTCAAGCCACAGCTTTCGAGCAACAGCTTTCGAGCCATAGCTTTCGAGCCACAGCTTTCGAGCCACAGCTTTCGAGCCATAGCTTTGGAGCCACAGCTTTCGAACGAAGATTTTTCGCCTCACATTCCACCCCCACTTCTCCCACTTTTCCTAAAATTACTTGAAGTTTAAGAAAAAGCAAAGAAATTGCATGATGCGAAAATCCTCTTTTCTGCCATAACATCAACAATTCTATCGCTTTTTTTTTCTTTTCAATATTGTTGATTGTTGATTTTTTTTTGTTTACAATGTTGTTCTTTGAGTTTAGCACAAATTTCATTGTCTGTTTTTCATTGTTTACCCGTCCACGTGGCGCAGTGAGTCACTGCCAGTGACTAGCGAAGTTCTCTCTCTCTCTCTCGTGAAAGTGATTCCGAGTTCGAGTTCCGATTTCACCAGCACTTTATTCGTTTTTGGTTTTTGTTGAGGCTTTTGAGTGAGGTTTAACTTGTTTATTTGTTTATTTGTTTAGAAAAGCTAGCTAGAAGCTAGAGCTAAGCTGTAGCTAACTAGAAGCTAGAGCTAAGCTGTAGCTAACTAGAAGCTAGAGCTAAGCTGTAGCTAACTAGAAGCTAGAGCTAGCTGTAGCTAGCTAGAAGCTAGAGCTAGCTAGAAACGGTGAGTTTCTCAAAGCACAAAGTACAGTGTACTTTCCCCAGCAAGATGAACTCAAAAGTCTCTCCACAGCGATTTGCTTTCTTCTTCTGCTGCGAAAATGGATTGGGGAAAGGCTAGGATTTCTAGAATATCTAGAATATAGACTTATCTATCAGCTAGTCAAAGCTTTGAGCTTAGCTTAGCTTAGCTTAGCTGATCGATCAGCCTGTCATCAATAACAATCTCAGCCTTTCCCCCCATTCTCCCCACTTGTCCTTCTCCTTGTCCAATCCTTCTGTCCCAATTTGAAGCCAAAATCCATCTGAAAACATAGCCGATGGATTCACAAATATCCTCCCATCGTTTTCTCGATTTTCAGGTCTCGCTCCATTGAGGATCTGTCGCTGTTTAACAGGTTTGGCCTTGATTAACCCAAATGAAAGATGAAAATGCTCCCCACCCAAGTTTTTTCCACTTTTTTCTCTTATCACCCACATCTTTTTATTGATTCATTTATCTTTAAAGACAATTGGGAAGAGATTGGAAAGTAGAAAAAAGTACAAAAAAGCTTTTATAATATGCTATCTTCTTCTGCCAAAACAATAAAAATAACAAACAAAACAATGTCTTCTAAAATTACCGCTAGCAGCATCTGTAAGTCTGTAAGTACTCGTGTGTACTGTACGTACTCGTACGTACTGTACGTACTGTACGTACTGTACATACTGTAAGTACTGTACGCACTGTACGTACTGTACGTACTGTAAGTACTGGTGCCTATCCGCTTCTGTAAGTAAGGACTCGTACTGGAGTAAGTCTATAGACAAACTACTTGACTGATCAGGGTACTGTAAGAGAGACGCGGACAACTGCCTGGGTTACTGTAATAAGGTACTTTGTCTTTTCGTAAAGATATCTTTCCATTTTCAGCATAGTAAGATAAAGACTGTGGTCAGGATTACGGTAAGGTAAGGGTTACTGTAATGAGTGACGCAAGGATTAGTATAATTGTTCTTTTATGAGTCGCTAGGAATCTAAAACATGGTCGCGATTCGAACCAGCAACCTCTCGCTTATCAGGCGAGATAATGAGCTATATCGAATCCCAGGATAGAGCCTTATGTCTTACTGTATTGAAAGACTGATGTGAATTGCGGTATTGCTAGAGTTTAAAAACGAAATGAAGAAAACAAGAACAAGAACAAGAAAAAGAACAAGAACAAGAACAAGAACAAGAACAAGAACAAGAACAAGAACAAGAACAAGAACAAGAACAAGAACAAGAACAAGAACAAGAACAAGAACAAGAACAAGAACAAGAACAAGAACAAGAACAAGAACAAGAACAACAACACCAACAACAACACCAACTACAAATCCTAGAATACAAATCTAAATCCTGCTATCAATCCTAGAAGAAATAATCAGATAAAAGCACTTTCTTAACCTCAAACCAATCAATTCCTAACTCATTACCGAAGAAACGAATTTTAAAAGCCTTCAACCGAAACTCTCCAATCTCTTCCCAGAAAATTCTCTCATTTTTTTTCGTTTTCAAACTTCTCCGCTTTTTTTTCTCTCCGCACTCTGAAAAATAACAAAAATGGCTTTATTTGAGTTTCGTGAACGCTTTTGTCTTGACTAATCTCGCTTAAAATTGGAAATTTTTTTCTAATTCGAAGAGTTTTTGTGCTCGTGACGACAAGCCTGGCTTACTAATTAAATATCAAATATTTAAAGTATCTAAAGTCTCTAAAGTATCTAAATATTTAAAGTATCTAAAGTATCTAAATATCTAAAGTATCTAAAGTATCTAAAGTATCTAAAGTATCTAAAGTATCTAAAGTATCTAAATATCTAAAGTATCTAAATATCTAAAGTATCTAAAGTATCTAAAGTATCTAAAGTATCTAAAGTATCTAAAGTATCTAAATATCTAAAGTATCTAAATATCTAAAGCATCTAAATATCTAAAGTATCTAAAGTATCTAAAGTATCTAAAGTATCTAAATATCTAAAGTATCTAAAGTATCTAAAGTCTCTAAAGTATCTAAAGTCTCTAAAGTATCTAAAGTATCTAAAGTATCTAAAGTATCTAAATATCTAAAGTCTCTAAAGTATCTAAAGTATCTAAAGTATCTAAAGTATCTAAAGTATCTAAATATCTAAATATCTAAATATCTAAAGTATCTAAATATCTAAAGTATCTAAAGTATCTAAAGTATCTAAATATTTAAAGTATCTAAATATCTAAAGTATCTAAATATCTAAAGTATCTAAATATCTAAAGTATCTAAAGCATCTAAATATCTAAAGCATCTAAATATTTAAATATTCAAAAGATCTAAAGAAAAGCTTTTTAAAGTTCAAAATAAAAGTTTTTCTTTGAAAGTTGGATTTGTGCGTTCTTTTGGTGCACTTTTCCATTGAAATCTGGTGTCTGGTGCACTGAAAGTTGAACTTTTATGCAATCTTTTTGATAAAACCTCAATGTAACCTTGGACTTCAGTGCACCAAATCCCTTGCGTTCACCTGGCGGCGGCCAGTGAGCGCTCAACAATCAACTCAAGTACGATCGCAAGCCGTTTGGTGCACTGAAACTTGAGCTTTTATGGAATCTTTTTGATAAATCCTTGATCGACTTCAGTGCACCAAACCCCTTGCGTTTACCCGGCTCCGCAGTGAACGCTCAACTTGCAATCGCAAGCCGTTTGGTGCACTGAAAGTTAAACTTTTTAACATATTAACCTATTTTTGTTAAACTTCTCCTAAAACTCGACAATTTCCACGGAATTCAATGCACCAGATCCCAGGCGATTCCGCAAAAAAAAACGACAAAGCTCGGAAGAGGTTTACTTAAGTCAAAAGTTTCGTTAAAAATCCCTTTAAAAAAAATGGAAATTAAAATTTTTCTACGATAATTGCAACGTTTTTTTTTGACCATTCTCACCAACTTGCACACATTTTTATTTGTTGATTTAATTGAAAAAAGGGTTTTTTTTCAATAAAAAAACCTGAAAAAGCAGCTTTTTCATGAATCGTTTGGCTTTGGCTGTAAAAAGAAATTGAGAAATTGCTAAAAAATCATTGCTAAAAGTCTCAAGTTTGGCTTTGTGATTGAAAATATTTGCGTATGAAAAAAGAAGAAATTTGCATAAGAATTAGGGTTTTTATGATTTGTGTGAGTTTGCTGCTTTTTATGAAACGATTTTCGCGAGAAAAATGCGTTTTTTTTCAGCTTGAAACGACGAACAAGCTCGAATTCGCTCGGGAAAACGGATAGCGATGACGGAGAAGTACAATTGACGAAAAATGATGTCGTTTTGACGTTTAATATGGAGGTGAGAAAGGGTTGCGGGAGAAGCAAAAGGAAATGCTGAAGCGGGGATTGAACTCGTGAGATCTCGCTCTGGAAACGAGAGCTAGAGCGTAGAGCGTAGATCGTAGAGCGTAGAGCGTAGAGTGAGCTGTACCAATCGGCCAGAGATGCAACTAGCCCGGACCCAAAGCCGCCCTTAAGACCAAAATAACCGCATTTTCTTAGCAAAACTTTAGACGCTTAAAACTCTTGACAGATTGTCATTTGGAAAAAACGGAATATAGATTTGGAATCAGCATCAAATTCTGCGTTGATTAGTCTAGGTCGCATAGCATTTGGCTCAGCCAATCTCTTGTTAGTCACCAGTTTTTCCATATTAAATCATAACTTTCTTTCTTTCTTTTAAGCATTAATTCTATTTGCAAAATCAATGTGTTCTTCATTTTTTAAACACAAAAATAAAGCATCAAGAGCTTACTGTAAATATCGGGCGTTTAGGTTGTGGTGATGGAGGTGCAAAATCTGAAATCAGTTGCCTCAAACAAAATCGTTTATTGCACGATGGAGGTGGATGGATGCAAGTTGCAAACGGATCATGCTGAAGCTTCAAAACCATCGTGAGCATTAGAAAAATCGAATACCGTATTCTCTCTAATAGTAGTGCGCACTACTATTTTTTGAACCCCCTCCTGGATCGCAATACTATTAGAGAGTGCACTTCTATTAAAGAGTTTTATCATTTACCAAAGTAAGACAGATATAAGATTTGTTCCAAAAATTCTTGCAATTCTTTCCCGTACTCCTTTGGCTCCTTTTGACATACAGTTGTAGGCCAGCGAGTTGATAATTTGTGTCTTGACAAACAACAAAAAGATGTTAGCCTCACTTTTGCTTGCTTGAATAGCTTTAGAAGCTTGCTTGAATGCTTGAATAGCTTTAAAAGCTTGCTTGAATGCTTGAATAGCTTTAAAAGCTTGCTTGAATGCTTGGATAGCTTTAAAAGCTTGCTTGAATGCTTGAATAGCTTTAAAAGCTTGCTTGAATGCTTGAATAGCTTTCACATAAACATAAAAGTCAAAGGTTTAGATGAAAAAGAAGCAAACAGAAATTCAAATTTTCGGGGGTGCACTACTATTTTTTCAACCCCCTCCTTGACCGTAATACTATTAGAGAGTGCACTACTATTAAAGAGTGCACCTCTATTATAGAGAATACGGTATCTTATCGAAATCGAAATCAAGATCTTATCGAAATCGAAATAGAAATGAAAATTGTTTGCAGTTGGGATACGCAAGGTGATTTCTCGACGAAAAACCCGTTACCGGTGGTGAAAGTCAAGTTGTACACTGAGGTGAAAAGCATTGTTTCATTTGAGGATAAAGAGCTAGGAAAGGTGAGTTTTTAAAGCTAACTTCTTGCTCTAGATTTAAAGCTTGATATGAAAGCTTGATATTATCCAAAAAAACATTCAGGTAATCATTCAACCGACGCCGAATTGCTCAAGAAGCCCCGAATGGTATAAAATGACGGTGACGAAGAATAGCCCGGATCAGAATTTGAGGGTGAGGATTATGGTAGCTGGGTTTAGAGATAGTTTAGATATAGTTTAGTTGGTTAGAACCGCATTTACGTGCGGTTTAAAGGGAATGGCGCGAAAGCAGCGCAACGCGCTTTCTAAAGCGTGGATACGCTACCGTACCCCTCACAAAATTATCCTTTTGCCATTCTTTTCATTTTCATTCCATGGTCGTGGATTTTGTCCGACTTTTACTGGGTCCAGCTAAGCTTTTTTTTCCTTCTTCGTGATCTTTTGGGAGTGGGACAAATGCGACCTTTTTTTGCGCACCCGGACATTTGCGCACCTTTTTTCCGCACCTTGCCCATTAGCGCACCTTTTTTCGCGTTTTAAAAAAGCTCTAAAAAGCTAATATTAACCAATTTCTATTCCAAAAGTTGTTTTTCTAGGTAATTTTAGGGCGTAGAATCGAAATTTTGACATATCAGAGCTTGTGGAAACAAACGGACGGAGTTATACAAAGAGAAAAATCGACAATTTTCTGTAATTTGATCTAGGCCGTTTTGTCTTTCAAATTGGTTCCACACGCTCTGTTATGTCAAAATTTCGATTCTACGCCCTAAAATTATTTAGAAAAACAACTTTTGGAATAGAAATTGGTTAATATTAGCTTTTTAGAGCTTTAAAACGCGAAAAAAGGTGCGCTAATGGGCAAGGTGCGGAAAAAAAGGTGCGCAAATGTTCGGGTGCGCAAAAAAAAGGTCGCATTTGTCCCACTCCCAGAATTAGTACTCAATCTAATATATTGTTCCGCTCATATTTCCTGTTTAAATTTCTAAAATTCTTTTTTTTTTGTTTCTCTTGGCTCCCTTTTACTCCATTGTGTTCGAATCTTTTTTTTTTATGTTCTGCATTAGCTTGACCAATTCTCTTTCAACTAAAACGCACAAAATCTATCAAAATTGGCGCGATCTTTTTGGGTTTGGTGTCTAATTATTTTAGAAAAAGTATTGAGTAAGGTTAAATGGTTACTAATTATCGGTTACTACTCAGTTATATAAATTTTCGTTTTTCAGATTCGGATAGCGATCCGCGTCGAGAAACCGCCAAACCTCAAATACTGTGGCTATTGCTATGCGATCGGACGAGCCGCGTGGAAAAAGTGGAAGCGACGTTTTTTCTGCCTTGTACAGGTCAGTCTTGTTTTAAGCTTACTCCAGATTAGACTTGCTTAACGATTCTTAACAATACCCGCAAAACGAGGATTTGGTTCCGATCACGGTCAAGGTGTTTCGTTTTTCTACAAAAATTTATCATGCCTTTGCATTAAATCTCAAGGTGCCAGAAAAGTAGTTAGTGCTTTAAAATATTGAATTTTACCATAGTTATGCCAAGTTTTAGTTCAAGATCGTTTAGGACCGTTAAGCAAGTCTAAAAGTCTAGCAAGTCTAAGGGCCCTTTATAAATCAAGATTAGGTCAAGTCCAAGCCTGGATTTGGTAGAATTTTTTCCAGTTTTTTTTTGTGGATCAGAAGCCAAGCCAAGACTGACATTTGGTCAAAGGGTCTAGCCTGTCCGAAAAGATTGACTTTAGACCAATCTTGGCTTTGGTCTAATCAGGATAAAAACCAGCCACCAGTCTTGATTTATCCTCGTAGATTCTCAAATCAGAACCTAGGCTTGACCTGGTCCAGTTGTCAGTCTTGCCAGTGTCTCTGGTTGACGTTGATGTACTTTTCCTTTTCTAGGTCTCCCAGTATGCCTTCGCGATGTGCAGCTATCGAGAGAAGAAATCGGATCCAACAGAATTGATGCCACTTGACGGGTTCACGATTGATTACATGCCTGAACCGGATTCTGGTGGGCAGATTTAACTAAAACAGAAGGCTGATTTGAATTGTTTAATGTTTAAAAAGAGTTTAAATTCAATTCAATCAAACTCTTAATTCTTGTTTTCTCTTTTCAGAACTTTCCTCCCTTGGCGGTAAATATTTCTTCACGGCGATCAAAGAAGGGGATGAATTAAAGTTTGCAACCGATGACGAGAATGAGAGACATTTATGGGTTCAGGTTAGTAAATGTCGAGTACAAAGTTGGGTTTAAGCCAGCAACAATTGCTCAACCATCGTTGCTCATGATCAATCGTTTCTAATGAGTCCTAGATCTGAAAAAGATCAAAGATGATCTCTTTTTGATTGAATATTTATAGGATATAGATGGCTTAGACAGTTTTAAATCTAGTATTTAACAGAATATCTGTAATATCTAATATCTAACTGTAATATCGAATATCTAACTGTAATATCGAATATCTAGCTATAGTAACCCGAAATCTAGGCAATGTATCGAGCCACTGGGCAAGCCTACAAGCCAGTTCCACCGAAACAAAGCACCGTTGTGCCCACGAAAGCTCAGGGTTTCGCCGACAAGGCCAGCAAGCATGGAATGGATGAAATTATACAGGTTTTTAAAGAATTATTCAACTTTTCTACAAATTTCTCAGGCTGATCCGATTGCTTTCAATCACGATCATTTGTTCTCAGATCTACAAAAGTTGACGCTAGCTTTTCGCCTCAACGAACCGATTTGCTCATTGGTAAGTATTGAGTGTTTTAAGGGATACCGTAGCTTTTCAAGGGATTACTGTAGCTTTCCAAAAAAGACAGCCTATTACTATTAAGCCTTCAGTCCACTATAGGGTTGCGGTAGCTTTTTCTAAAATCCCACTTTTTCAGGGTTGGTTCTCGCCTGGGCAGGTGTTTGTCTTGGATGAGTACTGTGCTCGGTACATGGTTCGCGGGTGTCATCGGTGAGTGTTTCAGAGAATTTTGCTGTTTTTTTGAATCTTTTACTGATACTTTTACTGATAATACGAATCCATAAGATCTAGCATCAAGTTTTTTTGTACTCCATTTCCGGAAAGCATTGTCCAAAAAGAAATTTTCGTTTAGAAATGAATAGTTATAATGAATAGTCAATTAAACGTGTGGTTTACTTTAAGTTTAAAAAAATTAACTATTTCATTTAGCTCATTTTTAGGCAAATTTAAGTTCGCTTTGAAGCAAATCCCGACGGGAATTCTCGTTTTTCCTTACAATTGGCATAGAATGAAAATGGCTCAATGAAATTTTATGAAAATTGGTCTATCTGCCTAACTTTTCATTCTCTATCTTTGGTCTTTTGATACCAAAAAAGATTTCTGTGCTCAAAACGGAGTTTCATCGTTTTTGACTCCTCGACTTCAAAAAAAAAATTAACTAACTCTTTCAAAAAATGAACTAACGCTAGCTTTTCAGAATTTCTTAAATGGCAATTTGTAAATAAATAATAGGACTTTGTGATTAAAAAAAACATAAATTGATTGGTTTATTTGTTAAAAAGGTAACCTTTAAAAAAACTGGACAAGCCTCAACCTGAACTTTGATTCGTAAATCAATCTCAACTTCTAGACATGTCTCTCTACTATCGAATCTCTTGGACAAAGCCGATCAAGGTCATCTCGTCGATCCAACTCTCATCCACTACTCGTTTGCCTTTTGTGCTAGCCACGTGCACGGGAATAGGTACTCGATTTTCTAGAACTTCAACTATACTTTTAAAAGCTCAAAGAAAGAGAAATTTCGCTCAAAATAGGCATTTTCTCTAGTGATAAACTGGCAAAAGCATTGAAAAGGTAAGTTTTTTTTTTTTTGATTAGGATTAGACTATTAGACTCATAGTGTCGTAGAAAACTTCTAAACTATTTTTTCTGTCTCATCAATTTCATATAAAGAATTCAAATACTCAACCTAGAAACCGCAAAATCAGCAAAATTCAGCATTTTTGACAATTTTAGACCCGATGGTGTTGGCACGGTGACACAAGAGGAAAAAGAACGATTTCAAGAAATCAAAGAACGATTGAGAATATTGTTGGAGAAGCAGATCACGAATTTTCGGTTAGACTTTTGCTTTTTGTTACCTATAGTGCTATATACCTATAGTATTTTGAGCCCCCCTGTAAACGCATGAATGCTGGCATACCTGCCAAATTTTTGTCTACGAAACGATTGAGGTTTTTGAGCTCAAAAGTACTTTGAGAAAAGGAGACTAGGAAGTCAGTACGACTTTCTAGTCTCATTTTCTTGCATCGAGTAGGCCAAATGGTTTGCGATTACTAGAGCTCAAGTAAAGAAGAACTTTTCTAATCAATAAGTACCATAGATTCCGTGCGTTTACTCCCTACAGTATGGCAAAAACGAGAGTTTGCAGGGGGTGTACTTTGTGCTCGCGTAAACGCACGAGTTCTGACCTACTTGGTCCCTATTGTGCTAGACAGCGAGCTGTTTATCTAGTTTTGTTTTAGAAAAGTTTTGATAAGTCATTTAAGGTAATTCTTTTTCAACTTTCAGCTATTGTTTCCCATTTGGTCGACCCGAGGGCGCGCTAAAGGGAACGCTGAGTCTTCTCGAGAGGGTAAATTTATTGATTTTATATTAAACATTTTGGAATTTATGAATTTAATATGAAGACATCAAATCCATGATTTTCATATAAAGAAATCCTTAACTGAAATACTCATAGCCATAGTTGAGACTGAAAGACTCATAGCCATAGTTGAGACTGAAAGACTTATAGCCATAGTTGAGACTGAAATACTCATAGCCATAGTTGAGCCATACTCAACCTAGAAACCCAATTTTGCATGTACTATTCGTACAATTCGACACTTCGATAAAAATTTTTCTTTTTATCTAAAAAAGAAATCCTTGGTTTCACTCTTCTTTACTTCTATTATCTTTCTTTTTTTCTTTTGTTTTCTTTCAATTAGCATGTAATTGTTTTTCTTTGAGTTTTTCTGAACTAAAGAATGTGAATGGGAATGTTTTTTTGGACTAAAAATGAAGATTCTGTCTTTACAAATTAACGTTTTCCTTGAGAGCTTTGAAAAAGGCATCAAATTGATTTTTAGGTTTCGAATGCTTTTAAAAGATTCACTCAGTTGCCAATTTGATGTCAAGTTTTCTTTCTTTCACCTATCTCTATTCCTCTAGTTTTCCCCCTTGAGGTCAAGATTAGACTTGAACTCTGTGCTCTGAAAAAAGCCCACTCGCTGGCATACTTGAATATCTTGTATCAATTGGGACCTAGAGCCTGTAGCCATGATTTAACTAGATCCTTGAAGTTGTAAACTAGCCAAGGGTAGGACAGGCCTGCTCAGAAACTAGGTACAAAGTTTTTTTGAGTAATCAGATCACTGTAAGCATTGTGGACCCAATTATGTTCCAATTGGGTCCCTAGAGCTTTAAATTGGGTCAACTTAGAGAGTTAGGCCAAAGCTAAGCCTGATAGAGGCACGGTTGGCCAAACCAGCAACTAGAAGCTAGCCTGGCTTAGTCCACAAGTTTCAGGATCCCTTGGCCTGATCTAGTCTAGCCTAGCCTAGCTTACAGATCGTAAAATACCGGTTACAACATCCTACTTTTAGATAAAGCTCCAGAAGACAATAGCAAACATTTAATATGCCAGCTTGTCGGCGTTTACAAGAGCCCAAAGGTCCCTTTGACCTCCTATCACTTCTCTCTTTTTCCCTTTTCTCTCTAATCTCTCCTCTATCTATTTCAGGTGATGCTGGAACACGCAACCACTCATACCGATGCTGAGCAGGTGCTTAGTGCTCAAGAAAAAAAAAACACTGAGAAAAGAAATTTCGAGCCGCACTTCACATAAAAATAGCTGCCGTGTGCTGCACAATTTTCCCTTGCTGATAAACTGATAAATCGTGTTTCTTGTGCTCAAAAGTGAGATCAAAATACTAGCTTAGTTTTATTGCTTATTGTAGAAGAAGCTCTTTCAGTGGTTTATCGAAAAGCTCGGGTTTATTAGCTCGGTATACGATACTGTAGGGGGCACTTGGATATGTACTGGCAATGAGTACTGGACTCTGTACAAGATACTGTACTCTACGAGTTACGAGTTACTACTGAATCTACGCGTTACTGTACTGAGTTGAGTACAGTACCGGATACTGTACTCAATAGATCTATGCCAATACTTGCCTAGTGCCATAGATTTTGTGCGTTTATCAAATGACAGACCATAAAGGAGTCCTTTCTAAATAGTTTACAGTACTTTTAAACCGACTTACGGTACTTCTAAACCGACTTACAGTACTTTTAAACCGACTTACCGTAATTCTAAACCGACTTACGGTAATTCTAAACAATTACGGTACATTTAAACTACCGTAATCCTGAAACTGAAAGAGTCATCTCGCTTTTGAGCACAATCATTCCCCCCAAAACCATTTCCTTGCTTCATTTTTCTAACCCCTCGTTCGTTTTTATATTCGCTTTTGCTCGTTCGTTTCGTTGGTTTCCAGTTTTTTTCAAATCAAAAAATGGGTAATAGAAAGTGTTTGTGGATAGAGATAAATCGAGCTGCTTTATTTTTAGGTATTGATGAAAGACGTTGTCTCGCCTGTGCCCCCAGAAGAAGTTCGAGCCGTGATTCGACAATGTCTAGAAAATGCGGCACTCGTCAATTACACACGAATATGCAATGAGGCAAAAATTGAACGTGAGTTCCGCTAGCTTTATTGATAATGAATTTTATGATTTGATCATTTGAAAGTTGTGAATCTCGTCAAGAGGTTGCGGAGATAGGCTAAAGAAGTTGCGTGATGGCTTGAAGCTCATAAACGCACGATTTCTGGCACAATTATTGTGTCAATTAGATCAGAAATCATTTTTTTTTTGTTTACTTAAAAGTACAGTGCACCTCGGGCACAATAGGAAGACGCAGCTCGACCAAGACCTAGGAAGTACGGACATGCACCAGCTCTCGGAACTCAGAGATCCAGTGGAAGTGATCGAGAGAAAAAGACTCAGATGCCAGAAGAACCAGAAGAAGGACCATGTAGCCAGAAGAACAGACGACAGATGGACGATACGGATCACAGAGTGGCTACAACGAGACTAGAAGAGGCCCAGACCAGCAACGAGGTGGAGCACAAGAGTGGCAAAGACGGTCAAAGAAAGGATGGCTAGAGTGCAACCACCACCAGCACAAGCAAGTTGAAGACTTCGAACCAGGAACAATCAAGCTAGGAAACACTGGATGACAATAGCAAGGGATAGAGAAATGTGGAAGCAGATTGTTTTTTTTTTTATCTGTCTTCGCACTCAGGTGTTCCTATTTGCGCAGATCACAAGGTTGTGATCCGCGCAAAATAGGAACACCTAAGTGCGAAGACAGATCAAAAAAGAAAAGAAAATACAATGCAATAGTTTCAGTTTTTGATTTGACTTAGTTGTTTTAGTAAAAACCGAAAAAGTGACCTTTTTTCTTTAAGAGCGAATGAATCAAGAAGTCTCGCCGGCACAACGAATCGAGGATATGGTCCGAATCACTGAGTATTGCATCGATTTACTCAAAGAGAATGAAGAACACCATGGAGAGGTAGATTTTAAACGCAAAAACTTCGATTTTGGCGGTGCGACAAATGCGATCTTTTTTTATTTTGTGCACCTAGACATTTGCGCACCTTTTTTTTCGCTGGAAAAGACCGTAGAGCTTCAAAAATCGTTCTCTTATAAGGGAATCGTATGCGTAGATTCCGAATTTCGATAAATCAGACCTCGCTGACACGTCAAAATTGAGCTAGAAAGCTAAAAAAACTACGCAACTTAACGCTTTTCCGCAGTTTTTGCCTTTTAGCTCAAATTTGACGTGTCAGCGAGGTCTGATTTATCGAAATTCGGAATCTACGCATACGATTCCCTTATATGAAACGAGTTTTGAAGCGCTAAAGCCTTTTCCAGCAAAAAAAAAAGGTGCCCAAATGTCTACCGTAAATACTGTAATAGTACCCCATCCCCATAATGACGGTGCGGAGCGTTGCGTAGTCTAGCTTTGGGCGTGTTTTTCTCGACACTGGTTTATGCTACAGGTATCAAATAGGTATCAAAAAATAGCTGAAATTCAGCGCTATTTTTTGATATTAAAGTGCACATTGTAGCATAAAGGAGCGCGGAGAACGGGATGTTTAAAGTTAGACTACGCAACCATCCCGAAAAAACGAGTTTTTCTCGACACTGGTTTATGCTACAATGCTCGTTTAGATATCAAAAAATAGCCCTGAATTTCAGGGCTATTTTTTGATACCAAAGACACATTTTCTGAAAGCATGGGTGCTTTGAAAAAAAAGAAATACTAAAAAACTTTTGCGACTACGCGACTGTACGAGGTGGGGGTGTGGTCCAATTACAGTATTTACGGTAGGTGCGCAAAAAAAAGGTCGGATTTCTCTCACCCCCTTCGATTTCTATTCTATCCAACTGTCCCATTTCCCATTTTTTACAGCAGATTCGAGGGGTATGCTTCCTATTTTTCTTTCGATAACTTAAACTGTCACTAACGGTAAAAGCGATGGGAGATCTTGGTTTGTAGAGAATTTTTGCGGTGATTTGAAAAAGAAACGATCAAAATCCATATGGTCATGGTTTTAGCTATGTAGATCTTATTGTAGGCTTACTGTACGCTTACTGTAGGCCTACTGTAGGCCTACTGTAGGCTCACTGTAGCTAGATATTATTGTAGGCCTACTATAGACCAAGATCTCCCATTCAAATAGAATCGAGTGCTTCCTTTAATTCGTTTTTTGGTTTTCCGAATTTTCCTCACATTTTTTTCACTTTTCCATCAAGCAATCTCACTAACACTATTATGAAAGTTTTGTCATGCAAAATTTGATAAGCTTAGCTTCGTTTTTTGGTATTTTTTGGTATTTTTTTGTATTCTGAGTGTTAGCTGAGTATCGATTTTTCTCTGAATAAATCAAAAATTTCAGGCTTTTGCGTGGTTTTCCGATTTGTTGACCGATCATTCGGAGATTTTCTGGAGTCTTTATTCGGTGGATTTAGACGCTGCATTGCAGGTATACTGTAAATTAAGCGAAATTGGTCTAGTTTTTTGATCGGTTCCAATACGGTTCCAATACGGTTCTAATACGGTTCCAATACGGTTCTTTTTTTGATGGAAATGATAGTGTCTTAATATTAGTTAAATAGTACTATAGAATAGTAATTTCATCTCTTAACTCTGATAAACATACTGTAATCCATAGAGTTTTCGCTCTTTTTTTTGTAGCAATACTGTAGTTGGGTGGGAAGACTGTAAATATACGGTAAATGGTAGTGTCTTAATATTAGTTAAATATTTGTAATACTTGAAAGACAAGAATTTGTTACAGATGCAACCGGCAGACAGTTGGGACTCATTTCCTCTCTTCCAAATGCTCAACGATTTCTTGATGATTGAAGGTAAGCTTTGATTACAAATACAGACCAGGCAAAGAGATGGGTCCTAGCCTTACCTGACATGATCGAACCTGGTCGAGCTTACGGTAGTCGTAGTCTAAGCCTAGCATAGCATAGCACAGCATAGCATAGCATAGCATAAGCCTAGCCTAGCCTTGCCTAGCATAGCATAGCCTAGCCTAGCATAGCCTAGCATAAGCCTAGCCTAGCATAACATAAGCCTAGCATAGCCTAGCCTAGCATAGCATAAGCCTAGCCTAGCCTTGCCTAGCATAGCCTAGCATAGCATAGCATAGCATAGCATAGCATAAGCCTAGCCTAGCATAAGCCTGATCCTTTACAAGCCCTAGTATTTGGCCAGAACAAACCTTGTTATTTTTTACGCTTCTGTCTTTTAGTAAACCAACTTTCCCTTTCAGCCACCCTCAAGAACGGTATCTTCCACACGAAATTGACTCAACAATTTCAACCACTCGTCACTCGTTATGTCGATCTAATGGAACACTCAATTGCTCAATCGATTGAGAAGGGTTTCACAAAAGAGAAATGGGAACCAAGAAAGTGAGTGAGAGAAAGGGAATTCGAAAGAATTCGAAAAAAACAACAACAACAACAACAACACTAGGCCATCACGTGCACTGATTTAGCAAAGTATTTTTTGCGATTTCAGTGCACTAGAAGATCAATTTTTTTGCCTTTAAAGTACATTAAATATTAATCAAATCATTTAGAGTGCAAGCTATGGCTTCAGAGTAGGTTTTTTTTCTCTAAGAGATTTCACAAAAAGCATGGAATGAACTAGATTTGCATTCAAAATTATCACAAAGTACAGTAGTTTACATCAAAATTCACAAAAAAAACATGAAAATTTGATGAAAATAATGGTTTTCGATGTTGTTTTTAGCTGAAGAGTGCGGGGAAATTCCCCGATTTGAGTAGAGAAAACGAGTGAATTTGAATAGATTCGTGAAATTGATCAAATCAAATTTGATTTGTTTGTTATCTACATTGAATGTTTGTTTGTTTTTTTTTTTTTGATTTTTGATTTTTGATTTTATAGCAATCAAATCAAATCGCAGATAGCAATCAAATCAAAAAAAGCGTTTCTAGAAGTTAAATGGATGGAATTTTTTCAGAGATGGTTGTGCCACTTCGGAGGATATTTATTGGAAATTGGATGCATTACAAGGTTTGACCTTTGGACTTTTAACAAAATGCACTTTGTACTTTGTACTCACTTTGTACTCACTTTGTAAACATTGTATTCTGGTAAACCTAAAATTAAGGAATTGTCTGTCAGGGAACAGTGCTTTTCTACCGTAAATACTGTAATAGTAAAAGCAATCTAAGCCAGCCCAAAAAACCCTAATACTGTACCCCACCCCCCATAATACGGTCGCGGTGTGTTGCGTAGTCTTTAGCTTTGAACGCGTTTTTCTCGGCACTGGTTTATGCTACAATGCTCGTTTAAATATCAAAAAATAGCTGAAATTCAGGGCTATTTTTTGATACCAAACCGCAGCATTGTAGCATAAAGCAGCGCGGAGAACGGGATGTTTAAAGTTAGACTACGCAACCTCTAAAAACCCGGGTTTTCTCGACACTGGTTTATGCTACAATGTGCACTTTGGTATCAAAAAATAGCCCTGAATTTCAGCTATTTTTTGATATTTAAACGAGCATTGTAGCATAAACCAGTGTCGAGAAAAACTCGTTCAAAGCTAGACTACGCAACACTCCGCACCGTCATTATCGGAGTGGGGTCCAATTACAGTATTTACGGTATGTTTATGCTAGATATTCAATTGTTTTATTATTTTTTTTTATTTTCTAGGCTTTGTTCATGATTTGAATTGGCCTGAAGAAGAATTTCGAAAGTATTTAACCGTTCGAATGAAGAGTTTAACATCGGATATGGTCGGAAAAGTGGCTAACAGGTGATTTATTAATGAATTATTTAAACAAAATGCTTTTAACAAGGCTTTTAACGATCCTTTTAACGATGTTATAAAGAAATTCAAACATTTTAGCACTTATCAATGCTTTGATGGTTGGATGCAACGCTATCGAAAGTCTACTGATTACATTTTACCCACTGAAGTCTGTGTGATGATCAATGTGATCTTTTCCAGTAAAACAAGAGCCGTTCGCTTAAGGATTGACAATGAGGTGAGGAAATGAGAGAGAAGCGACGAGATTTCGATAGAAAACTCGTCTGCTACAAGTTTTTTTAGCAAATAGCATCAAATAGCATAACTGGCACTTCGTTCTGTCGGTTCGGTGATCGTAACGAGAAATAGGGTAGAAATAGATACCCAAAAAGAGCCTGTTGACTCAACTTATTCAAAGATCAAATCCTTTTTTACATCAAACTAATATTGTAACGAGAACAGGGTAGATTACAGTACTGGACAATGAAATATGATATATTTGAAAAATGATCGTCACTTTCGCGCGTCTGTAACTCCGTTGTCTTTGAGTTTAAACTGTATAATTGTATAGTACTCTGACAAAGAGAGAATACCGTATTCTCTCTAATAGTAGTGCGCACTACTATTTTTTCAACCCCCTCCTGGACCGCAATACTATTAGAGAGTGCACCACTATTAGAGAGTGCACTACTATTAGAGAGAATACGGTATCTATACTAGAAAAAAAAGGAACTTTGAAAGTGTACAGCTAAAATAATGAAATCTCGTATAGTTATTTCATCAATCCCCGATCAAGCTGATAGGCATCCAAAAAGAATTTTGACATTGTGGAGGTCGTTGATTTAGATTTAACTTTACTTGGTCTTTTCCATCGATCTAGTTGTGCTAAATTCAAAAATTCACTCTTACTAGAGAAAGTCACCAGTTCGTTTTGTACTATCGACGTTTTGGGTCATCTGGACACATACAGTAATGGACAATGAAATATGATATATTTGAAAAATGATCGTCACTTTCGCGTGTCTGTAACTCCGTTGTCTTTGAGTTTAAATTATTAGTGTCATACATTTTCTGAAAGCTCTTTTCAACGGCTACACAATGGGAATATTAATATTTAGAAATACGGTAAAGACAAGGGAGTTACAGACGCGCGAAAGTGACGATCGTTTTTCAAATATCATATTTCATTGTCCAGTAGTGTAGATACCCAAAAAGACCCTGTTCGGTTAATTATTCAAAGATCAAATCCTTTTTTACATCAAACTAATATTATTTACGAGATTACTGATCAAAAAAAAGTGATTTTCAAATCTTTTACAAAAATCTGGTCGACAGTGGGCTTGAACCAGGGACGTTCGAGCCGAGGCGCTAGCACGCTAACCACTAGGCTACCGAGGTACCAGGGTGAGGCCCGCGGAAACACGTTGAGTAGGCGTTGTTTGGTGAAATTGGGCGAAACTTTAAAGGGTTTTAACTCAAAAATGGCTAATGATAAGTAGAATTTGAAAGCAGCTTTCGAATGCTGATAACTAAGAGATGTTTGCGCCTTGGAATCAAATCGAAAATTTAACTTTAAGGGGTTCCCTGGTTAGGTTAAAGCTAGATCTAGGTTCAAGCCTGACTTGAATCTGTAAATCTGGCAGATCCAGAGACTTTTCTGAGTAAGTCCAAGTCAGAATTTGGCTTCTCGCCTGTTTTGGCCTATCCTGATCACCTAAAAAAGTTATCTGTAGAATATTTGGCGATTTACTTGTCTATTTAATGATTCAAATTCGTTTTTTCAGTACAAGGGCTATCAATCAAAGCTTGATGAGACATTAGACACAATGTTGCACGATATGGAACATTGCTTACAGGTTTGATAACACAATTTTCCTCGATTTCTTTCATTTTTCTTCTTTTTAGGATAAACTCATCGGTGTGCTGGAGTTTGTTTTGGGGAAACTCGCGCGCTATGATGAGGGAAATCCGATTGGAGCGTTGCTTTCAATTGCGGTAAAAATTTAACGTAAAAAAATGTCTTAAAGGGGGGTATTAATCGCGGCCAGGTGACGATAAAAATTTTTTTACGGCAACCACCTGTTTTTTTGTTTTAATATCGCTGATTTTATTATAAAAAGAATAAAAATCACCCGGCTAGAGTGATTTGATGGGTTTACAAATTTTTGGAGACACTGCAAGGCTTGGAGAAAAACAAGTCTTCCTAAGTCTTCCTACTTCTTCCTAAGTCTTCCTACTTCTTCCTAATTCTTTCTACTTCTTTCTACTCCTTTCTACTTCTTCCTAAGTCTTCCTAAGTCTTCCTACTTCTTCCTAAGTCTTCCTACTTCTTCCTAATTCTTTCTACTTCTTTCTACTTCTTTCTACTTCTTTCTACTTCTTTCTACTTCTTTCTACTTCTTCCTAAGTCTTCCTACTTCTTTCTACTCCTTTCTACTTCTTCCTAAGTCTTCCTAAGTCTTCCTACTTCTTCCTAAGTCTTCCTACTTCTTCCTAATTCTTTCTACTTCTTTCTACTTCTTTCTACTTCTTTCTACTTCTTCCTAAGTCTTCCTACTTCTTTCTACTCCTTTCTACTTCTTCCTAAGTCTTCCTACTTCTTCCTAAGTCTTCCTACTTCTTCCTAATTCTTTCTACTTCTTTCTACTCCTTTCTACTTCTTCCTAAGTCTTCCTAAGTCTTCCTACTTCTTCCTAAGTCTTCCTACTTCTTCCTAAGTCTTCCTAAGTCTTCCTACTTCTTCCTAAGTCTTCCTACTTCTTCCTAAGTCTTCCTAAGTCTTCCTACTTCTTCCTAAGTCTTCCTACTTCTTCCTAATTCTTTCTACTTCTTTCTACTTCTTTCTACTTCTTTCTACTTCTTCCTAAGTCTTCCTACTTCTTTCTACTCCTTTCTACTTCTTCCTAAGTCTTCCTACTTCTTCCTACTTCTTCCTAAGTCTTCCTACTTCTTCCTAAGTCTTCCTACTGCCTACTTCATACTTCATACTTCCATAATTTAGCCAAAACCGACTTCGATCTTTAACAAAGTGAAAGGAATGGTCGATCAGGCTCAATCACCACATCAAGCTGCTGTAAGTTGTCTTTATCTGCTATAGAATTTCTGTATAGGCTTTTTCTCGATCGTCTTTAAACCAAAATAACTGAAAGATGAACCTATTTGATTGTGAATTAAGAAAAAGCTGAAGAATTCGATTGAACGATCTAGAAGACCTAGTAAAATCGAATCTAAATCAAATCTGAAAACAATTTTTTTTAGAAACAACCAATCGGCGCCACTCCATCACAACAATCTGGCCATATCGGCAACAATTATGTAACATTTATGCGTGGATGTACTGAGCAATTGAGGCAAATTGTTGTCGATGAAGTTTGGGTGAATCGAGTTTTTGAGGTGAAAATATATTTTTAAAAAATCGTAAAGTGTTATGCATTTATTTAGACTTCGGAAAACAAAAAAAAACTTAACCAAAACCAAAACAAACCAAAACCGAAACAAACCAAAGCCAAAACAAACCAAAACCAAAACCAAAACTAACCAAAACAAACCAAAACAAACCAAAACCAAAACAGACCAAAACAGACCAAAACCAAAACCAAACCAAACCAAAATCAAAACCAAAACAAACCAAAACCAAACCAAAACCAAAACCAAACCAAAACCAAAACCAAAACAAACCAAAACCAGAACCAAAACTAACCAAAACTAACCAAAACTCGCGAATATCTCGCGATTGGGAGGAGCTAGCGAAAATCTGTTTGCAGATTTGAAATCAGCGTTCAAAAATCTATCCCATAGGCTATTTTTTGTCTCGAAATTTCGAGATCGTGTTTTGGTCCTTTTTTCGGCCCCGAGATTTTGGGGCGTGAGAAAAAGTGAAAGGTAAATTTGCATTTTACATTAAAATTTGCATTTTACAATTTTAAATTTACATGTTAATTTATATGCAAATTGAGTTTTGGTTTGTTTTGGTGTTTTGGTTTTGGTTTTGTTTGCCGAAACAACTCTACATTTATTTATTTTTTTTTCAGCATTGGTATGACAATCAAATGAAAATGATCAACGAGTGGTTGACAGAGAGATTACAGCAAAATCTTAGCCCATATCAATTCACATGCTTGTCTTTTATTGTAAAGGTTTGGATTTTATGAAGAAATTTTATTAACAAAGTTCTTAAAAGTTAAAAATTCATTAGATTACTTTGAATATCTTTTTAATTACTTTGTAAAAACTTTAATAAAAGCAATCTAAGTCTAGTCTCAAATAAATACTTTAATAGTACCCCACCCCCATAATGACGGTGCGGAGTGTTTCGTAGTCTAGCTTTGAACGAGTTTTTCTCGGCACTGGTTTATGCTACAATGCTACAACATATATCAAAAAAATAGCTGAAATTCAGCGCTATTTTTTGATATCTAAACGAGCATTGTAGCTTAAACCAGTGCCGAGAAAAACGCGATCAAAGCTAGACTACGAAACACTCCGCACTGTCATTATGGCGGTAGGGTACTATTACAGTATTTACGGTATATTGACGACAGTATTTTGGTTTTTAATTTGTTTAAGGATCAAATTAAAGTGGAAAGGATTGCTGTTTCTATTAGAGTTTGATTAGAACGATTAACTAACACAGAACTTTACTTATAAGTACCTTTTTCAGAAAGTCTACTCCGATTTCGAGCTACAAGGGATTGAAGAAGAAAGATTGAACAATAAAGCTCATCAATCGATTGCGAGAAGGATGCAAGTCGAGGTATGCAGATAAATAGATTTATGGAGATGAGATTAAGGATAAGGATATGGATAAGGATATGGATAAGGATATGGATAAGGATAAGGATAAGGATAAGGATGAGGATAAGGATGAGGATAAGGATAAGGATGAGGATAAGCATAAGGATATGGATATGGAGAAGGATAAGGATAAGGATAAGGATATGGATATGAATATGGATATGGATATGGATATGGATATGGATAAGGATAAGCATAAGGATAAGCACAAGGAGAATTCAAATAAATCCTCTAAACTATCATATCTGTTCAATTTTGTTCAAATTTTAGCTAAAGTTTCTTTTTCTTTTCGTCAATTCCTGTCAATTCTTGTTGTGGCGAATAGCCACTAAAAGTTATCTAACTCTGATAGCCTAAAAATTGGAAAAGTATTGAGGAAATCGGAAAGTTTTGTCCTAATTAGGACGAAATTGTTTCTGTTTTTATCGTCACTTTTTAATTCAATTGTCGATCTTGTGTGAAAGTGAGAGCCCCAAAGATTGCCCAAGTGAGAGCCCCAAAGATTCCGAGTCAGTCGGCTATTGAATAAAGTGTCTTATAACGTGTCTTATATCTCGTTCAAGTGAGATCAGATATCTCAAAACAAGAAATAACGTGTCTTGAGTGAAGAGTACCAAAGCAAGCAAGCAGAATATTTCTTTACACTTGTCATTTTCTTTTTCTTTTTTCAGTTACAAGAGAAGAAAGTGTCCAGATATTCGTTTTCGTGTCTCAATTGTCGATTGGCAAAGAATTAAGAGAAATTCGGATGTAAAAGGATAGATTTTCTATTTTGGTTTTGACTTTTGGCTTTTGGTTTTTTGCTTTTTTGGTTTTTTAGTTTTTCAGGGGTATGCGAAAAGATTTTTGGAGTTTTTTTTTTGATTTTGAAATTTGGAATTTGAAACGAATTCATTCTAGTGCATTGAATGTATGAATTGTAATGAATTCAATGCACTAGAAAGATTGTTTACCCCTGTTCGGGATAGGATTTGTCCATATCCCTTGGTTCAGGCAGAATATTTATAGACTTATAGAGATTTATAGAGAAATAGAATTTCCGAACAATTTACCCTTTTTTTACTCACAAGGCAAAGATAGTTAAGTTACTCACAAAGCACAGTAGCAAAGTAAGTTAAGTGAGCGAAAATAACTATGAAAAGAGAACATTTTGTAGTGTTGAAAAGTTATAGGGTTGAAAATTGCGTAAAAGAAATAGTAAAGAAGAAAAAAAAGAAAAAAAGCTTGGTTTCTGGTTTCTTCCTCTCAATAATCGTTATTTGATTAAAATTTTTGATTTTAGGAGACGAATTGTGCTTTACATGATGCATCAGCGGCCACTCACTCGTCATCGGGTTTATCATTGGGTGGAGCATCAGCAGCCGTCTCAAATATGTCAAATCTTGTTGAAGGATCGGCGGCTAGAGTTTTCTCGTTGTTTAAATGAAATTTCGATATTTATATCTTTAATTTTAGATTTTTTTTGAGATCTAAATCAGAAGGAAAGCTAAAGAAATGATTTGATTTGATTGATTTGATTGATTTAATCGATTTTTGATTGATTTGATCAATTTTTGATTGATTTGATCAATTTTTAATCGATTTGATCAATTTTTGATTGATTTGATCAATTTTTAATCGATTTGATCAATTTTTGATTGATTTTTGATCAATTTTTAATCGATTTGATCTATTTTTGATTGATTTGATCTATTTTTGATTGATTTTTGATCGATTTTTGATCGATTTTTGATTGATTTGATCGATTTTTAATTGATTTTATCAATATTTGATCTATTTTTGATCGATTTTTGATCGATTTGATCAATTTTTAATCGATTTTTGATTGATTTTATCAATTTTTAATCGATTTTCAGTAGCCAATTATATAAATTATGTAAATTTACTTAAACTATGAGAACTTAACTTAACTGAACTTAGCTTAACTTAACTTAAAATAGCTTAAAATAGCTTAAAATAGCTTAAAATAACTTAAAATAACTTACCGTAAATACTGTAACAGTACCCCAAAAAACTCAATCTTTTCCTTTCTAGATTTTGAAAATTCAATTAATTTCTTCGAAATTTTCATCCTTAAAGAAAATTTGCTCATTTAAATGACTCCAAATAATCAAATATCTTTTAATTAACTAAATATTAAATGAATATCTTTTAATTTTATACAAAATAAAATTCTCTTCTTAAAATTAGAAAAACTTTCAATGAATTATGCGAATAATTGGGATAAGCTAATTTTCGCAATTTTTTTTTACGCAACTTGCCATAACTTTCTTCTTAGTCGGGCAATTTTTATGATTTTGTTGTCATTTTGTAGATCTCAATAAGAGCAACAAAATGACAACAAAATCATAAAGATTGGTCGACTTAGAAAATAGTTATGACTCATCTAGGCCATGACCATCTTCTTTCCGAGTCTTTTGATCCATAACTTTCTTCTAAGTCGACCAATCTTTATGCTTTTGGTGTCATTTTGTAGATCTCAATAAGAGCAACAAAATGACATTAAAATCATAAAGATTGGTTCATTCAGAAGAAAGTTATGGTGAGTTGCGCAAAAGGACCCAGTTGTTTTGGTTCCATTTTGTTGCACTTATTGAGATCTTTGTTTGTAGTGGAGCAATCTTTATGATGTTGGTTTCATTTTGTTGCTCTTATTTAGATCTACAAAATGACAACAAAATCATAAAGATTGGTTCATTCAGAAGAAAGTTATGGTGAGTTGTGTGAATGAAATAACGTTTCAACTGGGTCCTTTTGCGCAACTCGCCATAACTTTCTTCTAAGTCAGCCGATCTTTATGATTTGTGGTGTCATTTTGTTGCACTTGTTGAGATCTACAAAATGACAACAAAATCATAAAGATTGGTTCATTCAGAAGAAAGTTATGATTGGGCGAAAAAAAAGTGCCGACAAAAATTTGCCGATTCCAAATAATTTTCTCCTTTTTAAATCATTTTCCCGAAATTTTCATTACCTTTTCTCTCTTTCTTATCTCTAAATTTATAGATTTAAGTTAGAATTTGAAAGTTTAAATTTAGAAAAAACGGATTTATTAGCTGAATTTTAAGTTATTTGTTTTTGATTTTTTGATTTTTTTGATTTTTTTGATTTTTTTTTTGAACAAATTCTAAAGAAACTTTTCGCTTTTTTTTCCTAAAAAAAACCACAAAAAATGTCACTTAAAATGCTCGTTTTTCTTCTTTACCATTCACTAATAAGTTTACCAATTTCTTTATGGCTTTTCTTTCAATGTTTAATAAGTTTTGCGAGTTTTTTTTTTTTTTTGGTTTAATTGTTGCCTTCTTTTGAAAATCCATTGAATTTCAAGAATCCCTGTGCGATTTTTTGTTTAGATTTTACATAAATACATATAAATAAAGTTTAAAAATGAAAAAATCGATTATAGAAACGTGAAAAGTTGTAAATGAATTGCAAAAAGTTATGGCTCTTTTGCTAGTTTACCGGCTATTGATTTTTTGAACGACTCCTCACACTTTGAAGGCCTAAAACTTGGCCCAGAGATTTTGTTATCATTAGCTTTTCATATCATTGTACAGAGGACATTTCAAGCTTTCAAATGAGACCAAATAGAGCTTGAATGAAAAAAAGAGTCAAAGAAAAATCGAACCAAAGAAAAATCGAGCCAACTCTGAGCAGAGCAACTCTGTGAGCAGAGGAAAGGAACCAAATGATCTGATACGGTTCCAATACGGTTCTTCTTTGATCTAATACGGTTCCAATACGGTTCCAACCGTATTGGAACCGTATTGGAACCGTATTGGAACCGTATTGGAGCCGTGTTGGAACCGTGTTGGAACCGTGTTGGAACCGTGTTGGAACTAGACTTCGGCAAACAAAACCAAAACCAAAACCAAAACCAAAACTCAATTTGCATATAAATTAACATGTAAATTTAAAATTGTAAAATGTCAATTTAAAATTGCAAAATGCAAATTTTAATGTAAAATGCAAATTAGCCTTTCACTTTTTCTCACTCCACAAAATCTCGCGGCCGAAAAAAGGACCAAAACACGACCTCGAAATTTCGAAACAAAAAATAGCCTATGGGATAGATTTTTGGATGCTGATTTCAAATCTGCAAACAGATTTTCGCTAGCTCCTCCCAGTCGCGAGATATTCGCGAGTTTTGGTTAGTTTTGTTTTTGGTTTTGGTTTTGGTTTGTTTTGGTTTTGGTTTTGTTATGGTTTTGGTTTTGGTAGTTTTGGTTTTGGTTAAGTTTTGTTTTCCGAAGTCTAATTGGAACCGTATTGGAACCGTAGGAAGGAACCAAATTTGTAGAGAAAAGGAACCAAATCTGTACCGAAAAGGAACCAAATAAAAAAAAGCGCTCGTCGTGAATGTGTTAACGATGGATTCGGATTTCCAAACCTCGAAATCTGAACTAATCTGAACTAATCTGAACTAATCTCGTCCCAGATGGAGAAAAGAAACCACAGCTGTAGAGAAAAGGAACCAAATCTGTACCGAAAAGGAACCAAATTTGTCTTTGAAGGTTCTTTGAAGGCTTCGGTAAAAGCTGATCCTTTAGCACACCGCTTTTTCATTTGCCTATCGATTCAATGACCCAATTATACATTAAAAGTGAGATTAGAGCTTTAGCTAGATGAATCTATCAATTTATCAAACTAAATCATTAATAAGTTATTAAAATGAAATTCTTAAAGCTTCATTATCATTTTGTTTCGATAAAACCGTCAAAATCATGTCAAAATCGATTTTTTAAATCATTTAACTTTTCAAATCTAGAAATTTTTATGAAATGATTTATTCATTTCTAAATAAAGAAGTTAATGCTTTAATTTAGATGAAATTTTGGATGAAAAAGTCGTAAATTCCAAGCATTTCGCAAGCGCAAGCAAGCTGTTTTCGTTTTTTTTTTCAAACATTAACACGTAAATCGTCATTCTGATTGAAAGGTTTAAATCGAGAGAAACCAGAGAAAGAAAGCCAGCCAGAAAGCCAGCCAAAACTTGATCCAAAGGCACCCTTCCATTTTTTAGCCACCTCTTCTTTTGTGAAACCAATTTGCCCCAAAAGCTGAACAAATTCAAAAAACTTTTTATATCAAAATGTAGAGGAGATCTTCAGCTTTCGAATAATACTCATAAATATCATTTTCTTGATTTCGATACCTTGAGAAATTTATAAAATAGTAAAAAACTGAACTTTCATAACTGGACAACCCAATAGATTTTTCAAAAAAATGTAAAAGTCTTGCTTTAGCTCTCGTTATATGATTTGGCGCTAATTTTACAGGGTGAGTGATGATTTGGCGCTAATTTTCTATAGCAAGGAGAATTTTAGAACAAAGGAACAAACAAGAACAAAGAAAAACAAAGAAAATGATAGTCCTCATCTATCGAATTTGTCCTAGAGCAGAAAGGAGCTCCCTTTAAGGGAGTTTAAGAGGGAAAGAGCCGCTTGGACGGGATTAAAATCAAATAAAATCAAAATGCACGCATCAATGATCAAGATAGATCTTTTACAAAGAAAATCCAGCATCATTTAGATCAAAAGATACGCTTCGAAGTGCTTTCCTCCTTTCCTTCCTTTCCTCCTTTCTTCCTTTCCTCCTTTCTTCCTTTCTTCCTTTCCTCCTTTCTTCCTTTCCACCAGAAAGAATGCTTTTTCAAGTTTTTAACACAAAAAACTACAGAAAAATAAGATTTCAAGGGTTTGCAAATGCAAAAGATTTGTAAAAGTTGACTCAAAGTTTCACAAAAATGTTTTTGTTTCGCTTGCGTTTCGTAAATCAATTTCAAAATTTCCCCCATCACAGTTCAACTCCTCAAAAACATGACAAATTCCATGAGCAAAAGAACTTTGATGTAAGTTTTTTTTTTTGAAATATTATGTATTTTCCGATAATCTCGAGATCTTTGATGAGAAATGGAATGAGAAATCATGATTCGATTGGATGGACACTGTGGCCATGAGCAGACTATACAGAATGAGAAGTCATGGTTCGATTGGATGGAAACTGTGGCCATGCAGACTACACAAGCAGGTTAACACCTTGACGACAATGGCGTTTTTGAAATGGGAAATGGAATGAGAAATCATGGTTAACACGTTGACGACAATGGCGTTTTTGCACAAACAATCGCATGGGAAAACGCTGTTTTTTTTTCGACAAAAAATGTCACCTGACCATCAGGTGACAATGTCTCAGGCGAACGAATATGTGTCAGACAGCATCAGGTGACAATGTCGTCAACGTGTTAAAGCGAAAGCTAATGAGATTACTGGGGGAAAATGTAGAAAATATCTTCCAAAGTTGGTGGATGAATGTTTCAATTCTGCTCATGGAATTTGTTTAGATTTTCTCTCAAAAGATACAAGAACAAGTCTATTTTGTGAAAAAACAATTGAATAGAACTAGAAAATCATTGAGATATTATTTGAAAGCAAGAAGAGAAATCTCTGTAAATGTTCTTTGTGCGGTCAAGCAATCGCTCGTCGTCTGGCACAGGCGCCTGATAGATAGTTGAGAGGAGGTCGTCGGAGAGGAGGTCGTCGGAGAGGAGGTCGTCGGAGAGGAGGTCGTCGGAGAGGAGGTCGTCGGAGAGGAGGTCGTCGGAGAGGAGGTCGTCGGAGAGGAGGTCGTCGGAGAGGAGGTCGTCGGAGAGGAGTCGTCGGAGAGGAGTCGTCGGAGAGGAGTCGTCGGAGAGGAGTCGTCGGAGAGGAGTCGTCGGAGAGGAGTCGTCGGAGAGGAGTCGTCGGAGAGGAGGTCGTCGGAGAGGAGGTCGTCGGAGAGGAGGTCGTCGGAGAGGAGGTCGTCGGAGAGGAGGTCGTCGGAGAGGAGTCGCCTTCTGTTATTCAATTCTGTTGTTGTTGGTTTGGAATTGGTTTAGATTTTGTCGTCGTCGGAGAGGGGAAAGAGTGGTGGAGAGAAGATTCTCTTCACCAAGATTCTCTTCTCTTCATCAATTGATGAAGAAAAGGGGGATGATTGAAGCGATGAATCAAGCTAGGGACAGCAATCGAAGATCGACAATTGTCAGGAAAATCGGCCATTCACCCCAATTGATCAGCACCTAGACCAACGAGAATCCGGAGTGGGTATTCCCGAGTTTCGAGAACAATTTGGCTGCTTCCTTGCTTGCTGCTTCCTCAAATTTGGCTGCTTCCTTGCTACAAATCCTGCATTCTGTTGATAAAAGCCTCTAAAATACTCTAAAACTGAAACAAGTGCTAAATCCACGGCTTTTCCCCCGCAAGTTTTCTTGAAAATTACCTTAATATAGTGATTTTGGCACCACTAACCTCAACTTTAGACAACCAAAGTTCACCTCCGCGATCCGGCTACATTCATCGACTCTTTTCGCGTCAACTCCGACCTCTGATAGGGTTTTATGCAAATTTCTTCTAATCGATGTTTCCCTTCTCTTTTTTTGTTTTTGTTGGAAACTAGAAAAGCAGACGCCCGCAAAAGTCACTCACTCAGGTCATTCAGATTCAGACTCAATTTTTGAAACTTTCAAATTTATAAAGCTTTCAGAGGGCTCAGTTTTTTTTGTAGAGCTTTATTAGTGTAGATTTCTTGATTTGTTGATCAAATCTTTAACTTGGCTGATCAAATTTATCATCAAACTTGAAACAAATAAGTTTTTAGAAACAATCAAACGAGTAGGGATCATAAACAACACAATTTCAACGTCTTTATCTCTTTTTTTATCGATTTGAAGGGATAAAATGGATCCGGTCTTGCTCGAGGATTGTTTCGGGCGCTATTCGTCGGTGAGTGTTTGAGTAAAAGAAGAGGATTTGCTTTTTGAAATGATTTCATAAGATTCGACTCTATGTTGTCTATTGTATGCTCGAATTCGACTTTCTAATGAAATTTACAACAAATTAGAGCAGTACTTGACAGTCTAAAAGTGGTTTTCTTTAGGTAAAGCTCTAGCGCTTCAGAATATTTTCCTATTCTTTCTTCAAATCTTTATCTGATCTCTTTTTCTCTAATTTCTTTTTCCTAAAATCTTTCAGCCCAATCCCCTAAGCATTTCAAGCAGATAATTCAACTCAATAATTACTATTTCTTGATTTAATTGCATTCTTTTATAGCTTCAAGATTAACAACACCTTTTTCTATATTTTCCCTATTTTTACATCTATTACCCGTTCTTTTTCACTCCAGAGTACTGGCAGTACTTTCATCTGGCACTTTCATCAGTACTTTCATCAGTACTTTCATCTGGCAACAAAGAGCCGGCTTGATTCGAGATTTCTGAACCAATTCCCGACCTTTACATCTATTACCCATTCTTTTTCTCTTTCGAGTACTCGTTCTCCCATCTGGCAACAAAGGGCCGGCTTGATTCGAGATTTCTGAACCAATTCCCGACCTTTACATCTATTACCCATTCTTTTTCTCTTTCGAGTACTCGTTCTCCCATCTGGCAACAAAGAATCGGCTTGATTCGAGATTTCTGAACCCACTTTTGCAAGAAAATTCAAATCAAATGAATACAAATCAAAATTTCAAAAAGAACCAATTTTCTATAAACTCTGACATCAGCAAAAGCTCTCTTCAAGTTCAAATCCATTGCCATTTCATCAATTCCGTTCAAAAGATCAGCCTCACACTATCCTTTTTCACAATACATCAAAATCCTTTTTCAACTACATCACCAATGATCTAGATGAAAGTTTATTTTATCAAATAATGAGGTACACAATGTGCACTGACAACAAAGAACGGAAAAGGGGCGGGGAAAAAACGTGAAAGTGAGAGATTCTGTAGAGAAAAGCATGGAAAAAAGGATAAGTAGGGAGAATTTGACGTAAATTTTTGTTTTCTTTCAAAACTCGTTCACAAAAGTATCAAGAAAATGATGGGAAAAGTCTTTGAAATTTTTGAAATCTTTGAAATTTTGAAATCTTTGAAATTTTGAAATCTTTTAAGTTTAAAAACATAAAAATAGTCCTTTCATAGCGATTTCTTTGACTTTTCCTATCAAATTAAAAGTTATTCAACTAGGGTTTACAGGGGAAACTTTGAAAGTTTAATACAAACGTCTTTAGTGTAAACTGAGTGATTCGAAATTGACGGCTCATTTCAAATCCATGATTTTCCACGTGTTAGGAAGGATCATTTTAGAGTATTCAAAATAGCTGAGATACAGAAATCAAAAGGAAAATAAAGATTAAAAGATTTTTGAATGGGTAAAAGATGAAGAGAAATGAAAGAAATAGGGGAAAAGAAGAGAAAATAGAGGAAATAGAGAAGAAGAGAGAAAAGGAGAGAAGAAGAGAGAAAAGGAGAGAAGAAGAGAGAAAAGGAGAGAAGAAGAGAGGAAAGGAGAGAAGAAGAGAGAAAAGGAGAGAAGAAGAGAGAAAAGGAGAGAAGAAGAGAGGAAAGGAGAGAAGAAGAGAGAAAAGGAGAGAAGAAGAGAGAAAAGGAGAGAAGAAGAGAGAAAGATAGAGGAAAAGAGAGTAAAAGAGAGTAAAATAGAGCAAAATAGAGAATGATAGAGTAAAATAGAGAAAAAGAGAGTAAAATAGAGAAAAATGACTGTTGGACCCATTTTGCTGGGTCCTTTTCGGTCCTTTTCGGTTCTTTTCGCTCTTTTTTTTCTAGTTTTCTGTTGTTTGATGCCATTTGGAATGAGAAAAGAGCAAGAGAAAGGGGGAAAAATGAACCACGAACTTTGGTGAGAAAAAAATATGTTGTTGAATGGAATTTTGGAATTTTTCTTCTTTTCAAATATCAGAATCTCTTTTTTTTTTAAATTTTTCCGATTTTCTCTAGATTTTAACGTTTTTCTTTGCACAAAACCTTTTCTTTGGCCATTTTTTTTGAATTTAAAGACTGTTTAAAAGCTGTTTTTACTGGAATTTGAGATTTTCTGTGAAGCTTTTCACAGAAAATCTTTCAAATTCTTCAAATTCACGAGATTTTATCTAGATTTTCATAGTTTCTTTATGAAAAATGTTTTTTTTTAACATTTTAACAAGTTTGTTTACGATTTTCAAACAAAATCCATTATTTCTGGACGTTTGATGTCACTTTTTGGCTTAGAATAAACACAAAAAGATCATTGCTTTTCAAAAAAACGAACATTTATCTAAAAAAAAATCGTTCAATTCAACTCACAGGACTCGACTTGCCCATCGCGCGGTGTTTTCTCCTTTGCTCCATTAGTGATTCTCTGGATTACTCTACCATTTCAATGGTTTGTTTGAGAATTTCGAAAAATAATATAACTCTTTTCATTTCAATTGAAGGGCTTAACGATATAAAATAAACTTATTCTTCGCCGGCAGGATATCTGTTCTTTTTGCGTCCGCGTAATCGCTCGCTTTCTGGCACATGCCCCCGAGAGATACCCCCGTTTCCGCTGGTTTTTCAAAGCGAATCTTCTAACCTATCTATCCGCCACTTGTGCCAGACGATGAGCGATTACCCGGCCGCACAAAGAACGCAAGAGGGTCCAGTCATTTACAGAGATTTTTCTGGTAGATAGCTGAAAAATGGAGATATTCAGCTGTGGGGTTTTCAAGGTCAGAGAATCGATTGAAACTATTCATTTCATTCAGTCTATCGCATAGAATGGTCTAAATAGTTTAAGAGCCATCTTTTCAGTTACCAACTCTCGACTCGACAACGGAAAAAACGCATCCGCACCGGTTGGCTGCACAATGCTAGATTGGTAAGTGATGATGAACCATTTGAAATATTAAAATAAAGAGAGTCAAAAGCTTAATTGAAAGAATTGAAAGATATTAAAGTATAAAATCTTTCAAAAGCATTTCCTAGCTCGATTTTGAATATTTCCATAGATTTTCCACAAAACAAAAATCAATTTTCCGAGTTTTCTTTCAAACTTTGTTGCTGCAAAAGGAATTTTTAAAGTCTAAACTCTTCATCAACAACATCTAAACTATTTTTTGGTGATTTTCTTTTTGATTTTGATTAATTTATGGGTAACGGGCATAGTTTCATAGAATTGTGCGAACCATTGAACGTTTAAACCTTTAAATCTTATTAGGTATCATTCTTTAGACTTTTAGATCTTATTAGGCAGGCTGGGGGATTTATTTTCGGAGGAGAAAAAGGAATTCATCACTATAAAAAGAGATCAATCCCCATTTCTGAGCTGAAATTTATATAGGATTTTGATTTTCCAGCTCGGTTTCCTTGTGCTTTTCGTCTCGGAGGCTTTCGTTTTGTTCTGGTCGACGATCCAACAAATTTCCGTGATTCGATTGGCGTTGGCTGGTTTTAACGTCGCGTCATACGTGCGTTTATGAAAAGATTCGAAAAGAAAGAAAGATAGAAAAGATTAATGAAATTCGTTTATCCAAAAGACATCCATTTCTAACGTAAACAAACTAAAATCACTTTAAATTTAACTTACTTTCCTGATTAGGCTCGCTAATAAGCTGAAAATCGAGTTCGAAAGAACACAGAAATGTTAAGCGGTGAAATATTGGTTCTATCTGTAAGCGTAGTGTAAGAAAAGCGACCGTTTCTTTTCGTTGAAGCTTGTCTTTGAGCTTATGACCTTCGATGAGGTCTAAGGCATATTGTATCTCATGGGGAAGATTCCTCTCTTTAACGGAAGAACTTTAACTTCCTCTTCTTCCTCTTCTTCCCTTCTTCCCTTCTTCCCTTCTTCCCTTCAAGGCTTTTCCACTAGTTTCTGCTGAATCCAGCTAGTTTTTGCCTAAATTACAATCAACTTTGTGAAAAGTTAATGTAAAAACCAAATTCCAAAAGACATCTATTTCTAACGTAATCAAACTTCAATTATTTGAAATTTAACTTGCTTTGTCATTTACTTTCAAAGAGTTTTAATGGTTTTGAGTTTATTTTGAGTTAAAGTGTAAAAAAAAACCATTTCCAGAGGACTCAACTTTTGTCTTGAAACATTGAAAATGTTAAAAATTGAAGAAAATGAAGAAAATTTAATAATTTACGATACCAGAAATGAAATATTCACTTTTCTGAACAACATTTTCCATCAAATACATTTCTAACCAAAAAAAAAGGGACATTAATGATAACTGTTTAATGTTAATGGTTGGTTTCCTCCTTGGGTGCGATTTTGGCATCGAACATACCGATTTTGCATTTAGTTTTTGCTTAAACCCCTCGGTTTTCCAGAAAAATTTGGGTACTACTGACCGAAACTCCGGTTTATAACGGCTCTTTCCCTTCCATCCACCATGACCGGGTGGTGTAGCGGTAAGTGGGCACGCTCTGAATCTCGCTTTCACACTTTGCCCGCGGGTTCGAATCCGCTTCGTGGAAAAATTTTTGCAAAAAAACGAAACTCAAGATATGAAATGACTCTTTCAGTGAGAAAATTGAAGAACTCAGTGCGCTAGAAAAGGTGCGTTTACAGGGACACAAAGTGTATGATGAAATACTTGAAATTGCACTAAAAAGTACATCAATCTCCTCAAAACACTCTCAGACTGGAGCTTTTGATTTTTGATTTTCTCTTTTTCTTTTTAATGTCAATATTTCCCTTTTCTCTTTTATTTTTTCATTTCCTCTCAACAGAAGAACCATTAAACCATCAAAACTACATGAATTTGTGGTTTGTCTGGCTTTTTTTCCCTTCCAACTTCCAAAAAAAAGAGCTCATTTTTACAAATCCCAAAACTTACAAAAGTCACGTAGCAATTGTTGAGAAATATTTCATAAAAAGAAATTCGATTCTATACGGTGGAAATGAAGTCGTTTAATTCTTCGTTGGCAGGATATCTGTTCTTTGTGTGTCCACGTAATCGCTCGCTTTCTGGCACATGCCCCCGATAGATGCCCCCGTTCCCGCTGTTTTATTAAAGCGAATCTTCCAACCTATCTATCCGCCACTTGTGCCAGATGACGAGCGATTACCCGGCCGCACAAAGAACGCGAGAGGGTTTAGTCATTTACAGACATTTTTCTGGTAGACGGCTGAAAAATGAAGATATTATTCAGCTGTACCCAGGGGTTTTCTAGGTCAGAGAATCGATTGAAACTATTCATTTCATTCAGTCTAGTTCAGAATTCGCGGTTTGTCTGGCTTTTTCTTCCCTTTCAACTTCCAAAAAAAAGAGCTCATTTTTACAAATCCCAAAACTTACAAAAGTCACGTAGCAATTGTTGAGAAATATTTCATAAAAAGAATTCGGTTCTATACGGTGGAAATGAAGTCGTTTAAGGGAGGAATGAAGCCGTTTAATTTGCTGATCGAGTGGCTCAAAATAGCTGTAAAGAGAGCCAAAATTGACGCCTTTTCTTTGGCGATTTTTGAGAATCAAGAAATGCAACAATGTTATTAAAAAGGGAAAGGAAAAATTAAAGTTTAAACAAAGCTTTGAAACTATTTGCAATTTTTTTGCGAATAGCAACCAAACAATGGGAACTAAATAGGAACCAAAGAGGAACTATAAAGGAACCAATGAGGAACTATAAAGGAACTAATAGGAACTATAAAGGAACCAATGAGGAACTATAAAGGAACTAATAGGAACTATAAAGGAACTATAAAGGAACTAAAAGGAACTATAAAGGAACCAAATAAGAACTAAATAGGAACTAAATAGGAACCAAAGATGAACTATAAAGGAACTATAAAGGAACTAATAGAAACTAAATAGAAACTAAATAGGAACTATAAAGCAACCAAACATGAGAACTAAATATCAGCGTTTTTCCAAAAATAAACTCAAAATCGACTGGGGAAAATTGAGCATAAAAAAGGAAAAATTTTAATACTTTTAATAGAATTTGCTCACCTTTTTAATAGAACTTTTAATAGTATTTGGCGGGCGTAAAGGTGTTTTTTTAAGCTCGCTCGCTGAAACGTACCCCTTCTAGTGCACTTAATTCTTTATTCCATGTCAAAACGAGCCTTTTATCTAAACAAATCTATCATTTCACGGCTTGACACTAGATTTACCGTACTTTCCTTGAGTTCTTCGCTCGCTCGATAACCAGTTGATATTCTTAAAAATACATTTATTGAAAACCAATAATGTGATACAAACAAAGGGTACATAATAAGACATAAAGGTTAAACACACAATTTTATGGCACTGCGGCCGCTCTCACCCCCATCCACCCCTATTACCCAAATGTTGTGAAAGAAAAAACCCCACTTGGTGGGGAAAAAGAAACATTTTTATCTTGCCAGAGTGATTGAACCCTCGACCTTCCGCTTAAGAGACAAGACTCCTAACCGGTCGGCCGTCTGGCCATTCTCTTGTGAAAATAGACAAATAGATGGATTGATTCGAAGAAAAGAGAGATCTGAAGATGATTGAAAGATCAGAAAGAAATCAAAAGTATTAAGAGAGAAAGAGCGAAAGTAAAAACGAAGAAAAACACTCTACTTTCCCTCACAAAACTCACAGAAATTCAAAAAATCTTCATTTTTTTTGATGATTTTTGTATACTTTATGTTCGAAATTGTAAACAAAACATTTCTCGCGTTCATTCATAGTATTCATAGCCAATTATTTGACTCACTTCTGGCAACAGTCAGCCATTTCAAAAGTCTTGATGACTCAAACGTCTACACAAAGATTTATGCTTATGTTTTTTGCAAAAAAAAAAAACGAAAACAATCTCTATCTTTGTTGGGTGTAGGCTGTCTCCAAATCCCTTGGTTCAAGGTAGAATATTATTTATTAAAGCACCGGAGGGTGTATATATCGAAAAGTTGAGGGGGAAATGTTTTAGAAATGTCTATGTTTTGGCTAGGGAAATCGTGGGAAGATTTCAAAGACAAAATAGGAGGATTACGAGAGAAATAGATTTTTATCGGAAGATTTTCCGAACAATCTTTATCATATTTTAAAGAATTTCTAAAAGAAATAAACAAAAAAAAAATTGCAAATTTGATTAACTTTTTCAGAATTTGACATCAAAAGCGAGTAATTTTACTTACAGCCTTATTTTACTTACTCTTTACTTACACTTAAGACTCTAGACGATACCATAAAAGACGTCGATACCATAAAAAAAGACAATACCATAAAAAGACAAAAAAGACAGCCATTTAAACTGATTTGGTGGCAAATTCCCCTTCACAAGTAAAGATATTCAATTGACTCGACGTGTAAAGAGGATTCCTCGTAGTTACTCGACCAAAAAAAAAAACGTCGATTAATCGAGTATTGCTCATGCAAATTTGACTCGAGTAATTTTAGCTTACTCGCGAGGAAAACACTCTAGACGACACCATAAAAGACGTCAATACCATAAAAAAAGACAATACCATGCCGTTGTTCGTATCGCAATGTACACTCGGTGCTCTCACTTTCCGAGTCATTTTTCTTTCCTTAGACAATAGTTTTTCTAAACGTTTTTTATAAGATCGTGTAGCCCAATTGAAGGGCAACATTTTGATAGTAAAATCGCACAAAGCGAAAGGCGTAAAATGATAATTCCATTCAGCGCAATGTTCATAGTCACATTTTTTTCAGAAATTCAAAAATCTTCATTTTTTTGATGTTTTTAGTATACTTTATGTTCGAAACTGTAAACAAAACATTTCCCGCGTTCATTCATAATATTCATAGCCAATTATTTGACTCACTTCTGGCAACAGTCGATCATTTCAATTGCCCAAGACTTGATGACTTCAAACGTCAACACAAAGTTCTATTAGGTTGATGCATAAGTGTTTTTGTTCCTTTTCGTCTGCCGTTTCAAGCCAACAAATGCACGAATTAAACTACGGTTGATTTCATTAGAAAAAGCAATTATTTTTCTGCAAAATAACATTAAAACGGGTTTAAAAATATTTAATGCCTGGATTTTCTTGAGAGTATGAAGTCGGGTAGTCAAAAAGGGCTAACTCGATGATGCGGTTTAGGCTCAGGCTCAGGCTCAGGCTCAGGCTAAGCCTCAGCCTAAGCCTGAGCCTGAGCCTGAGCCTAAGCCTGAGCGGTTTAGACACCTTAGCTAAAGAAAACCTATCTTCGTGTCAATAGATAAAAGATAGAACACAAAAAGTTAGGTGTATAGCCAAATTTTCAGAGAAATTCATTCAGCCAATTTTTCCGTAGAGTTTTTTTATAGATTTTTACGAGAAAGGCGTTTTTCACTCTCGAATTTGCTTGAAAGTGAACCGAAATTCATTTAAAAAGATGCAAATTGAACAAAAAAACACTTTTTTTTTTATAGAGCAAACCATAGATTAATTGGTGTATTTGTTACTTTTTAACAGAAGTACGAGAAAAACGAAAAGACTTTTGCATCAACCTATTAATTGCCCAAGACTTGATGACTCAAACATCAACACAAAGCAAAGATCTATGCTTATATTTTTGCAAAAAAAAAAAACGAAAACAATCTCTATCTTTATCATATTTTAAAGAATTTCTAAAAGAAATAAACAAAAAAAAATTGCAAATTTGATTGATTTTTCAGAATTTGACATCAAAAATCGGTGTTCAATCGGCCTTTTTTTTCCTCTAATCTTTTTTTTTTTACCCTTTTCTTCAAAAAAGTACAAATATAAAGACAATTTGAGATAATATTTTTCTTTGTTTAGAACAAGTACTTCATCATTTGTGAACTCTGGAGCCAAAAAATTGTTGTTTAAAAAAAGAATTCTTTAGCTTTTTCCTTTTTCCTTTTTGCGTAAAGCTTATTTGTATTCGAAGGTGATATTCTTGATTTGATTTCTTGAATTTTCAATTATCTGAGTTCTTAATTATCAGAGTTTTGACCAAAAGTGGTTAGAAGAAATAAAAAGGAATGGAATGGTTAAAGGAGTGGTTAAAGGAGTGGTTAAAGGAATGGCATGGTTCCTTTAATCATTCCACTCCTTTAATGGAATGGTTAAAGGGATGGAATGGTTAAAGGAATGGAATGGTTAAAGGGATGGAATGGTTAAAGGAATAGAATGGTTAAATGAATGGAATGGTTAAAGGAATGGAATGGTTAAAGGAATGGAATGGTTAAAGTGGTTAAAGGAGTGGCTAAAGTGCTTAAAGGAATGGTTAAAGTGGTTAAAGGAGTGGTTAAAGGAATGGCTAAAGTGGTTAAAGGAATGGTTAAAGTCTAAACTCTTCAATTATCGGCAAAAGGAATGGTCAAAGTCTAGACTCTTCAATTATCTCTAGATTTTCTTCATCTTCAATTTCTAATCGATTTTTGACTTTATTTGTGCTAACAAACATTAGCAATTGCTTTTTTTGCTTTTTGCTCAATTGCTTTTTAATGAGCAATTGCTTCTTAATGAGCAATTGCTTTTTAACAATCCTTTTCTGGTTTATTTGTATTAATCTTAAATCTTAAGCACTTTATTTCAGCTTTTGAATGAAATATTTGAAGATTTTTCTTTCAAAAATCATTTCCCTGCTTATCATTCATTTTCCCGGTGTAACAATACGCCCAGAATTGAATTCCTTTTTGTACCAACGAAAAGGAGAGCTGAAGAAGAAGAGCTGGAGAAGAAGAAGAGCTGAAGAAGAAGAAGAGCTGAGGAAGAAGAAGAGATGAAGAAGAAGAAGAAGAGCTGAGGAAAAAGGAGAGCTGAAGAAGAAGAGCTGAAGAAGAAGAAGAGCTGGGGAAAAAGAAGAGCTGAGGAAAAAGATCAGACGAAAAAGAGCTAACGAAAAGGATCAGACAGCATTTTTTCTTTCTTTCTTTTTTTGAAGAAATCATTTAACCAAATGAGTTCTTCTTTCAGCTTTTTTTATTCAAATAACTTATCCAATAGTTATCCAAAATCTTTCCAGATAAGCCAACTGTTTTCTTCTTACACTACTGGACAATGAAATATGATATTTGAAAAACGATCGTCACTTTCGCGCGTCTATAACTCCCTTGTCTTTACCGTATTTCTAAATATTAATATTACCATTGTGTAGCCCTTGAAAAGAGCTTTCAGAAAATGTATAACACTAATAGTTTAAACTCAAAGACAAGGGAGTTACAGACGCGCGAAAGTGACGCGATCTTTTTTCAAATATCATATTTCATTGTCCAGTACTGTATATCTTAAGTTTAATAAAAGCTAGAAACTTCTAAATAATCGTCAGCTATCATCAGCATTTCTAGACTCTCTCCCTCAACCTTTACCTTCAATTTCATCAACGCGGCTTCGTCTACAATCTCTCTTTATGTCTAACATTCGGTCTTCTTTCTACTACACAAATCATTGATTTCATCGTTTTGGTGAGTGAATTAGAAAGAAAACAAGAAATCAAGAAATCAAGAAAACAAGAAATTCAGCTTTTCGAGCGTCCACTTTATGAGCAAAACTTTCCCATACAAGCATTGGCTGTGATGGCGGAAACGGCACTCCTCACCGCGTCCGATCGATCCAATAAGCACAAGGATGATTTGGTAATCGTTTTAAGCTTTGTTGATAAATATTTCCCCCTCTAATTCCATCATTTTATAAGAAATTTTCAGAAAACCTCTCCTGAAGAGCATGCTGGTTTCTTGTCAAAGCTCTTTATGCAATGGGTTACACCATTAGGTGAGTTTGAAAAGTATTACCCAGTAGGATTTCGATTTCTGAATTTACAGTGAGTACTGGATCTCGAAAAGCCCTTGAAACTGATGATCTTTACCCGTTGCACAGTGAGACAAAATGTGAGCGTTTAATGCCAAAATGGGAGGAGAATTGGCATCGACGGCAATACGGTAAGTAAAGAAAAGGGTATTATAATCTAGACAAATAAAAACATTTGTTTATTAACACGAATAATGTAGTAAAAGCAACTGGGAGGGTGAAAAATGAGAAAAAAGAACGAAGAATCCAGTACCGGGATTGAACCCATCACCCTTCGGCCTCCAGGCTGAGAGTCAGGGCTCTTAACCACTCGGCCATCAGAGGAATGACGAACGGCTTCCAGAATCCGTTCAAATCGGCAAAGAGCCTTCAATAGCTCTTCTCAATCACAGTAAAAAATGGGAAAAAGAACGAAGAATCTAGTACCGAGATTGAACCGATCACCCCCCGGCCCTCCGACTGGCTGGGAGACAGGGCTCTTAACCACTCGGCCATCAGGGTAATCAGAAATGTCTTCTAGAATGCGCTCAAATCGGCAAAGAGCCTTCAATAGCTTGGGCTCTCTTCTCAATGTATCGCACGAAATGGTTATGTATGATGTCATTAAGAGCCATTGCTGATTTTCTCAACTTTATGAATCCAATTTTGCTCAAGTTTGTTTCAATTCTTTAGAAAATTATTTAATTTGAACAGTTTTCTCTTAATTTGAACAGTTTTCTCTTAATTTGAACAGTTTTCTCTTAATTTGAACAGTTTTCTCTTAATTTGAACAGTTTTCTCTTAATTTTATCAATTTTATCAATCTTTAAATGAAACTATATCGTTTCTCTGTAGCGTTTCTGTAAAAAAAAATGTCTAATCTGAAACGATTTGACTATGAATTTCCCCCAGATATCTTCTCGATTTCATCGCTGATCCAAGCGCGCCATTCTCTTTGGGAATCGGCATCGCGCTTTGTATGTTCATGATGGCCGAGATTCGATCACTTTTGATGAATAAGGTCTTGCAAAATAAGATTTCCTTTCCAGAAATCTCCTTTCAGTTCATCTACTCAGTCACCGTCTATGCAGTAAAACTTCAAAATATGCTCATAAATTGCGTTTTTCGAAAGGTGAGAATTGTAATGATTGAATAAACTTCATTGCTAACTTGGTAACTTCATTGCTAAAAGATCTAGCTCCAAATGAAAGGAGCCATTCCAAATGAAAGTAGCAGAATTTCTGATCATTTCCAAGTTTTGGCTTTTCTTTTTGGGCAAAACAAGGCTAGTGTAGTGGATAAAAGAAATGATACGAAGTAGCTAGTAGCTAGATGTAGCTAGATGTAGCTAGATGTAGCTAGATGTAGCTAGATGTAGCTAGATGTAGCTAGAAGCTAGATGTAGCTAGATGGTTCAAATCCGCTTACCTTTTTTCTTTTTAAATCTATAGGTTTTTTTCATTTGATTAGCTGAATGTTAAGTTGAAGTTGCAATAAAATCAATGCAATAATTTCCAGACTCTTCGTTTATCCCCAATGGCAAGAAGCTCACGAACAGTTGGTGAAATTGTGAACTTTATGGCGATCGATGTGGAGAAGTTGATTCAAGTCCTGCCATTTATACATAATATTTGGTCAACACTGCTACAAGTAAGAAATGAATTGGAAATAAAAGTAGGAAAGGAGGTTCACCAAGCTAGCATCGGGTTTCAAAATGAGATCTAGCTCGTCTAGACTAGTTTTTTTTCACACTAATTCCGAATCTGCAGTCAAATCTACTCTTTAGTGCTCGTAGGGCCTCGAATCGTTTCTTTTCTTTTGTTTCTTTTTAAAGGTAGAGTGGCGGCCATTTTATCAATTTTCTCTGCGTAAAATCAAATGCGTTTTTACGGCTTTAAAGGCTTTACGGGGTAGATTTGAATACAGATTTGGAATCAGCGTAAAAAAAACTGGTTTTGATGAGCTAGATCTCGTTTTGAAACCCGATGATAACTTGGTGAATCTCCCTTGTAAGAGTTGATGTTGAGGAATTGTAGATTTCTAAGCAAAATCTTCATTTTAGCACTCTAAAGTTTGAATAGTTTGAAAAGTTTGGTTTTTTTTGAAGGCTATTTCAGAAACACATTGTTTCTAGTGCATTGAATTCTTGGGTTTCACAAGAATGAAAGGATTCAGTGCATACGGAAGATACGGATGAGTACAAAGTCCATTTTTTCTTCCAGATCACAATCGCAATGGTGTTCCTCTGCTTTGTGCTTGGTCCACCAGCAATTGGTGGAATTTGCATTATGGTGAGTCATAATCTATCTATTGGGTTGGGGAGAATGAGTCGGCGCCCAACTTTAAAGGGACTTTTTGCACACATAAAGCCTTCTTTAAACATAAGTTTGGTTTCATCAAAAGGATCCACTATTTCTCTACAAAATGACTTTTGAGAGATTCCACAAAGCTTTCCTTTCGTGGAGTTTATGAACTTCGAAACGCAGCTGGTTAAAATGGCAAAGAGTCCGACTCATCATTTGAACAGTTTCTTTCACATAAACCTTCTTTGGTGTTTATATAAAAAAGATAGAGCACATTGAATTACTTAAGTTGCCAAATTTGCAGGAAGATCCCACCAATGGTTTTTTCTAGATGACAGTTTGTAGTTTTTGTGAAAAAATGGCTTTTTCTTGAGCGGAGGCGCTGTTTGAATTTTCTTTTAAATGTGATTTTGTAGAGAATTAGTTAACCATTCTACTCATATCAAACGCATATTATTTGACGAAGTCGAATAGAAGTTTTAGACATTTTTTTTGATTTTCGGCGCCGACTCATTCTCCCCAACCCAATAGTAACTATGAAGATTGCACTAATGAGTCAAAAAGAAAAAAGAAAAATTGCGCCCAATGGACGATACGTCGGTGGTACCATAAAAAAGACAATACCATGCCGTTGTTCTATTCAGAAAAGATATTCAGCCATTTAAACTGATTTGGTGGCAAATTCCCCTTCACAAGTAAAGATATTCAATTGACTCGACGTGTAAAGAGGATTCCTCGTAGTTACTCGACCAAAAAAACGTCGATCAATCGAGTATTGCTCATGCAAATTTGACTCGAGTAATTTTAGCTTACTCGCGAGGAAAACACTCTAGACGACACCATAAAAGACGTCAATACCATAAAAAAAGACAATACCATGCCGTTGTTCGTATCGCAACGTACACTCGGTGCTTTCACTTTGCGAGTCATTTTTCTTTCCTTAAACAATAGTTTTTCTAAACGTTTTTTTATATGATCGTGTAGCCCAATTGAAGGGCAACATTTTGATAGTAAACTCACACAAAGCGAAAGGCGCAAAATGATAATTCCATTCAGCGCAATGTTCATAGTCACATTTTTTAAAATTAGTCTTTTATCTAGCTTAAATATCTGAATAAATCTTCAATAAATATTCAATAAATCTCCTTTTTTTTTTTTCAGCTAATGTTTTTCCCGATCAATTACTACAGTTCTCGCTATCAAAAACGCTGTCAAATCGCTCAAATGAAAGTGAAAGATACACGGGTGAAAATGTGCAATGAGGTAATGGTTTTTTTTTAATAGTATTAGCTAATTTACATACTAATTTACATGCTAATCATCTAAAATTTATAATCGAACAATTAGCTGAATTTTTTAGGTGCTTTCTGGGATTAAATTGATCAAATTATACGCCTGGGAGGAAGCATTTGAAGAAAAAATCAATAAAATGAGAGAAGATGAGGTAAAATTTTGAAAATCATCTCGTAAATCATAAAACTTTCAATGCTAAACTTGTCTACTTGTCAATAAGTTTAAGGTTTGAGTTTTTAAATCGAAATCTTTTAGGTGTATCAACTTCGAAAAGCGGCACTTGTCGGTCGAGCGGTTGACGCGGCGAATGCTGCTGCGCCTTTCTTGGTGAGATTTTCTTTCTTGGTGAATTTTCTATTAGGTAAATGCATAAGAAATGCTGGTTTTCAACATTTTCATAAATTTCCAAGCCTTTCCAAGGTTTCTATCCAACGATAGAAATCTGCAATCGATGAATGTTATAAACTATTTGAAAGTTATAAATCTCCTCTACAAAATGGGCTAAAATGTGTTTCAATTGATCGAACAATTGAAGAAACGATTGAAGAAACGATCGAACGATTGAGGCCGAGATGCGAGTGACCAAAAAAAGGAATCGAGTTACGTTAGGGACAAGTTTAGTGTTAGAGTTAGCGTCAAAGTTTGCGTCAAAATAGAGTTAGCTTCCCAAAATTGAAGATTTAAACCCCACTTTCACAAGAGTTCAGTTTTGACTATATAGTGGAAAAGGAGCGCCCTAAAATCATTCAAATATCATTCAAAATAATCAAGAGTTGGGATCATTTCATGGGAAAACTTTGTTTTTACAATAATTTTTCTTTTTTGGTGAAAAAGCCGGTTTTTTGACGATTTTCAGGGGTTTTGAACTTACGCTCTATCTAAATTTCCGTAAATGCATTTCCGTTAGACTTTTTTAATGAATTAATATATAGTTATCCTTTCTTTTTTTCAAATCTTCAATTTTGGGAAGCTAACTCTATTTTGAGCACACTAAACTTGTCCCTAAAGTGACTCGATTCCTTTTTTTGGTCACTCTCATTTCGACCTCGAAATTTCTTCAATCGTTCGATCAATTGAAACACGTTTTAGCCTATTTTGTAGAGGAGATTTGTAACTTTCAAATAATTTACAGTCATGGACAAAAGTCTTGGCGGTTAGAAAAAAAATAGAAAAAAAACGAGTATTGTAGTAAGCCGCCAAGACTTTTGTCCATTGTTTTTGTGACCTTTTTGTTGTTTAAAATAAACTTTCGATTTCAATGCTGGGTCATAGCTAAAAGTAGAGTAAAAATGGTCAAAAATACTTGTGACGACTTTTTTATACCCTCTCGGAAAGGTTCCTAAATTTGCGTTTTGAAAGTTGCCACCCAGGAGCCGCCAAGACTTTTGTCCATGACTGCATAACATTCAATTTTGGGAAGCTAACTCTATTTTGAGCACACTAAAGGTTATATCAGGTTTCTATCGTTGGAAATTTATGAAAATGTTGAAATCAATGTTGAAATCCGCATTTCTTATGCATTTATCTAATAATTTCTAAGCTTACAGCAATGATTTCGTTGAGTATTTTTTGTTTATTATATTTTTGCACTTTTAATTTACAGGTAGCTGTGGTCTCTTTTGGAACTTATGTCTTATGGTCAGAAGAAAACATTCTCACTCCACAAAAAGCTTTCGTTTCATTGGCGATCTTCAATCAAATTCGACAACCGATGAGAATTATGGCTCAATTCATCAATAACCTTGTACAGGTGGGTAAAAAGATAAGTAGATAGAGAAGTTAATATAGAAGTAAATAGAGAAGTTAATAGAGAAGTATCTAGAGAAGTTAATAGAGAAGTAGATAGAGAAGTAGATAGAGAAGTTAATAGAGAAGTAGCTAGAGAAGTTAATAGAGAAGTAGATAGAGAAGTTAATAGAGAAGTAGCTAGAGAAGTTAATAGAGAAGTAGATAGAGAAGTTAATAGAGAAGTAGATAGAGAAGTAAATAAGTTTACATAACTTTTTTCCCTAATTTCTTTTATTTTTACAGGCTTCCGTCTCTGAAAAACGTCTCAAACGTTTCTTAAATGCTGACGAGATTTGCAAGCAGAAATGGGAAAGTGCCGACCCGGAATACTCGATTCAAATGAAAGATGTAATGAAAGATTTTCTAAAGATAAACCCTTTTCTTTTAGGTAACAATGAATTTATAAATAAATAATAACCTTTAGCAATCTTGAGATAAAATAATACTATAATATTGGTAAACTTTATGAAATCTCAGATTTAGAGAATAGTTTTAAAGATTTAAAGATTTTCTAAAGATAAAACCTTGTCTTAAATATTTCTACCGAGGGTTTTCAAGGTCGTAGAATATTTTCTAAAGATAAACCCTTGTCTTTTAGGTAACAATGAATTGGCGTGGTCCTACTTACCCGATTGATCTATCATCGATCTCTTTTGATGTACAAATGGCTACTCTAACAACGATTGTTGGAACAGTTGGCAGCGGGAAGAGCAGCCTTTTAGCGGCGATTCTTGGTGAGTAAAGATATTCAAGTGAATATTTGAATACTTTGAGACAGAAAGTATACTGTAATTTTATTGTAAACTACAGGCTTAAGCTACAGTTAACTATAGAATTTGCGGTTTCGGGTCTTTTCATTGTGAAAGCTATCATAAAAGCCAACTCTTTGGACTTTTCTTTGCGTTTGCAGACTTTTCTTCAGAAAAATGGTTAAAATAAACTCCGGCAATAGATTCTACGACCTTGAAAACCCCGAGGTACAAATATTTAACGTTAAATCTCAGTTGGGAATCATTTACAGGAGAAAAGAGAAATCTTTATGTAAATGACTGGGTGTTCTTTGTACGGCCGCGTAAACGCTCGCTGTCTGGCACAAGACGGCGATAGATAGGTCTTCCCTTTGGAGGGAAGCGGACAACGAAGCGGACAACGAAGCGGACAACGAAGCGGACAACGAAGCGGACAACGAAGCGGACAACGAAGCGGACAACGAAGCGGACAACGAAGCGGACAACGAAGCGGACAACGAAGCGGACAACGAAGCGGACAACGAAGCGGACAACGAAGCGGACAACGAAGCGGACAACGAAGCGGACAACGAAGCGGACAACGAAGCGGACAAAAGTCGCTTCGCTGTCCGCTAAAACCAAAACCGAAGGAGCGAGATCAAGAAAGCCATAAACTCAATTGACTAAAAAGGATGCGTTTCCATTTGTTGAGCACAAAGTCCTGCTAAATTTGAAATTTTAGGCGAAATGAACCTCCTTGATGGAACTGTCCGTTTGACTGGTCGAATCGGCTACGTTCCGCAGCAACCCTGGCTCCAGAATGTCTCTATGCGTGAAAATATTATCTATGGCCGAAAATTCGACAAATTTCTCTATAAAAAGGTTTGCTAAATTTTCGAAATAGATATATCTAAAAAATATTTAAATTTTTAGATAGTTGACGCTTGCGAACTTCAGCCGGATTTCTCCATTTTCCCCCAAGGGGATTTGACTGAAGTTGGCGAAAATGTGAGTGTTTAGAAAAGAAAATTTCTATTTTAGATCGAATTTTACATCTATTTCTAGATTATTTTACATTAATTTAATATAATTTTAATATAATTTTAGTATAATTTTAACTTTATTTATCTAAAATCCTAGGGTGTCACTCTCTCTGGCGGACAAAAGGCTCGACTCGGCTTGGCTCGGGCTTTGTATCAGGTTAGAATTCGAATTTTTAAGATTTCTTTTGATTTTTAACATCTAGACATACTCATACTGTATTTAAGACTTTTATTAGACAATTTTATATAGATTTTCTTATCTAATACGTTACAGGAAGCCGACGTTTACTTACTTGACGATGTTCTTTCGGCAGTTGACGCTCACGTTGGTGCGCATGTCTTTGAAAAAGTAATGTTTTATCTAAAATCCGCTATTTGTATATTTAGATATCAAATATTTAGATATTTCTAATTATCTAATGTTGTTTTTTTTATTTTAGGTGATTAGTAATCGTGGTTTACTTGCTGGAAAGACTCGAATCTTGGTCACGCACGGATTACAATACACCCAGGAAGCTGACAACATTGTCGTGATGAAGGGTGAGTTTTAAGGAGAAATAGCTATATAAGTAGGAATTTTTTTTAAAATATTAGAACTCTATCGAATACTTTATAATCTTACACTTATAGATGGTCGAATCATCGAGCAAGGCGCTTTCAACGAGTTGCGTGTTCAAAATGGTCAATTCAATGAGCTTTTACAAGAGTACAATAAAGCGCAAAAGGAGTTAGAAGATGAGGAAAAGACCGAGAGTGAAACTGGTGAGTCAAAGAATTTTTTGACAGGCCTTTTCTAAAATGTTGTACGAAAATTTTTAAGAATTTCTATAGAAATGGCATTATTTGAGAGTACAACTAATTAGAATCGACTTTGGAAGGGGTTTGAATGTGTTAAATGTGTCAAATAAGATAAACCATAAACCACTTCGACGCAGAATTTCACGCTGATTTCGAATCTGCTTTCCGTTTTTGCAAAATAGCTTTCTATAAAAAGTTATACGGGTTTAAAGGTTGGGAGTGAAAATGCGAAATTTAAAGCCGATGCTTTTAAGAGGGTTTTCTCACAGGTTTCAAACGTTTCTTAGTGGTCTAGTGGATAAGACGATTGCATACAAAACGAGCACTACATTCATTGCTCAAGTTCGATCCCTTTTTGTTGAAACTTTTCTTTTGCCTTTTGATGTTTTAACAGCTGACTTTTAACTGCCCATAAAACTATTTGAAATATTGAATTCTGCGTCGAACCGTCTATTCTCTGTTGCCTATTGTTGAATAGAATATTATTAAGTTGGCAAGAAAATCTTTGCACACATTTGAACTAGAGCTTCTTAAAAAACGAAAAAACGAAGAACCTTGTTAGATCCAGAAGACGGAAATCCGGCAATGCTGTCAGCAAAACGGAGAACCCGTTTGAGTTCATCGATGTCAGAGAAAAGCTCAAAACGAATCGCTTTTGTTGAACCGAAAATGAACAAACCGGAAAAAGTGGCCACTGGAAGAGTGAGTAGTCGACTTTTTCTTGATATTTATCTCTTACAGGTACACATCTCTGTCTACGGATCGTTCATGAAAGCGGCGACACTCAAATTCTCGATCTCATTCTTCGCTTTCCTCCTTTTGCACTATTGTTTCTTGGCGTCAAGGAGCGTTTGGTTGTCACAGGTTTGTTGAATCGATAGAACTAAAGTTTCAAGAGTCAAGAAACGGCTTACAACTGGCTCAAGGTAAGCTGTAATTGGACATGATTTCAAAATAGAATCCTAATTCCGATAGCCAATCATTAAAAGAAAAATTTTCCCGAATTGAGAACTGTAAATCTTTACTGTAAGATAGTCGTTTTTATAGAATCTATGAGATTTTTTTTACTTTCTCAAGCTTTCCGTCTTTTTTTGCAATCAATTTGAAATCATGTCCAATTGCAGCTTACCTTCAGCCAGCTGTAAGCCATTTCTTGACTCGTGAAACTTTTCTTCAATCTAAACCTTTAAAAACCTAGTTTTTTTTGATTATAATTCGAAAAATTTGACTCTAGCTTTACTCAACAATTACAAAACAACAATAATAACAAAACAAAAACAACAAAAACAACAACAACAACAACAAAACAAAAACAACAAAAACAAAAACAACAAAAATTTTCCAGTGGTCCGACTCAGCAGCATCAGCACCGAAAAACGCGAGTCAAACGGTCTTCAATCGTTTAAGTGTTTACACGCTTTTAGGAGTGCTAGAGGGTAATTTTTCGAGATCATTTGATAAACGATAATAATATCTAAAGATTATCGAATTTGTTCTCTTTTCAGTAATCGCTATCATCTTGGCCCTAACTTTCCTCGTGTTGTCGATGCAAGCCGCCTCTTTACGCCTGCATCGGCCTCTTTTAAATAGCATTTTGAGGTGAGATTTTTGATATAAAATATCGAGTTTATATAATAATATGTTAGTTTGTTAATAATGTTAGTTTACGTAAAAGAAAGGTTGCTTTTAAGATTTTCAATCAATCATTCAATCATTCAATCAAATTTTTCCTTTTTTTCCCAGATCGCCAATGCAATTCTTTGACACGACACCGATTGGCCGTATTTTGACGAGATTAAGTCGGGTTAGTGAGTTGAAAATGACAAAATTACATACTAAAAATCGCATTTCTTTTTATAATTTTATAGATTTGTGTAGGTTAATCGATGAATTCATGATTGAAAATCGATTTTTTTTTTTTTAGGACTTGGAAGTGGTCGACTCGCAATTACCACAAAATTTGCGTCAATTCGTTCAGTGCTCGATGCAAGTAAGTAAAGAAAAAAAGAATAAAATTGATAAATTTTTGAATTTTTTTTGCTAGGTAATCGATAAAATTCAATAAAATTAAATAAAATCTTAAATTCTATTTGAATTTTAGGTTCTCATGATCTTGTGTATGATCTCCTACTCGACTCCGCTCTTTGTACTCACAATTATCCCGCTTTTCTTCATTTATTTCTTGATTTTGGTGAGAAATCGAGAAAATTGAGAAGATTTGTCAAGATGAATGCAAATTTTTCGCAATTTTTTCGTTTCATTTGGTTGACTTTCACTCTAGATCAATGCTATTCAAAGCTCGACTCTTTAAATCATATGAAACACGTAGAAACTTAGCAATGCCGTTTGTTTCTCAACGATTCTTTCATTTTAGAGATACTTTATCCCCAACCGCTCGCCAATTGAAGCGATTAGAAAGTGTGAAACGATCGCCGATTCTCTCGACTTTCTCTGAGAGTATCGTCGGAGCGACTTCGATTCGAGCCTATGGAAAAGTGAGTTATACAAGTTTTTGAGCTTTTAAGCTTTTAATACTTTAAGAATTCGAAAATCTAATCAAATTTATTGATTGATTACAATATTTCAAGCTTTCTTTGCAGTCTTACAAAAGTTGTTGATCTTCTTTAACAAACAGTCATTTTTATAGTCTTTACCAGTCAAAAAAGACCGGGTTAACAGCTTAACTCCGGGTTTTTTATGGTCTAACGTCGTGTTGCCATGGCGCAGTCGAAGCGCGCTTGCCTACCGCCCGCACGATCCGGGTTCGACTCCCTCTAGTGCCGCTTGATTTTGATTTTTTAGCTTTTGTATTTTAGTTATACAACTATCTTATAGCTTTATTAGCTTTGACTTACAATCAGCTCAAAATTATTACATTTGCAATCACCTTACATAATTCGAAGCCGTTTGGGTTTAGGTTTAGTCTTTCTGGGTAGACAGTAAATGGCACACTGATATTTTAGACTTTAGAAGTAATTTCAATTTTTGGCCTAAAGATCGCTGTGAAAAGGCAGTATAGATGGACGGATGGACGGACAGACGGACGAACAGACATTGCTCTTTTATATAGACTCGATTCAAATCTTAAACTCAATGAAAACACGAACCTTTCAGGTCGAAGACACATGCAATTCTTTTGGCTACTTTGTCGACAATTTCATTCAGTGTCGACATTTGACATTGGCAACGAATAGATGGCTGGGAATACGGTAAGCATTGTGCATTTTCGAGTTTACAGAAAACTTTTACAGTCTCGAATTGTTGGGCAATACGACGGTGCTGATGGCGGCATTGATGGCGGTTTTATCCACTCGTTTCACTGAGATCACCCCGGGTCTTGTCGGTCTCTCCGTTTCATTTGCGTTGAGTGTAAGTTCTGTACTAGTACCGTACATTTGACAGCTATTTTTGCCGTACTATTGTACTTTGTATTTAGAAATTTCTTCCAGATCACTGAACAACTTAATTTGGCTGTACGAATGCTGTCGGATTTGGAGACGAATATCGTCTCAGTTGAGCGAATAAAGGAGTACACTGGAATGGATGAAGAGGTGAGTTTAGAAGTCTTTTTAACTAAATCTAAAACTAAATCTAAAACTAAATCAATTAAATTTTATCATTTCTTAGATGGAATGGTACTCGGATTGTCCACCGGATGTGGAATGGCCAAGTAAAGGACGGATCACTTGGGGAGATTACTCAACGAAATATCGGTAGGAATTGAGGACTCTTTTCAAATTTATATCTTTATATTGTTTAGATTTAGATTATCTGTATGCTCAATAGTTCCATATATTTTTGTATTCAGAGAAAACCTGCCGCTTGTCGTGAAGAATCTCTCGGCTACGATCGCCCCTGGAGAGAAAGTGGCCGTTGTGGGAAGAACTGGATCGGGTAAAGAAAATATTAGCTTTGCGTTAAATTGGCTTTGCTACATTGGCTTTGCTACATTAGCTTTGCTACATTAGCTTTGCGTTACATTGGCTTTGCGTTACATTGGCTTTGCTACATTGGCTTTACTACATTGGCTTTGCGTTACATTGGCTTTGCTACATTAGCTTTGCTTTTGAATAAACTTTGTACTCAAAAAGTACCCTTTCTTGGGCACTAAGTTGTTCTAAAGTACTCACTAAGTTTTCTCAAAAAAATCCATTTCTAGGAAAATCCAGTCTAACTCTTGGTTTATTCCGTTTGGTTGAGCCGACTGATGGGAGAATCACAATCGACAACATCGACATTTACAACATTGGATTGCATGACTTGAGAGCCAAGCTGACAATCATTCCACAAGTCTGTTTCAAGCTGTTTATTGTTCTAAAGTACTACTCTGGCTTAAGTAGTACGCTACTTTAAAAGCTTCATTGAAGCGTGTCTGACTCCAATTGCAGTTCTGGCAACCCTTTGGAAACATATCATTACTGCTAACACAATAGCTAACCATTTCTAGGAACCAGTTCTCTTCTCTGGCCCGCTCCGCTTCAATCTTGATCCATTCGGGAAATATTCGGATGCTGACTTGTGGTCAGCGCTTGAATCTTGCCAATTAAAAGAATTCGTTGAACGACAAACGGAGACTCTTGACTATTTGATTGCGGAAGGTGGAAAGAATATGAGGTAAATGTGGTAGGGTTTTGAGTGCAGTAAAAATACGGTTCCTCCCTTCCTCAGCCTTCTTTCACTAGCGCCAGAAAGAGCCTGGATAGCTCAGTGAGTAGAGCGTCTGCCGGCAATTCGAAGTCAGGGTCGGAAGGGGAGGGGTTCGATCCCTCTCTTTGCGGAAATTCGATTTTTGATTTGTTTTTTTATGAAATATAAAGCCTGAATAACGATAAAAGTATCAATTACAATCAAAAGCATTTGTTAAATTACATTTGCGATATTGTATGCAACGCTATTGCATGATAGACATTATTCAAAATCTACCTGCTCTAGTTGACTCTAGTTGACTGCTCTAGTTGACTCTAGTTCAAAATCTACCTGCTCTAGTTGACAAAACCACTTTTATGTGTAATCTAATCAAGATTTCAGTGTCGGTCAACGCCAACTCGTTTGTTTGGGAAGAGCAATTTTGCGAAAGGGGAAAATCGTAATATTGGATGAAGCTACAGCAGCTGTTGATGTTGCGACTGATGCTCTAGTTCAAAAAGTCAGTTAAATTACAGAAACTTTCTCTTAAAATGATCGCTTAAACTTTCCCCTGCATAAATCAAATTTCAGGTGATCCGCGAGAAATTCGCCGACTCTACGGTCATCGCCATCGCTCATCGGCTGAATACGGTGGCTGGGTATGATCGGTGAGTTTAAAGAAAGAGTTCTTGACTTTAGAATTCTTCAAAATCTTTTATTTGAGCCAAAAAAGTCATCTTTAACTAATAAAACTAAATTTCCAGAATAATGGTGCTTGAGAAAGGCGAGCTGGCCGAGTTCGACACCCCGCAACGACTTTTGGCTGACAAAAGCTCTCGATATTCTCGAATGATCGAGAAATCAAAGCATCACTAAGAATTGCAAAAACAATTTCATTTTATTCTATCATTATTATCATTCTTTCCAATACGTGATCTTTTTTGATGTATTTTTTTATGCAATATTTTCAATTGTGCATTACTCTCTAGTTTTTTTCAAAGAAATTCTTGCCTAATCTTGCAGAGCTTCAATACTGGTGCCTAAAATTTCTTCGTTTAGACAACAACAACCAAAAAAAACTTGTAAAACTCAAAGCAAAATACTCTCGGTGCCTTCACAAAATTTGCGTTGTATTTGCTTTAATTTCTCGGTGAACAATTTGTGCTCATAATATTTTTTTCTTGATGTTTCATAAAGTTTTTTGAAACTAAAAGCTGAATTACTTAAGATTTTACACAAGTAAAAGGTTTTTTCTTTGGTTACAGAAGCTTAAAAACTCTATTTATTTTGATCATTTTTACCCCAGCGATGACACAACACAAAAAAATTAGCGAATTGGTGGCATCAACAAAAGACAACTCGAATTTTTCTTTGTTAATGCTTGAATGGATCGGTGAAAAAGAATGGGCTCACGAGTCGACAACCAGCAGTGATGAGAAGTTGAAAAGAAAGAAATGAAGTCGATCTCCGGAGCTCTGCCGCTATGGATTCGGCTACAGCAACTCGTAAGCTAAAGTTTTTGTGTAAAAACTGTGATTCTTTACTTGAAATTGCTGGCTTATAAGGCTAAGATACGTTAAAAACTTGACAATAAGTTAAAACCGAAAAACCAAACATCAAACTGTGATTCTTTACTTGAAATTGCTGGCTTATAAGGCGTTAAGATACGTTAAAAACTTGACAATAAGTTAAAACCAAACAAAACCATGTTGAATTTGAACAATAAGACATCCAAAAGCATTTTTGGATGTTATGCTACCTCGTAACCAGGTAAAACCTTTATTACAGACTTTGCATTACCTATTAAAGCTTATAGAACTCAAGGCTTTTAAAAGTCAAATGTACAACGCAATGTACCCACTAGCTACCTAGTGTTATCAATTTACTACTACTAAAATAAGCACTAAAAACACACCGTTCTCCTTTTTGTCCTTTTTTTTCCTTGGCTGGTGGCGGGGGAGGAGGTGGAGGAGGCGCGTTCTTTGGTGCTTGAACAACTTTTGGTTTTGTGACCGGCTTCTGTATGGCAGGCTTTCCCTTTTCTAAAGAAAAAAAACATCAAAACGAATTATAAGTAAGCTTAAAAGTAGCAAAACTCCCGTAAATAGTAAATACTGTAATTGGACCCCGCCCCTATAATAGTACCCCCCCGCTAATAATATCGCAGCCTAGAACGGGAGGGAAAAAAATAATACCCCACTAGACATGGGCATCGGGTCGGGTCAAAAGTGACCCGCTGACCCGATGCCAAATACAAAAGAGGCAAAAAAAGGCGGTACGAAAAACCTCAACGATCATCTCAACAATAAACAAAAGGAAATTTATGAGGAGGCCAAAACAAAGTAAGTTTTAGTATTAAATGCTCTGAAACTTCTGTTTTTAGGCAGGCTAAAGAAAAGCCAAGAATTTGGCCGATTACAACTTTCTGTGCCTATACAAACTTTCTACGTACACTTTTGTACAAAGGAAGCCCGTCTGTCTACTACCGAAAACTTGTACCTGTGGAGGCTTGTTCACTCTATTTTCTAGTTTTCAGTGACTATTTTAGTTTATATGCGATTGCGGTTCAATATATGTCGCCACCAACTAGTTTCTAGTAAAACACGGAACGTGTTTTCAGGTACAATTTTTCGTATGTGTAGTACCCTAAAGTCGCGAGTATAAGTTCTGTTTGGTTTTCGCATGCAAATTGACGGTTGTCTCCGGTGCGGTGTGTCGAGGGTTCGAACCCCGCTGCAGCATCACTTTTTTGCTTTTTAAGAACAATAATAGAAGTAAATTTATTGAGGGTTATAGCAATTTTATGCTGTTATTTGTTGCTCCGGGCGTGGCTCGGCGAGTGGTTTGGCGCGTCCGCCCTGCTCCTCTCCAGTGCTCAGTCTTATGGATCCCTCCCTGGCCTCTTCATCCGGCCAAAGTCCACATCGACGGTCGAAAGAGATGCTTTCCAGCGTCTGATAGGCTGTAACCCTGTAGTATCCCGCGCTCCAAGAACAATAATAAAAGTTTATATAACAATAAAAATGTATAAAAACCCAACAAAAAGAAATTCAAAGCAATTAAAACGAATGTAAATTAAGGCAGAACTTATACTCGGATGAACTTATACTCGAGACTTTAGGGTAATAGTTTTATTTGAATATTTGTGGTTTGATTTGGAAAGCAGTCGATGACAGCGGATGGCCCCTACAAAATTGAAGTCGGTTCTTTAAGTTAGCTTTAATCAAAAGTACATGAAGTTAGTCTCTTTTGTATTCAGAAACAAATGCTAATTTTAGGAGTAGAGTTTGGTCAACTTCGCTGGAGTTGCTTCGCTGGAGACTCGTTATGGATATCGCTCGGCTCTGAAGATAGCTGCTACAGACGGGGAGTTACACATCGAAAAAGGATCGGATTCAAGCAGTAATTTTCCTAATAGCACTAGTGAGTTTGTTCCTTACGGATCGGATTGTAGTTATTTGAGTAGTTATTGATAAGCAATTTGTTGTTGTTAATTTTTGTTTGCCTATTTCGTTGTTGCGTTCGAAGAAATACCTATATTGCGTTCGAAGAAATACCTATTAAAAAAATTTGGTAAATTTGCATTTATATTTTGGCCCGACCCGCTGATCCGACCCGGCCGCCAAAACTCGAAAATGGACATGTCTATACCTGACCCCTCTAATAGTGCCCCACCTAACGCGTAATTACAAACAACGCTTTTAAAGCGGAAAATTTTCATGTATTTTCAGAAATCGTTTGTATTTTTAATTTTATCCCATAAATTGTTGTTTTTAAATTTGGGGTGGCTACTCTGCGCCAAATTCTTTGCGCAACTCGCCATAACTTTCTTCTAAGTGGGCCAATCTTTATGATTGTAGATCTCAACAAGTGCAACAAAGTAACACCAAAATCATAAAGATTGGCCCACTTAGAAGAAAGCTATGGCGAGTTGCGCAAAGAATTTGGCGCAGAGTAGCCACCCTCCGCCTCCCTTTTTACTTTATTAATTTTATTTTATCAGATATGGATCTCGATGGGAAAACGCTCGATGGATTTGAGGAATATCGGGCTGGTTGCGAATACGAAGAACACAGGGAATTCTTCAAAGAACCGCGTGAGGAACGAGCCTAACAAGATGCCAATGGGAGCTCGGTCAACGCTGAAGTTGAAGGATCTTCAAGTGAATCGGATGAGCTTCCTACAAAGAAAAAGAAAAAGGCCATTGGTGTGAAAACGAAATTGGCTGTTGCAAAGATGGGCAATGATGTTTCGATCAAAGCTGCTGCTACATTCCATAAGATTGATCGAAAATGTGTGCGTTCCTACATCAAACAAGAAATCGAGCTCGAGAAAGTCCACGGAAAACGCAAGAGGCTCAATGGATTTCAAGGACATCGAGGAATTGATGATCAAGAAACGGATGAATTCATTGATTCGGATGTTTCTATTGATTTCGCTTGTTAGTTGTTTTTGTTTCGTTTTGCTGTTAAATTTTCAAATGGTTAAAACCAATAAAAACTAAAGAAAAAGTTTGCTTTTGAAGAAATTATTTGAATGTATCCTGATTTGGTAACTTGAATAGTGGTGTAAAATCGTATCCCATCCTCTAATAGTACCCCACCATAGAGGGGGAGGGAAAAAATAGTACCCCATGGGGTCCATTTACGGTATGCGTTTCGTTTGTTTACTGTTACTTTTAACAAAATCCCTTTCATTTCTACCCTTTGTAGAGTAAAAAAGATTGCTTGACCACCTTCTTTATCAGTAAAGTACACCTTGTTACATCAGTTTACTAATGCTTTAATTTAGATAAGAAATGAGCGTCGAAGCCGACTACTCGAGAGCGCAAATTAACGAGTTCTTGGCGAGGGTTTCCATGAAAAGTCTCGCATCTGTCGATGCCATCTATTTAATCAGCGGCCCGAAAGATCGTGCCATGCCAAGGTCATTACCTCGAATCAGCCAGTATAACGTTTCATATTTAGACATATTTGCATTAAGTCAAAGGATCAACTTGATGGTTGGAATTATAATTGGATTCCAATTGCAACCGATGATTCTCCCTATGCAAGGTCTAATCTCTCCTCGATTGTAACTGTTAACAAATTTTAGAATGCTCAAAGAGATCGAGGAGAAAGAGAAATTTGTGCAGCAATATTATTTGGCAAATAAGGTATTTGTATCTTGACTCTTTTTTTTTTATATCTGCTCTAGGAACAATTTGTTGATGTGAGGACGCTTCAAGGACAAATGCGAATGGAAGATGCCACTGGTTTTTTTCTCCTTCGTATTCGAAAATTTTATACTTTTAGGTGTACATGGTGGCTCGATCGTTTGGCAGTCTAAAAGTCATGTGCGTGGACATCTCATCCGAGCTTTTTTAGTTCTTGCTAGAGGTATCATTTGTATTCTTTGCTCTTGAACTTGTTCAAACTCAGCAATCAACGAGGGTCACTTCAATGTCAACACCGTATCGACAGTATCGCTGAAGATTGAAAGCAATTGGAAAGTCTGTTGCAATCGAGTCAAGGTAAGCTATCATTTTCTTATCTTATAGATCTTATCAAACGTTTAATTTAGTTGGATATGAGCGATTCAATCTACTTGGTTGATGTTCTGAAAAACATTCAACGCAGCTTCAAGCGTCGTCACTGCATGCACTACCGTTTGAGGTTCAAGTCTCATGTGGCAAGGTGACTTTTATCTAAATCCCTTTTATGAGAAGGAACGATAGGATTTAACGACAAATTTTAGTTACTTGAATCAGTTGCAAGAGATTCAAAACACCAAGTCATTCGATTCGCCTCTTCGCACCACAACGGAACAAATCGACGAGATTCTTCGCAAACTGAAACCAATCTTTCGTAATTCTCCTCAAAGTCGTGATCAGTTGCCGGTTGTTTCTGAGAACTCCGAGTCATATCAATTTTCCCTGTTCATGTTTTTGTTCAATTTGTTCAAGTTTTTTTATTGATTTCATGTTGCCACTTTGTTTTTCACTTTGATTTTTAATAAAACTTTGTTGATAAAGGAACTCATGGTGAGAGTCTAAACTTAAATTATCTCTAGATGTTCTTGATCGTGAATTTCTAATGGGTTTTTGACTTTATTTGTGCCACCAAACATTATCAATTGCTTTTTAACAGTCCTTTTCTTGTTTATGGGTATTAATCTTAAATCTTAAGCACTTTATTTCAACTTTTGAATGAAGTATTTATATGTATTTAAATGTGAAGATCTTTCTTTCAAAAAACCTTGTCGTTCATTTTCCCGGTGTGAACAATACGCCCAGAATTGCATTCCTTTTTGTGCTAACGAAAAAGAAGATCAGACATCTTGTTTCTTTCTTTTTTTTTGAAGAAATGATTCATTTAAACAAACGAGTTCTTCTTTCAGCTTTTTTATTCAAATAACTTATCCAATAGTTATTCAGAAATCTTGCCAGATAAGTCAACTGTTTTCTTATATTTTAAGTTTACTAGAAGCTAGAAGAAAACTTCTAAATGATCGTCAGCATTTCTAGACTCTCTTCCTCAACCTTTACCTTCAATTTCATCAACGCGGCTTCGTCTACAATCTCTCTTTATGTCTAACATTCGGTCTTCTTTCTACTACACAAATCATTGGTTTCATCGTTTTGGTGAGTGAATTAGAAAGCAATCAAGAAATTCAGCTTTTCGAGCGTCCACTTTATGAGCAAAATTTTCCCATACAAGCATTGGCTGTGATGGCGAAGACTGCACTACTCACCGCATCCGATCGATCCGACAAGCACAAGGATGATTTGGTAATCGTATTAAGATTTGTAGATAAATATTTCCCCTCTAATTCCATAATCTTATTAGAAACTTTTAGAAAACACTCGGCCATCAGTGTAATGGAAAACGGCTTCCAGAATCCGCTCAAATCGGCAAAGAGCCTTCAAGAGCTTGGGCTCTCTTCTCAATGAAAGTAAAAAATGAGGAAAAAGAACGAAGAATTCAGTAGTGGGATGAATCCATGACCCCCTGACCCTCGGACTGGCTGGGAGTCAGGGGTCTTAACCACTCGGCCATCAGGGTAACGAGAAGCGTCTTCCAGAATCCGCTCAAATCGGCAAAGAGCCTTCAATAGCTTGGGCTCTCTTCTCAATGTATCGCACGAAATTGTTATTTGTGATGTCGTTAAGAGCGATTGCTGATTTTCTCAACTTTATGAATACCAATTTTGCTCAAGTTTGTTTCAATTCTTTAGAAAATTATATAATTTTAACAAATTTCTCTTAATTTTACCAATTTTATCAATCTTTAAATGAAACTGTACCGTTTCTCTGTAGCGTTTCTGTGTTTGTGTAAAAAATGTCTAATCAGGAGCGATTTGACTATGAATATTTGTTACGTTCGACCAGGCATCCGGATCTGATCCGGACGTCCGAATCCGGTCATTGATTATCTTGTGGTCGGTTTCGGACGTCCTAATCCGACCACAATCCGATAAATGACAATTAACCAATTTTTAATGCTAATGGAGCAAATTGATTAAACATAATTATTGAAGGGGTATTTCTCTAATAGACGAACCTCATTTACACAATTGTTGCGCCTTGATTAGCCTTTATCAAAAACTAGTTTTTTAAAAAGATTGATTGACATAAACCCATTTTTATCCGCAATACAACCATTAACAACATTAATAAAATTAGTTAGCAATCTGAATTTCAAGATACAACAAACAAACTAAATGAAAAAGGAAAAACAAAGTCAAAGTGAAAACAAAGTCAAACAACAATCAACTTAAACAAAAGCTCCTTTTACTACGCATATAATGCATGTTACTAAAAGCGTCATTCTGAAATTGAAAAGAGCCAAAACAAGAAAAAAACAAACAAAAAGATCACTTGTTCAGTAGTCGGTTAAGCAGAAGTCGAGAAAAATAAAGAAAAGAAAAAAATTTGTTTCCTGTGAGTAGCCTATAAGTTAAAATTAAATGTAAATTTTGTAAAACGCAAATTTACCTTTTGTGCTTTCTATTTCGCGCTTTTTACTGACGCTTTTAAGAAAACAAAATGGTTAAAAGGGGAACAATTTTTTCTTTTTCCATAACTTTCATAGCCCACAGCTACTTGCAAGTTATAGGTATGCGTTTCGTTTGGTTACTGTTACTTTTAACAAAATCCCTTTAATTTCTACCCTTTGTAGAGTAAAAAAGATTGCCTAACCACCTTCTTTATCAGTAACACACATCTTGTTACATCAGTTTACTAATGGTTTCATTTAGATAAGAAATGAGCGTCGAAGCCGACTACTCGAGAGCGCAAATTAACGAGTTCTTGGCGAGGGTTTCGATGAAAAGTCTCGCATCTGTCGATGCCATCTATTTAATCTGCAACCCGAAAGATCGTGCCATGCCAAGGTCTGTTTAAATTTATGATTTTTAAGGGGCATTTTGATCCTATATAAAGTAGTAAGCTTGGTAGGTACTATGGTAGTTGGGCGGCATTCATCTCCATTGAGCCAGAGCACACTAATTTTTGCTTCTGGGGTTTTTAATGGCCTAGTTTCTTAGGTTGGTATTTATTGAAGCTTTAGTAACTGTTTTCTAGCTATTTCAAGTAGTTACTGAGGTTTTAAACCTCTTAATTCGGTCCCGCACCTCTAAACCCAGTGGAAATAGAGCCACTCTTAAAGGCTCGGAATTGTTGCACAAATTCACATAAAAGTTGTTAATGAATGCTTCCAATGAATTTAGTGCAATTAGTTACTCCAGAAAATGTTCGAAAAAACCAGTGTTTCCAAACTGCTCCCGACTACTATAGCAACGCTTGGTAATGCTCGATAAGTCGAGGTTAACAGTGTAAATTCTGTCGGAAATTTTGATGCGTCCAAAGTCTTGCCTCGAATCATCCAGTATAACGTTTCATATTTAGACACATTTGCATTAAGTCAAAGGATCGACTTGATGGTTGGAATTATAATTGGATTCCAATTGCAACCGATGATTCTCCCTATGCAAGGTCTAATTTCTCCTCCCTCAATTTTAACTTTTAACAAATTTTAGAATGGTCAAAGAGATCGAGGAGAAAGAGAAATTTGTGCAGCAATATTATTTGGCAAATCAGGTATTTTTATCTTGACTTTTTTTATATCTGCTCTAGGAACAATTTGCTGATGTGAGGACACTTCAAGGACAAATGCGAATGGAAGATTCCACTGGTTTGTTTCTTCTTCGTATTTGACAATTTTATACTTTTAGGTGTACATGGCGGCTCGTTCGTTTTGCACTCTAACACTCATGCGCGTGAACACATCATCAGACATCTCGTCCGAGCTTTTTTAGTTCTTGCTAGAGGTATCATTTGTTTTCTTTGCTCTTGAACTTGTTCAAACTCAGCAATCAACGAGGGTCACTTCAATGTCAACACCTTATTGACAGTATCGCTGAAGGTTGATAGCAATTGGAAAGTTTATTGCAATCGAGTCAAGGTAAGCTATCATTTTCATAGATCTTATCAAACGTTGAATTTAGTTGGATATGAGCGATTCAATCTACTTGGTTGATGTTCTGAAAAACATTCAACGCAGCTTCAAGCGTAGTCACTGCATGCACTACAGTTTGAAGTTCAAGTCTCATGTGGCAAGGTGACTTTTACCTAAATCTTTTTTATGAGAAAGAAGGATAGAATTTAACTACAAATTTTAGCTACTTGTCTCAGTTGCGAGAGTTTCAAAAGACCAAGCCATTCGATTCGCCTCTTCGCACCACAACGGAACAAATCGACGATGTTCTTCGCAAATTGAAACCAATCTTTCGTAATTCTCCTCAAAGTCGTGATCAGTTGCCAGTTGTTTCTGAAAACTCCGAGTCATATCAATTTTCCCTGTTCATGTTTTTGTTCAATTTATTCAAGTTTTTTTATTGATTTCATGTTGCCACTTTGTTTTTCACTTTGATTTTTAATAAAATCGTTGATAAATTTTGCTTCTTTATGTCAAAGATAAAGTCTGTGATACACGTCGTCAGCGATTGAATGAAAAAGTTATCTGCTCTCTAGAAACGTCTTAAAAGGAAGTGTTTTAAGGGGTGAAAAGTTCAATCTAGGAAATTTTCAGTAGGTCTCGGTCGAGAAAATCCTTGTTTTTATTTCCCATTCTCCAGACAAAGATTTTTTTTTAAAAGGTCATTTACAGTTGTCAAAAAAGTCTGGGCCGGTCATAGATCACATCCAAATATATTGACCACAAATAGTTTTGTGTAGCATTTTCAAAGGTTGTCAAAATGAACCATTTACCTTTTCGATTTCCTTTTAACTAAGAGTTTTATCGAAAAACTTTATTTGAGTATGATTTTCAAAAATCTGCATTTCGAGAATAAATGGATCCCATTGAAAACGGTTCCAATTATTGAATCGTCTATTATTTATTGATTCACTTTATTCGGGTGAAGATGAAAGGCTAGTGGCAGTTTTGAAGCTTTAAGCAGAATCTGAGAGAAAGGACCTTACCTTAGAATGAAAATCGAAGATCATTATTCGGTCAAGACAACAGCTGACTTCCTCAAAGCGACTTCTGTCGACAATTTGAAAGCGGTTGACTATATCACTCTCACGTGCAATCCGAAGAATCAAGAGCCTAGGTGGGTTCAAAATTGCTTGGTGTTCTTTAAATTTACAAATACCAGTCTCTGGGATTTCTTTAGGTAAAGTTTTAGATACATCTCTTGTGAATCAAAGGAACCGCTTGGGGGATGGAACAATGGCTGGAAGCCGACAACGACAAAACGCAAGCCTTCTTACGCTAAGTTACTTGTGTTTTTGTGCGTTTAATTACTTAAATTTAGATTATTGAAAGAACGAAGTGATCAAGCAAAACTAGTCCAAGACCGATACACAGAAAAGAAGAAACAGGTTTTAAAATTTCATTTACTGCTTATATTTGTTACTTGTTTTTAGAAACGCTATACGGTAGAAGCAATGTACGAACAAGACGGCCAAATGCGACTTGAGGATTCTACAGGTTTAGAATCGGATTTGTATTGTTTGTAACTATTTTTAGGGGTTCGTGGCGGTGTATTTGTCTTCTATTCACAACGTTTCCAACCAGGACACCTTGCGCAAGGGTTTTGGGTGCTTGCTAAAGGTTGGCTTTGCTTAAATTTAAGAAGTAGGTAATTGCTTTAGCCCTGAATAGCGGGCGCTTTAACATCAATGAAACAGTCACCATTACATTGGAGAATTGTCGAAGCAAAGGAAAAAGAGATGAAAGGCGCCTGGAGGTATATTAGCTTCTTGTTAACTATTAAACTTCAAATTTTGGATTTAGTTGCGAGTTGATTCACCCGGTTCTTTGAGTGTGGTTCTTAAAAATGTTCAACGAATTTTCGAGCAGAATAACTGCAAGGAGTACAAACTGCACTTTAAAACCAATGTTGCCTGGTGAGTTTTTGATTTATGAACTACCTAATTGCATGCTTCAGCTACCTCTGCGCTTTGCCCGAATTTGAAAAACAATACGCCAAGTTTGATGATCCACTTCAAGGAAACACCGAGATTCTTGATGAACTGATACAAGACTTACAGAAGGCTGGATGTTGAATTGTCGTTTTTCATTGTAAATATTTCTTTCTTGTCAATATTTTCATGCTAATACAATTGGTCGAGTGTTTTTTTTTTTTGATAATATCATTCTATTCAACTTTCGAGTTTGCACACTTGGATGGAAATAAATAAACAACCACTAGTAAATCAATTTTTGTGAGCACTTTTCACATCCTGTGAAGAGACAGTGTATACCTATTTCAACCTTGGTTTTGAAAGCTTTATGCTTTTCAAAATCAATTTTGAACGAGATCACAGTCGGTTTTGTTCTCAACAGCTCAAAGAAACTAAATTTCAACTTTGAAGTAAGTTAAGTAAGTTTGCATTTTAATCCGGCTTTGAACTTCTTGTTTCCAACCATTTGCGCACTTCACAAATTGGTGAGCAAATTTTTCATACGTTTCTCTGATCTGTTTTTGGTCTGAAACTGTCACCTAACCCTAGCTATATCATGTACTTAAACTAGGCGTATTCATTTTAAAATTGTCTAGGTTAGACACGCAAAAAAGCATGGGGAGTTATACCGAAAATAACTTCTTTCTATGATTTTCTCAATATACTTTTTAAAGTTTATTCATTTCAAAGAAGCTTCTCAACGAGCGATGCCCGGAAAAATTGAGATGATGACTGCTGGCAAGGTTTCGTTTCATTTGATTACTTTGTCTGTATGGCTACTTTAGCACAAAGAGAATATAAAGGATTATAACGACGTCAAAGATGATATCGATCTCGATGAAGAAAAGAATTCTCAGAAAGTATGGCTTTATGAATTTTGTTCTTGAAAACTACGCCTAATATTAATGTTTTAGACGGGCTCCAAAAAGACTGACAAGGATATTAAAGAGAAGGAGAAGGACGGCAAAGAAAAGAAGAAAGACGGCAACAAGAAGGGCATCAAAGAGAAAGATAAGCAAGCCGATAAGCCCAAAGAAACGAACGAGAAAGCCAATGTGCCCGAATCTTCAGCTGATACAGGAACAAACCAGGATAGCCACGCTAGAGAGAACAATGTAATTCTTTGCAGTTAAAACTAAAATGTTGTACTTTAGCAATAGGATTAGGTTTTGGTTTAAGCCAAGTATTGTTTTGGTTTAAACCTCTTTAATGAATGGATCTAAACGAGTCATTAAACAGTCAGTCTTTTTTTTTTCTTTAGGAATCCAGCAGCGCAATGAAACTGAGACCGATGGAGAGCACCATGAAGCCAGCCTCAAACGACTCCGCTCCAGCTCCTCAACGCGAACAACAAATACAGAAGAAAAAGAAATGCTGTTGCACCGTTTTGTGATTGTTTTGTAGCTATCATTGGTGTTATTAGACTTAAAGCATTTCATTCTAGTTTATCTTGCTGATGTTCTAGTTGATTTGAAAAAAACTCCCCATTCGTTAACTTTTTGTTGAGATTTTGTGTATTTATTCGATTTACGTGCTTGAATAAATCATCCAATCTGTTGACAGTTTTTAAGACAGTTGAGAAGTAACGAATACTTATTTGACTTACAAAATTAACCAAATGTTGGCTTCTTGTTATGTTGGGGTAGGCTAGTTTCCGCAATTTTTTTTTTGCGCAACAGGGTCATTTGCGCAACTCACCATAACTTTCTTCTTAGTCAGCCAATCTTTATGATGTTGGTTTCATTTTGTAGATCTCAATAAGTGCAACAAAATGAAACCAATATCATAAAGATTGGTCCATTTAGAACAAAGTTATGGCGAGTTGCGCAAACGACCCAGTTGCTCAAATAACCCTGTTGTGCAAAAAAAATTGCGGAAATTAGCCTACCCCGTTATGTTAGATCAAAAGCATAGCTGCATTTAAGTGTTGAAAAAGATACTTTTGTGGGAGAAGCGCCATTTTTATCTGGTGCTCAAATCTCCCGTAGCCATTTGTATATGTCGCAAATTTTAGACAGTTGATTACCGTAAACTTTTCAATCTCCATTTTCGGTGAAAAAAGTCATTTGTCGCTTTCGCTTTCGCTCACTTGGCTACTTTACTTTACTTTTCGTTTCATACAAAGACGTTTACCTTTATCGCTGAACATTGTCTAAAATGTGCGTACTTTGACGAACAGATATCTTGCATCCACTATTGTTTAATTTTAAATCAACTTTCAAAGCCCGAAATGTTCAAACTATTTTTCCTTTATCACTGAATGTTGTCTGGCATGCGCTTACTTTAACAAATAAATCTTTCATCAATATTGTTTAATTTTAAATCAACTTTCAAAGCCCGAATTCCAGTGCTAATTTGTTTTGTTTAGACCAGCTCGAAACGACTTGGCGCTTGGTTAAGGAAAATGGGCGGACAAAGGCTAGAAAAAAAGGTATGAATAATGTTTTTTAATAATTAATACTTTAAGAGTAGTTAGCGTTTCAAATTAGTACAATAATTTTAAGATTTGTGTGTTTTAGGAAACGAGACCTGTCGAGGGCATCAAGATCAGCATTGAAGATTTAATGGCGTCAGCCGGCAATCAGCAGAATTACAATCTCCACTCGGGGTTTGTTTGTTTTCTTTCTTTCTAGCAATGGTTATCTGGTGTTTAGAATTGACTAATGTTTGTTCTTTAGAGGTGATCAACCACAAAAAGCTCGCATACAGTCTTGGGATTTTCCGAAAGCGGTTGAGCGGGTAACTAGATCCTTAGGTGAAATATGATGGTTATTTTTAGTTTAAGAAAAACGAATATGAAGGGGGGAATTTGGATGATGATTGTTTCGTTGGTCCCGTGGCGCCGAAGATGACTACTGAGAAGGATCTCATCGATCTCAACTATGAGGATCCACATCAACGATCGGGCAACTCGTTATTTGGTTAGCTTTTAAATTAAATATCTATAGCAAAAGCAAGGAGTGCTTACATGGTTCTTGTTTGAGGCTTCTTGTTGTTGTCTTTGTCTCAGCCTTTTATTGCCACGACACATTTTATTTGTTTAGCATCACAGATAGACGAGAATCAAGCCGTTGACGCTTTCATGATGAGCACTTCTCCAAATCCTTCTGAACGAAAATTCCAGCCAATTGAAGAATACATTGAACAAGACCTAAATGCTCGAAAACGCCGCGACGAGACTGCGAATGCCTGTAAAAATGAGGTAAACTGGTTTTGATGGACTTACTATATTTTTGCAGATGATGGGCGCTTGCATGGGTGAAAGAGGCTTCAACGCAAAAGCCGGCAATTCAAGCGGAAGTGATAGCTGGAGTTCCATAAACTCTGAAGTAACTTCAGGAATTTAAACTGCAAATAGATTCTCTTAGAATGATGAATTGTATGGAACTGACCGAAAAACGATTGCTCCTCAAACCTGGAACGGAAATGATTCTATCAGATTTGGAAACACTCAAGTAATTTTTTAGATTGATACGTAAAAATTGCTTTTTTAGACTTATCAATTCGCTTCTACTCCGACCAACAACATTCTCATCGATTCAAATCTTCCAGTCTCCGGTTATTATCATAAGAAGCCACTTTTGGACGGAGCTCAGGAAAACCGCTACGCTCAACAGCTGGGACTATCAACACAAGAAGTGAAGGGAAATGCTGAAAATCGGCTTCTTCGAAAGGATCGTTTCGGAAAGATGGTCAAGACGCGGCCAGTGAAGAAACTTGAGCGAGATTCGACTTATGTCGCAAAAAGTGTGGTTTTTTCCTGCCTTTACTGCTTTATTGTATAGATTTAGGAGGAGCATCTGTGTTGAGCGATCACGATATTAACAAAATCTTGGAACTTTTGGATGAGCCTGTCATTGCAACAACAAAGAAAAATCCCAGGAAGAAGGTTAGTGAATTGCCTTGAAAGAGTTGTAGCTTTGATTTAGAGTAAGAAGGTGAAGATAGCTGAAGAGGCAACTTTTAAGCAAATGGATGAGGCGGTTGACCAAGAACTAGGTTTACATTGTTAGAATATTTGATGCAATTTGGTTTTAGTTGAAATGGCTAGAAATTCACCAACATTACTTACCAGAACAGACGCCAATGAAAAAACCGCAGAGGGAACCGACTCGTGTATTTATGAGACTATCGAGGAAGCGGAAGCTAATGAGCTTAAAGCTGTGAGTATTTCCATTTAGCCAAAAACAGTTTGTTTTACAGGCTTTGCAAGCATCACTAGCTATCCAAAATGAAGTCTCAAAGAAAATGCAAGAGGTGATAAAGCCTCGAGTCTCTCAACAGATTGGGTGAGTTAGCACGTTTTTTATGAATACTAATAACCATATTTTAGTTATGCTTCGTCGGCAAAACAAACCGCTGCGAACACCTTCATTACGCGGACCGAATCTTTTCCATCATTGAGTGAGGTACGAAGAGTTGTTTGCTTTGTTTATTACTCGTTATAGGCTGTTATAATGAAGAATGATGTGAGTGGAAAACACCAACACTCTACTCCAATCAAACCAAAGAGTGAATTTCTTCATAAGAAGTCTTCAAAGAAAGGAAAAGACTTGCACTTGGCTACTAGAGGTACGCTAGTAGGTTATTCGGTATTGAGGGTATTTTTAGATGTCTTAAAACACTCACTTGATGAATCAGATCAATTGAAAGTGCTCATTGTTGATGAGGATCCATTGACACCGATTGGGGACATCACTCAACTGCATGGAATCACTTTCTTTTACGATGAAACCCTTGAACAGTCGAATGGTGATATTGGAAAACAACAAGGAGTGGAGGAACCAGTCGACGAGTCGGGCATTGGATCTTCTTACAACACGCCTGCTAAAGAACAAAGTAAGCGTCACATGTATAGGCAAACGTCGTGTCTTTTTAGATGAGACTGTTGAAGGAATATCTTCAAGTGTGACCTCTTCTTCTGAGCCCATCATCCAAGCGCCAGCAGTCAAATCTTTGTTCTCCAATCTTTCCAAAGTATTTTGAATTTTCCGATATATTAAAAAGTTTTGTAGAAATCAAACGCTCTGTATCAAAGACTCACAGGCGCATGGAATGCATTCCAACACACTGGAACAAGTTCGTTTGCAAATTTATTCAAAAGCTGCTGATCTTTTAGAGCCAATTGTCTATGTCTGCGGAAAAGAACTCTGAAAGCGGAGCTAAACTCGACAATTTTTTATATCCTCTGTTAATATATTTGTTAAAGTTCATCTTTCAGTATATCCCTTTCGATTATTTCTATGCTCTTTAATCGCATTCTTTTGTTGCTTGGATTGGGGGTTAATTACTTTTCTCTTGTTCTGTTCTTCATTCTTTTGTGTGGCATCGATTGTCAGGAGTTATTTTGCGAGAGCCTCGATTCCTGTGATTTCCGTCTGATTATCGTTGCTCTCCAAATTCATGTTATGTCACCCAACGATGTTGTTGTCATTTTCCGATTGCATCTGTATGTCGCTTTTGACCGCTTCAAGGACGCAGTGATCGTTACGGTTAATTTGTTGTTGGAAATAAAGTTAATTTAAAAGTTCAGTCGTTATCAAAATAATGGACAGTAGTGAAAAGTTCAACGTGTTTTTTCAATTTAAACGGCCATTTGTACAAGTTTACTTCCAATGGGTTACTGCTTCTGCTCATCCTTGAACCTTTTCAAACTGAACATCGAGAGGTCAAAGGGCGACTCTTCCCCAGCAGCCAAATGCGCTAAAGCTCGTCCGAATCCCGGCGATACCTGAATTTTTAAGTAGTTAGATTTCTAAGAAAATTCTTGTAAGAGGTCTTGGTAACTTGTGCCTGTAATCAACCTTGAAACCACTGCCCGACATGCAACCGCCAATGAAAACGTTCTTGAACTTTGGATGCCAATCGAAAACGTAGTGCTTGTCAGGGGAAACCTGAGTTTTTTCTGTGAAAATCTAAATAGCTCAAATCCTTACCGTATATTTGCATTTGTCGACGTGCGCTGGAGCACTCGCGTCAATAAGTGGGAAATGTTTAGCGAGATGGGCTTTCGGCTGATCGAGATTCACTGCCTCGAACTCTTTCTCAGCATCACCGACGTTGTAAGCGTCGCCGAAGTACTTGCAATACTGGAGATGTTACGCTTTGATATAGACTACCAATATGACAATGAAAAGACCATTTCCATGGTTAGAGTTTTGATTAAAATAGTTAATGGACACTAATGGACAGTAGTGAAAAGTGCAACGTGGTTTTTTTTCAAAGTCTCCCTTCACCTTGATAGCGTCCGGGTAATCTCTTATTGGCAAAGCGAATGCCTCTTCTCCTGTCGTTTTATCGTCAATGATCACCACTGGCATCTTTTCTAGAGAGAATTGCGAAAGATCTTTCGGATCTTTTGGCTTCCAATAAGCCACACAAATGCGTTGAGGCTAAAAAGAAATTTTTTTACTTAAGCGCTTAAAAGCTTGAAATTTGAAGCTTGAAAAAACTCTTTCATCAGTTTTCATCACTTTTTGATCTTACCTGAAGTCGAGTGATCTTGGCGATATCGGGGAAAACCGTTTGCAGCCATGTGCCCACACAAATCATCGCTTTTTTCGTTGTGTAACTGCCTTTGTTCGTGTGAACGGTTACCGTATCACCGGACTCGGAAACGTCTGAATTTTGAAGACGTTTAAGCTACAGTTGGCTTTTCCATTTGAAAGACTTACGATCAAATGTCTCATCCTCGTGCACGATTCCGCCCAAATTACGATACTCTTCCTAGATTTATCTTTATTTGGATTTTAAGATCAAAAATTGATATGCTGATAGGCTTTCTTGATAACCCTCACTTGATAAGCTTTCAACCATTTCTCTGGATAGATCATTCCGCCCATTGGATCGAAAAGCGCCTTCCAGTGATCATCGTAAACGAGTTGGGGATAACGTTTGTTCACCGAAAATGAATATAATAGATTAGGGATACGGTAACTATTAGCTAGAAATTGAGATAAAGTGATATGGTAGTTTGATACAATAATTCTTTTCGATAACGTCCCAGAGAGGAGACTCTTTCTCTTCTTTTCTCTCTGAGCAAGCAAGCGTTTATAGCTCAGTGAGTAGAGTCGCTGCCTGGTAAACGATCCCGAGCGGAACCCGGCGGGTTTGATTCCCTTCGGTGCTATTTTCTTTGCCATATTTTTTTGAAAAAAAGATGAGGAGGGAAGATGAGAGAAAGGGGAGGAAAAAGATCTTCTTCGTGCACGAGCTCTGGACAAAGCGCTATGGACAGACCGAGATCTTTTTTATCTAGTAGAGATAACATTCACTATGTACAATCGAACGTGCTATCCAGCCTCACCTCAGCACTGCTTAACACTTCGTGTTCAAAGCCGGCTTCTCCAACAGTTTTCGCGATCCCATCGATTGTCGCGTGATCAGCCATCCAAACTAAGCCAGTGTTTCTAAAGTGAAAATATTTTTTAAATGTTTGTAATGTTGGCGTTAAAACGTACGCCCAAAGTTTCTCGCCACGTTTCTTCTCGAATTCGGCGATTTGCGCGAATGAATCCTTTACGACCGGGATGTATGGAGCGTGGGTGTGAGCTGGAAAAACAAAATGGATTAAAGCTAAAATACTAGTTGATTGTTAAGCTTCAAACACCAATAATGATATTATTTTGCGTCAGTTTCAGTAATTTACCTCTAACAAATTCGCTAGAAAATTGAAGCTATTGACACGATTTCTCTGGATAGATCCTTCCGCCCATTGGATAGATCATTCCGGATAGATTAGATCTCTGGATAGATCATTCCGCTTTCCAGTGTTTATCGTAATAATTAGCTATTGAAGCTAATTGATTTTCAAAGAATTCTTTTTCTATTGTACTAATAGATTGTAAAATGGATTTAAGAGATTTAAGAACTTATAGAAAAGGATCGATTTTTTGAATTTATTGAATTGAACAATATAGAAATTGAACAAATAGACTTTCCCACTCACCCATTCTTGTGATCCTCGACATCCCGTGCGAGCTCCCATGCCAATGACCCAGATTGTACTGAAATATGGAAAGTTCTAAGAAATTTCGCATTATTATCTAAGCTTAGCCTATCTGCCCTTCTTATTTACCTGTTCAAGTTGCAGTGTTTTCAGCCCAAGCTTACGACAATGATACGCTGTACACGAACCGACGATTCCCGCACCGACAACAATCACATCGTATTCAGGATTCGATGACATGATTCTGGATACTAAAATTGATTCGAAATGCTGATATGATTCTAAAATTGGAAAGTTAAAGGTTAAATAAAGAGTAGAGAAAGTAAAAGTTATAAAATTGTTCTTTCAAATACAAATAAATGAAAATGATCTCGGGCGGGATCGAACCGCCGACCTTCTGTGTGTTAGACAGATGTGATAACCACTACACCACGAGACCGATGATTTGTTAGGGAGATTGAAGGGGTTAACAATACAAATGAACCAATAAAGAACAAGCAAACACTGCCATTACCTTTCTCAGATCACTTTTTGATAAGTGTTGCCCTTTTTAATCCCTTCAATCTCCCTCACAAATCATCGGTCTCGTGGTGTAGTGGTTATCACATCTGTCTAACACACAGAAGGTCGGCGGTTCGATCCCGCCCGAGGTCATTTTTCGTTTTTCTTTCATGTTAAAGCTTATTTACAAAAGCTTATTTAAAAGCTTATTTACTTATTTATTTACAAAAGTCAAAACAATTGTTAAGGGAAAGAATTACCTGCTTTCATGAAAAAGAATAAGAGTTTTCTTTTCGGAGAAATTTAAGAACAAAAATGAAAACGAGAATTTATAAGAATAAAAGTGGGCGGAGTTTTAACTGAATTGGTAATTCAAAGATGGTTTTTGGTTTAATATTGCTCAACTTTCGTGAAAGATTTGGGAAATAAAAGAAATGAAATGGATGGGGGATCAAGTGAGTGTCTCTAGGTTGATCCCCAGGGGAAATAGCGAAAGAAAAGGAGAGTGAGAGAAGAAAAACGATGACTACGTTCATTGGAGTCTTTCTTTTTGTTGTGGTCGAGTTTTTAAGCAAAAAATAAACTATCTATCTGCTATTAGAAGCTGTTTAACATCATTTCTTGTTCAGAACTAATTAAAGTTCAAATTTTGTATCTCAAAACAAAAGTGTACTAGATTTTAAGCTCAAAAACTTCAAAAAAATCCCTTTTGATGCACTAGATTCTTTTAAATTTCTCTTTTTCAGTGTCTGATCAAAAAAATAAAGAATCTAATTTGTCAAAACAATGCATTTACCTTGAAACGTAAGGGAATAAAAAAAAAATTCATTATTCGGCTAAAATTCGTCATTGCTTTCCCCCCATTTCCTTCTTTGCTTTACGTTTTTGGGCTAAAATTTCTCCAATCTTTTCATCAATGGAAAAGATAAGAGACCACGAGTGGGAGAGACGAGATTCTACTTTTTTCCGTTTTTGTGAGCAAAGTAGAAAGAATTTTTTGGTTCTCTGAACACATTGATGTTCAAATCAAAATGTTCAAGGTAGAGAGAATTTAGGGTTTCATTGGAACAATAAAAAAAAAAAAAAAAGAAGACGCCAAACTAAATAAACATTGAGCAAAAATTACACCCAGTTATCAGGGAATTTGTTTTCCATTGGAAATGAGTGAAGCTGTGTTCAGCAATACAGATCTATTCTTTGTGCTTGAGAAAATGGAAACGCACACTTTCTAGTGCACTCTATAAATTCTGGCTTGCTATGGAAACTTGGAGGATTTGAATTTGAGTAAAATAATGCAGGTTTTGATCTTGGCTGACTGTGGTTTAACACATTCACGACGATGGGGCCCACCGGTGGGTCCCAAGATGACTGCCATCTGGGACGACGGGACCCACCGGTGGATCCCGTAGCTAATCTGAACCGTGATGGAGAATGGAGATGGAGAAAAGAAACCACAGCTGTAGAGAAAAGGAACCAAATCTGTATCGAAAATGAACCAAATCTGTACCGAAAATGAACCAAATAAAAAAAGCTCTCGTCGTGAATGTGTTAACGATGGATTCGGATTTCCAAACCTCGAAAACCCCGAAGGACAAATTTTCATGTTGATCCGGCGCTAAAATCTTTCCAGTTGCGGGTGGCATTTCCATTGCTTTAAAGCCAAAAACAAAACTTTTGTTGTCGCAGGCGTCGTGCCAAGCATTGGTAATCGCTTTCCAAAAAGGAATGTGGTCGATTTTGAGCATTATTTTCCGAAAATATCATCCATAAGATGACAAAAGCACACATTTGTAGAAGGGGGAGAAGAACACTGGAGGGGTGGTTTGGGGAATGAAGAGTGGATTGACAATGTACTTTAGAAATTAGATCAAATTTGATTAAGAAATGCTTTTTGTAGCCCCATGATTCGATGAACGAGCGAATGTCCTGCACGTTCGAGTACGAGACACTGCAAATTCCAAATCTCAGGGTTATCGTAGCTTAAAATTGACATCGGATTCGGATTTCCAGCTTCAAGAAACCGCCAGATACAAATTTTTAGCCTAATCTAACGAGTTTAACCGATAAAATACGCGACATACCTAATTACGGGTTGTGAGATGGTGTAGAAAAAGAAACTAACATTGGATTCGGATTTCCCACCCCAGAAAACCCCTAGGTACCAATTTTTAGCATTTTAGGACTTCTGAACTTGGACTTGACTCTCTTCCTAGCGACCAGACGGCCAAAAAAGCCAAACGGCTTCGTCGCGAATGTCTTAAGGTGTCTAAAAGTTTAAAAGGTGTCTAAAAGTTACCATTACTACCATAATTGCGTTGTCTTTAGTGCAGAAATGACTTATTTAAATCATTTAAACCTTATTTAAACCATTTGTTGACCTAGTAGTTGATTAAAAAGAGCTAAAAGATTAAAATACAGGCTTTTCCTAAGCGTATCTTTTAGAAAAACGCTTCCGCTGAGAGAAAAACGTTTGCAACATTCTTGCAACACTTGTAACACTTCCACTGCTGCTTTTTTATAACTTTTGAGATTATCTACTTGATAAAATGGAATCAAATTGATGAATGAGTCATAAAATACTAATCTGATCTTTTACGCTTATTATTTTGTCCATTTGCTGTAAATACATTGTTTTTTTCTCTCCCAGACATAAAAAGGCCGACATTCGTTAATTGAGACGAAAATGGCGTTCTTTGCGAAAAGAAATTCCCCTTTTCTGTTCTCCACAACCATACAAATTCCCCTCCGCGAAACCGCTTTCAAAAATTTTACAACGCTTTTCATTGAAATCGTTCAGTTTTAGAGAAGTTTACCTGGATGTTTCATTTCCATTTTAATTTTTCTTCATTCAGACATGGAAGATGAGCTCGTGAACTACTTGTCACCGGAGAAACAACGATTCCAACATCTTCCCCGATCGAGAAAGGAATCGCCCGTCTTGGGGAATCAATTCAAAGCAACAGCCAGGGTTTGTGAAATGTTTTATTTAAAAATTAAAGATTTTATTAGAGTTAGGCGATAGATAGAAGTAAAATAGAAATCTCTAGCATTTCATTAGTTTGGTACCAATTAAGAGCCTTGAATTAACAAAGTTTTTTTGATTTAATCACTTGAGTAAAATGTGCAATGTTTTATTTTAGTGGAATGCTATTCTGAAAGAGTTTCGTGAGACGATTCCTCTTCGAAATCATCGCCATTTCATCAAGAACATCGAGAAGTCTTTTCTGGCCAATGAAGCGGTGAAGGTGATGGAGGATATTCTGCCAAAGCATTGCCCGGAAAAGACTGTGACTAGGTAAAAGTTGTGACTTTGTTTTTATCAAAATGTTTTTATTCTATTTTTAGAACAAATTGTGTGGCTCTTCTACAGAAATATCTAGATGATGGCGTGTTGATAGCGGTGAAAGCGGCCAGTAAATTTGAAGACAACTCGGCTCTTTACAGGTAACTTTACATCTATTTTGAAAGTATTGAAAATGGGACATTTGTGATTAAACCATATGCAATTATAATAATCTGAATTCATTTTAGATTGGGTGAAAATGCGGCTGGAATGGCATCAGGTGAGGAATTGAAGCAAAATGAGGCCCGAACACCGAAATTGATCAAGAGAAGCATCTCCTTTAGTGAAAGACCAAAGATTAGGTTAGTTTATTAATTTTCACATGGGCAATTTCAGGCAATTTTTATCTATGTTTATCTTTTTACTCTAGAACCACCTCCAAATCGCCGACAAGGGGAAGACAAACGTCACGGCCAAATCTCGTCAACAATCAACCCGTTGCACTAACAAATTATAAAAGGTTTGTAAAACTTTCGTTGTTTAATCGAATTCTTTAGACGTGAGTCCACGTGGTCGGAAAAGATTGCAATTTCACAGGTTGGTTTAAGCTCAATTTTGGTATTCACAAAAATTTTCAGAGAGAATCTAACGGGACTCCAATTTGTCGCCCAGCTGATGAACAAACCGCGCAGGGAGATCACGTTTCAAAGGCTGACATGCCAAAAAGGACAATGGTTTGTTAAAGGAGTTCAAGACAAGGAAAATCAAAATTTTAGGTGCATCGCTATCGGCCCTCATCCTTCAGTCACAAATTCAAAGATAACAAGGATTGTGAGTACTAGAGATGTTTAAGATTTACATTTTATGTTTAGCTTGTGAAAGCAACAATGGCATCGATGTTTTATTTACCTCTCGTCAAAGAGCCGCCTCTGAGTCTCCAAATGAAAAGGTTTGTGTATTTTTAGCAACAAAAAGCTTACCGAATTCACTTTAGACACGAAAACGGGAAGGTGAAAGAGCACGACCAAAAACTAGGGACCATTCAAAGGCAAAGATCATTTGGAGGGATTGTTTAGTGAATCGGTGGGTTGAAAAGGGCGAGCGTTCTAGTTATAATTTCATTTATAGGCTAAGAAGATTGATGGATGTTGAAAATCTTCCTTTCGATCTCGACTTATCACCAAAGAATATTCAATGGAATTCGATTAGGGTATGTCGGTCATATTTGGCAAAGATTTCATTTTGTGCTTGCTTAGATCGACAAAGCGGGTTGCTCAATGCCAAAACTTCCTGGAGCGGGTGAGTATTTCTTTCGAACTCTCTTCATGACGTACTGACTTTAGAAATCTTTGCGGAAAACATCGTGAAGAAAGCGGTCTACTTGGAGGAATTCCCTTTCACGAATAGTCGCTCGGGAAGTGTGATCACAGTTTATGAAAGACATGAGGTAAGCTTTGAAATGCTAAAAGATATTAAAGAACTTTGTGTTTACTAATGCAAATCTAGATTGATGTCTTTTATACGTTGTGCGATCGTTTGCGTCAAGATTCTCATCCACCGATTGACGATTCGTTTGCCCATGCGATTCTACGAATCTTTGAATTTTTCATTAATAAAGCGGATCGAGGTGTAATTTTTATAAACCACTTGTTTATTCTGGCTTTAGATGAGAAAATTAAACGAGCCGAGCTGGATTTCAAGGCGATCGAGTTGAAGATGTCCCAGACTTTCATGGAAGATGGGGAAAATGTCGATCCACAAAGGAGATTCGTGAGTAGAGATGACTAATTATTTATTTATTACTTAACCTTTCTTTAGAATCATGGAAATGGTGACATTCCATTTGTTGATGCCACGCCATTATATCGGAGAATTAACGCGGAAAGTCAATGTAAGCTTGATATAGACTATTTTCATCAAAGATTTTAGATCTTTCACCAAATGTTAACAATCTTCCTGGGTATATGCCTAAAACAACAACATCGTCGGGTAAATGTAAGTATTTCTAAATTTATTTGCACACTTTTTAGAACCTGTAAGTTAAACTTTAAACTCCATATTTAGCAGCTCCACTATGTCGAATCTCGATGAACCTCGATTCAAGTGATAATTCGGAAGAAAATGAGAAAACCTTTTTGTCGTGCAAAACGTATGCATCAAGAAGCTTTGGGTTTAATGGTTGGTTTTGATTGCTTGAACGCTATGATCTTCTAATCTATCTGTTTTAGAGATTCCAAAGAAATATTTACGACAAATGAGCGAGTCAATTTCCCTGCTGTTGTTGTCGATGAACCCCGATGACCGCCGAAGACTTCACTGGCTGATCACGACGATGAATCGAGTCTCCGCTAATCATTGCCTCACGTTGGCGCAAGATCGTCAGAATAAAAATGTGGTACGTTTTGGTGTTGTTGACGAAATATTACATTTCTTTTTAGGTTCTCGAACACATGTCTTCACTTGTTGTGAATACCGAATCGGAAAACGAGCTCATCTCTCCATCAGATGCCTTGAATATTGTTCGCTTTTTAATTGAAAATTCAAAGGTATACTTTAAGCACATTTTCTCTTCAAATATCAATTTTAGACAATTTTCTTTCCACCACAAACTTTCGTCGAAGAGGTACAGCTAACGATACAAAATCGAAGCTTCGAAGCGGTTAGTTTGGGATAGATTTAAAGTAAAAAGCTTGGTTTAGTCTTCTAACACAAAAACTCCGAGGAAAGAGGCGATTTACTGCGATCGACTTGTGGTAAGTTTTCCTTTTGAGATTATTCATGAAATCAATTTTTAGTATTGCGATTCGACGAGCAGCATTGACGAGGATAACACGGAGATGGAGTTGCTGAAAATGCTGGACTTTGTGCTGAGCGGCGATTTGAGCGAGGAAAAGAAGTACAAGTATTTGAAACGGGTAATTATTTGTATATCTATAACTGTCTTTTTTTCTGCACTTTAAAATTTACTATACGACTTAGATAATCCATTAAAAATTTTAGTTCGAGACCCAATACCCGTCGATTTTCGCGCGAAAGTTCGGCGACGAGCGGGATGTGAATGTAATTTTGGGAATTGCTCCGAGGCGCTCGCGATCGGTGATTCGACGAATTTTTGGGAAATGAATGCATTTTTTTGTGGTTTTACTTTGTTCAAATAAGATTACGGGTATTTTTACGTATGTTTTATCGCTCGATGAATCCTCTTTTTCTATTATTTGTTTTTAGGGTTCCGATTCATGATTAATTTTACCATATTGACTTTTCTTGTGATAGTGAATTTGTATTTTTTTGTATGGGATTGTGAGATAAATAAAAATTGTCTTGAAAATTAATTTGTGAACATTTGGTAAACGGATTGCCCTTTTCTAGTGCTGTAATGCTATTTCGTGGAAAAGCGGAAAACCTACCGTAGTTTAGTGTTTAGGGAGGAGAGAGAGTATTTCGGGTAGATCTCAATGGTTTCATGGAGGCTTTCATGTGTTGAATTTCTACTTTTAATTGAATCTAACTTAAATCATTAAATTTTTATTTTGCAGATAACGTCAATCGAGAGAAGCTCACAGCTTTTGCGTGAACAATGACTGGAACCGAGCGTAAAGTCTTTCAGGTACGCTATTTTTTTTTGTTTTTGGTGTTTTTTCTGGCTTTTCTTTGAAACTAACTCCAAATAATGTATTTTCTTTGGAAATACTACCCGCCCGACTTCGATCCGTCGAAAATCCCCCGCGGGAAAGGGGTGCGGAATCGACAATTCGTGCAACGGATTATGGCACCGTAAATTTGAATTTTATATTACCTAAGCTAAAAATTTAGACCAATCTATAAAAGAATTTTTGAGTACTTCTTTTGAATAAAGCGGGGGTAAATTGAGAATTCAGGTTCAACATGCAGTGCAACACGTGCAGAGAATACATCTACAAAGGCAAGAAGTTCAACATGAAAAGAGAAACGGCTGAAGGGGAATTCTATCTCGGATTGAAGATCTTTCGTTTCTATTTTAAGTAAGTTTATCTTTGTCTATAAAAACATGATTTTTTTCTTTTTTTAGATGCCCTAATTGTTTGGCAGAAATCTCTTTCAAGACAGATCTCGAGAGTTGCGATTATCAAATGGAACAAGGAGCGACACGACTTTTTGAAGCTTTTAAGCTATATCAGGTTTTTCTTTTTAAACTTTTAAAATTCATTTCCTTTGAGTCTTTATGCACATGTAAAGTGTAAGCTTAACGAGTATCAACTTTCTCATAAATCATTTTAGCAAGCCGCCAAAGAAGAAGAGGCAAAAGAAGCCGAGGATGCGAAGGATCCGATGAAAATGCTCGAGAAAAGGACGAAAGCGAGTAAAGCTGAGATGGAAATGTCAGGTAAGCAAAAGTTTCGAAGATAAGGTTCATTAGGACATCAACACTGACATTTTTAAAGACCCATTTAAGCTTTAATTTGATCTTACTACTTTAGGCAAACTCGATGAGATCCAGGAACAAAATCGGCAACACGAGACGATCAATTTGGAAGAGTGCGTTGTTTAAATTGCAAATCACTAATAGTTTATTTAAAATAAATTTGTAGACATATTGGCTATTAAAAGCTTTTCTATGCAAGTTTAGATTTTAAATTTTCAGTTTCTTGAATCAATTCGACTCGGACAGAAAGCTGACATTAGCTGAAAGGATTCGACTACAAGAAGAAGAGGTATTCAATTAAAAAAAAAACGCAAATAGTTATCTTAAATAAAGAGATTTTAGAATTATATTAAAGCTTTCTTGTTTCAGGATGAAAAGGAGATTAAGCAACTCTACGGACGGGATAGTGATGGGGTGATCAGAAGACGGATCAAAGACGAAGATGAAGTTGACAATGAAGCACATTTGCCGACTAGCAGGTTTGTTTTGAGTGTTTTAGATAAAACTTTTAAAAAATCGGAATGCTTAAAATTAACCGAACAATTCGTTTAGTGCGCTGGCGTCATTGAAATGGGAAGCCGATCCCGAGCAAGTTGATGTGAAGCCGAATCCTGATGGGAAACGATCGAGAGACAGTCAAAAGGATAAATTGTCCAAGTTGATTGTTGTCAAGAAAAAGAAACAAGAGGTAATGTTGAACTTGATTTTGAACACTCAATAAGTTCTTTTTTCAGGTGACGGTCAAACAGGAGATCAAAGATGAGGACGAGCATGCGGATGCGACGAGTTCCACTGGGCCACCAAAAGGTAAGAAAGTTTTTGTTGTTTTAAATCGGATATGGTAATTTTATTATCCAAACACAGGCATTTAGGCAGAACTTGGAAATTTGCATTTTCAAAAATTACACTCCTTTTTTAGCCCCACCCGCAGCGTCGGCTCTTCTGGGACTCGGCGTCTATGGAAGCTCATCGGATTCCGAATAGCTTGAAAATTTCATCAATTCTGCGTGTATTTCGACGGGTATTATTGTATTTTGTTGTTATGTGAAGCATTTTCTTGAAATGTTAAACATTTTTATGATAGTGTGTGTTTCTTTTGTTGTCATTGTTTATATAATAGAACCTTTTATCTTTCGAAATCTACTGAGAGATCACAAAAGTGAGTATGATTGGCACAAAAATCAAATCGATATTGAAAATTTCGATAAATGAAAGAAAAAGACCGCGATGCTTGCGAATTTGATCGCGTTTTAGTTGATTTTCTTTGAAAAATTGATTCGTTCGTTGAGTGATCAACTTATCCATTGAAAGTTGATTATCGAGAAGCATTTCCTTGAATTTTTGAGCGTTTTTTTGGTAGCTGCTGTCCGTTAGAACCTGGAATTGATTTATGGCAATGGAGATTACTACTGCAGACTATTTTAGTCGTCTCAGGGCACTTGTGTAATTGAACCAGCGGCATTGAGCCAGATGTGTGACGTTTTCGCCTCTAAAGAACACACCCAGCTTGTGCGTTCTCTAGACGAGCCCGCAGACGCCTGCCATCTGGCATACTGGCTCCATCTCAACCTCCGTTGGATCATTTACCCAATTGACAATAAAAGATAACCTTTTCAATTTTCATTTCCATTTCCTTTTTTGTCATTGTGAATTTGTTCAATGTCTCAGCGAATCCCCATTCTTTTGCCCATCTTGCATTGTAGTTTTGCTCGGCCATTAACGGCAAAACAATTAACGGAATCTCTGAGCAAATTGATTCTTTTAAACTAAAAAAAGGAAAATTTTTAAAGAAAAAGCTTTTTTTGAACCTTTTCAATCCACCATGTGAGATAAAAAGTTTCGTTTTTGGATGAGCCAAAATCTCGCGTTGTGGGGCAAATGAAGTGGTTAACACGTGGCTCAGCGAAGTTTCCAGGCTTCCATTTGATGGGAAAATGATACGATAGTCGGTGAAAGACGAGAGAGCATCTGTGGGAATTTTATGCACTTAAATCATCTCCGGTAAAAGCACGATTTTTTTTTGTGGTGCACAAAAGAATTTGTTACTCATATTGAAAGGAATTCAATATGCTAGATATGCTCGATATGCTATTCAATTTGGAAGCTAGCCTATGGAAGCTAGCCTATGGAAGCTAGCCTATGGAAGCTAGCCTATGGAAGCTAGCCTATGGAAGCTAGCCTATGGAAGCTAGCCTATGGAAGCTAGCCTATGGAAGCTAGCCTATGGAAGCTAGCCTATGGAAGCTAGCCTATGGAAGCTAGCCTATGGAAGCTAGCCTATGGAAGCTAGCCTACCCATATGGGATCGGAATCGAAAGCTGAATTCAAGGGCTATCCGGGAATATCCATGAAACAAATTCAAAATCTTTGATTTTGAGTTTCCATTTGATGGGAAAATGATACGATAGTCGTTGAAAGACGAGAGAGCATCTGTGGGAATTTTATGCACTTAAATCATCTCCGGTAAAAGCACGATTTTTTTTGTGGTGCACAAAAGAATTTGTTACTGATATTGAAAGGAATTCAATATGCTAGATATGCTCGATATGCTATTCAATTTGCCCTATGGAAGCTAGCCATATGGGATCGGAATCGAAAGCTGAATTCAAGGGCTATCCGGGAATAACCATGAAACAAATTCAAAATCTTTCAGATTTTCGATAAATTCGATTTCGCTAGAATTCAATAGGGTTTTTTGATCGTTTTTGAAAGAAAAAATGAATTTCTATTTATATGCTTTTGCTTGCTTTTTACTCAAAAATGTAAACGCAAACTTTCTGGCGCAATGAATTTGTTTGTTTCATATGTGATACTGCAATTCTGTCCACCAGACGGCTCTTTCGAGCACACAAAGTACATCACATACTGATAAAAGCTTTCCGTAGCTTTTCTGGAGCCATATCGAGATTCGCGAAAGTGCCGAATGCAATCAAAATTGTTCCTTTTGATTTGAAATCATTCACAAATGATTTGTAGGGTTCTTTCAAATCCAAATCAACAATTTCTTCATTCACACAATAATAACCAATGTTTGTGATCGTTTGAAGTGCTGAAATTTGCTTTTTTCTTTCTTTGCTGAAGATTTAGTCAATGTTTCCTCGATTCTAGCTCATAGAATTGCTTTGAGATGATGCTTAGAGATATCTTAGAGATAGCTAGCTCATAGAATTGCTTTGAGATGATGCTTAGAGATATCTTAGAGATAGCTAGCTCATAGAATTGCTTTGAGATGATGCTTAGAGATATCTTAGAGATAGCTAGCTCATAGAATTGCTTTGAGATGATGCTTAGAGATATCTTAGAGATAGCTAGCTCATAGAATTGCTTTGAGATGATGCTTAGAGATATCAAAAAATGGAAAGCTCATGTTTAAACGTTTACCTCTCGACTTAAGATAGAAAAAGATATCAATCTGCAAATTGTTTCATTGGAAAATCAAGAATTTCAGCTTTTTGATTGAGCTTTTGATTGATTATAAAGAGCAAATTCTTATAGATGAATTTCGTGCTAATAGCTAAGCTATTGAGCTAATAGATAAGCTATCGAGCTAATAGCTAAGCTATCGAGACTTTTCATTTCGAAAGGTTTAAGCAAAATGCAATCCTTTTCATTTGTTCGTCGAATTTTCAATAGGTTTACAATGGAAAAAACGAATTTTGATCATTTTATCTTTTAGATCTCAATTTGATCTCAATCTTTTAGATCAAAAGATTCAGATCAAATTCGATCTTTATAATTCGGAGAAAGTGGCAAAAAGCCTTTCCCTTTTACATCAGGAAATCAGGCTCACAAATGAAAAGCTCTAATTTTTGTAGAAGCAAGGAAAGTAGCCATTAATGATCGTTTAAAGCGCTGAATGGTGGTTATATAAAATCTAGACTCTAGAGAGTCTAGAGAGAATTACTCTAGAGATTCTAGATTCTCTCTAGAGAGTCTAGAGAGAGTCTAGAGAATCTAGAGAATCTAGAGAGTCTAGAGAGAATCTAGAGAATCTAGAGAGAATCTAGAGAGTCTAGAGAGAATCTAGAGGGTCTAGAGAGAATCTAGAGGGTCTAGAGAGAGTCTAGAGAGTCTAGAGAGAGTCTAGAGAGTCTAGAGAGAATCTAGAGAGTCTAGAGAGAATCTAGAGAATCTAGAGAGAATCTAGAGAGTCTAGAGAGAATCTAGAGGGTCTAGAGAGAGTCTAGAGAATCTAGAGAGAGTCTAGAGAGTCTAGAGAGAATCTAGAGAGTCTAGAGAATCCAGAATCGATAAAATTGAACATTGAACATTGAAGATTTAGAATTTCTTTTCCCTTACTTGGTGTCGGATAGTTGAGCTTTGGCAAATCTTCTGTGAAAATGCCGGAAGCTTTTCGGAAAAAACGATTCCAATTCACCGATTTACCGGTGATTTTCTCGTGAACACTTTCACTTAAAAAACTCTCTAAAATTTATTTCTTTAGAAACAATTTAGAAAACAAATTTCTTTACCAATTTTGTGAGCCAACACCTCGGCTCCATTGTTGAATGCATTCCAGAAACGATCACTGAATTTACCGGCATCAAATTTCACATATGGATCACTGGGCTCTTCGGCAAAAGCGGCCATCTTTGAGCCAGCATTTGTTCCTATAATTGAAATCTTTTCATTGATAAAACCCAATCAAAAACTCCATTTCTAGAGCGCTAAACCAGCCCGGCAATTCTCAGTCTCACCAATTCGCTGCGCCAGAAAACTGACGTTTACGAGTGGACTTAGAATGCAGAAAGGAAACAAAAGGTGGAATTGCATTTATGCCCTCTTTCAAACGATTCATGGAAACGCTAGTCATCTGGTACACTGCTATGGTTGAGCTGAATACGTTAGAAGCTTTTTGTTTAACCATTTTGCACAAAGTAAACTCACTCACCCAGCGCTAATGCCACGGATTTAAAGTAGAGAATGATCGATGGGGAAATGAAAGCATATGGCACTTTGTACTCATCCTAGAATTAATTTGCAATTAATTTAAATGATATTCAGCTGTGGATGTTGTTGTCTGTTGTCTGTTGGCTGTTGTCTGTTGTCTAGACTGTTGTCTGTTGCCTAGACTGTTGTCTAGACTGTTGTCTGTTGCCTAGACTGTTGTCTAGACTGTTGTCTGTTGCCTAGACTGTTGTCTAGACTGTTGTCTGTTGCCTAGACTGTTGTCTAGACTGTTGTCTGTTGCCTAGACTGTTGTCTAGACTGTTGTCTGTTGCCTAGACTGTTGTCTAGACTGTTGTCTGTTGCCTAGACTGTTGTCTGTTGCCTAGACTGTTGTCTAGACTGTTGTCTGTTGCCTAGACTGTTGTCTAGACTGTTGTCTGTTGCCTAGACTGTTGTCTAGACTGTTGTCTGTTGCCTAGACTGTTGTCTAGACTGTTGTCTAGACTGTTGTCTGTTGTCTAGACTGTTGTCTGTTGCCTAGACTGTTGTCTAGACTGTTGTCTGTTGTCTACACTGTTGTCTGTTATCCAGACTGTTATCTGTTATCCAGACTGCTCTCTGTTCTCTAGACTGTTTTCTAGACTTTACTAAGCATCACTCACATATAAATACTCAGCTAACGCATTGCCAAGATCGCAAAAGATGAGATCAACGATGGAAAGATCCCATTTCATTTCGTGGAGTAAATGATTTAACTGAAATAAAAAGATTTTCAGTTAAATCATCAATTTCTTACCTTTCCCCTCTCATTTTCCCAAATCCAATGAGTGATTTTTCGATTGAAAACAGTCGGAAATGTTGTCATCCAACCGCGGAGTTTTATCGTGAAAAAGACGGATAAATCCTAGGAGTATGTTAAGTTTTAAAGTTTCAAACATTGGCATTGAAACAAACAAGAGTTGCACGTTCAATATTTATGCAACAATCGCGGGTAGGCTAATTTGCGCAACTGGGTCGTTTGCGCAACTGGACCGTTTGCCCAACTGGGTGCTTTGCCCAACTGGGTCCTTTGCGCAACTGGGTCCTTTACGCAACTGGGCCGTTTACGCAACTGGGCCGTTTGCACAACTGGGTCCTTTGCCCAACTGGGTCCTTTGCGCAACTGGGTCCTTTGCGCAACAGTATCCTTTGCGCAACTTACCATAACTTTCTTCATAGTCAGCCAATCTTTATGATGTTGGTTTCATTCTGTAGATCTCAATAAGTGCAACAAAATGAAACCAACATCATAAAGATTGACTGACTTAGAAGAAAGTTATGGCGAGTTGCGCAAATGACCCTGTTGCACAGAAAAAATTGCGGAAATTATCCTACCCCAACAATTGATCATCTTTGTATTGATCAACAGCTCATTTTGTAAAAATCTAAAGTTAAAAAGAAGAAACACATCTCAAACTTATAGTTAAACAAGTTAAACAACAACAAAGCCAAGGGTACGTTGGCCTTTCTCACGCCGAATACTTTAGTAGAGCAAGTAAACTCATCTAGCAATCATAGCAATAAACAAGTTAAGTCAATTAAGTCACTTTTTGTTCAAAATTATTGCCTTTTGCGTTTAATGTTTTTCTTCAAAATCACCTAGAACCCCTCCCATTCGGCCCACCCCCCCCGGCCCCCCCCCCCGGCGCGGGGCGCCCCCGGTCCGATCCAGCCTTTGGATGATTGTTGAAACAAGGATTTTAGGGATTTCAGTCAGTTTAGAGCTAAAGATCATATTGATTCCAGTCGCGGGGAGTTTTCATTGTAATTTTGTGGCTCAATGGGTTTCATTGTAATTAGATTTTGTGGGTCACTCTGGCGCTCGCTGTGGGTCAATTACCCGATTATCAATCGATTATCAATTCTATATAATTAGGTACTCAATCTAAACAAACCCTTGTCCCAATGACATCTAGCGGATAGTGAATGTCGTAATGATTGCACTTTTCGCATAATGGTTTCCATTGATCGGGACTCGTCCTCAGCAAGGTGATGTTGTGACCGTCGTTTGAGAGGCTTAAAAAAGGAAATGATCGATCGATCTGTACTTTGTGTTCTTTCCAATACACTGTACTAGATAATGGACGTTTAGTAGAGCAAAGTAAAGCAAAGCAAAGCAAAGTAAAGTAAAGTAAAGTAAAGTAAAGTAAAAGCAAAGCAAGGCAAACAAAGCAAAGCAAAGTAAAGCAAATCAAATCAAATCAAATCAAAGCAAAGTAAAACCCACCTAACAATCAGATTCTTCATACTTCCCCAATGACTTTTGCTCGCATGTCCAGCGAAAATGAGAATATTCTTTGCATTTGAGTTTTTTGTGAAATAGACGAAAACGAATAAATAAATAAGGGTTTTCATCAAGAAAAACAAAAGAATTCCGAGGGTTTTCTTTCAAAAATCGATTCAAAACCCAATCGTCTTATCATTTTTTGTTTGTTTTGAGCACTTATCTGTCAACAAAAAGCAAATTTCATGTACCCTAAAGTCTCGACTATAAGTTGATCCGAGTATAAGTTCTGCCTTAATTTACATTCGCTTTAATTGCTTTGAATTTCTTTTTGTTGGGTTTTTATACATTTTTATTGTTACATAAACTTTTATTATTGTTCTTGGAGCGCGGGTGAAAGCCTATCACCCATTGCACTACAGGGTGACAGCCTATCACCCATTGCTATTTGTTATGGATACATCCAGACGATAGTGTTGAAGAAGACGCTGGAAAGCATCTCTTTCGACCGTCGACGTGGACTTTAGCCGGATGAAGAGGCCAGAGACGGATGAAGGGAGGCTTCCATAAGACTGAGCACCGGAGAGGAACAGGGGCGGACGCGCTGAGCCACGCCCGGGGCAACAAATAACAGCACAAAATTCCTATAAACCTCAATAAATTTACTTCTATTATTGTTCTTAAAAAGCAAAAAAAGTTATGCTGCAGCGGGGTTCGAACCCTCGACACACCGCACCGGAGACAGCCGTCAATTTGCATGCGAAAACCAAACAGAACTTATACTCGAGACTTTAGGGTAAATACATCAAAATCTCCATTTTCTCTTCTCTGTTCCTATTTTGTGAAACTTTAAAAGCAGTTTAGTTTAAAAGTTTAAAATCTAAAACAAAAGCAACGATTATTACCCACAAAATTCCTAATTACGCATCGATTTTGAGGCAACAATCGGCCTCGTTTAGCCTGGAATACGATCGGATGTTCCAGAGTTCCAGAAAGTTCGAAATCATCTCGATGCCGCTCTCCTATTGGTGGATGGGATTTTTATGTGCAAAGTTTGCAGTAAAGTGAGATTAGAGCGGTTCATCAACGTTGAGAGGCGTCTCCCAATGTTGGTCACTTGACTCTCATCTCAAATTTGGGCAAAATCTTGAGATCAGGGCTTCAGGTCTGTTCCAGAAAGCTAAGCTAAGCCAAAGCTAAGCCAAGCCAAAGCCAAACCAAGTTAAAGCCAAGCCAAAGCTAAGCTAAGCCAAGCCTAAGCCAAGCCTAAGCCAAGCTAAGCCAAAGCTAAGCCAAGCTAAGCCAAAGCTAAGCCTAAGCCAAGCCTAAGCCAAGCCTAAGCTAAACTAAGCTAAACCAAAGCTAAACCAAAGCTAAGCCAAGCCTAAGCCAAGCCTAAGCCAAGCCTAAGCTAAGCCAAGCCTAAGCTAATGCCTTTCAATTCGTCTTGCCCTGATCTACTGTCGGCTTTGGCTTCTCTGGACCTGTCAAAGCTAAGGCCAAATCAAAACCAGACAAAAAAATGACCTCTAGAACAACCCTGAAAATTTTATTTGACAGCTAAGTGCTAGAAAGCTTTCGAAACCACAAACATTCAACTTGAGCCTTTACAATCCTCTGATCATTTCGCAAAAGCTACACAACTACTCTTTTCTTGATGATTTTTCCTCACTTTTTCTTGTTTATCGCAGAATATTTTCGCGTATTTCTTCAAATTCTTGTAGTCTTCTAGCATTTCGTATCGATTTTTTCGATGCTTTTTGACGTTTCATCAAAAAATTTCATTCTAGAATCTTTATCGCAAATTTTTTCGCAAAAATTTCTTTTTTTTGTCTTATCTAGATTCATTTGGTAATTCTCTACATATAAAAGAAAATTTTTGGAAAAAAAAGAAATTGGATTGAAGTATTTGTAGGAATGGCTGTTGATAAAGAATGTAAGTTTTTTGAATTGGGTTTGTTTTGGATGATTTTGGATGGATTTTGGATGGATTTTGGATTCGTTTTGGATTCGTTTTGGATTGAGTTTGGATTCGTTTTGGATTCATCTTGGATTCGTCTTGGATTCACTTGGTCACTGGCGTTTTGTTTGCTTGGGATTCATCTGGCTCTTGGATTCGTCTGGTCGCTGTTCATCTTGATTCACTTGTTCCTGGGCATCTTGTCATCTTGTCGTCTTGGTCGCGCATCTTGATTCGTCTTGGATTCGTCTTGGATTCATCTTGGATTCATCTTGGATTCATCTTGGATTCGTCTTGGATTCGTCTTGGATTCATCTTGGATTCATCTTGGATTCACTTGGGATTCATCTTGGATTCATCTTGGATTCGTCTTGGATTCGTCTTGGATTCATCTTGGATTCGTCTTGGATTCGTCTTGGATTCATCTTGGATTCATCTTGGATTCATCTTGGATTCGTCTTGATCGTCTTGATCATCTTGACACTTGATTCACTTGGGATTCATCCTGGTTCATCTTGGTCGTCTTGATTCGTCTTGGCCTCCTGTTCGCTTGGTCGCTTGTTCCTGATTCATCTGGATTCATCTTGATTCGCTGGGCTCTTGGATTCATCTTGGATTCGTTTTGGATTCGGTTTGGATTCATCTTGGATTCATCTTGGATTCACTTGGGATTCATCTTGGATTCGTTTTGGATTCATCTTAATTCAAAATTAGCCAATCTAATAAACACTTTTTATATCTAATCTAATAAAAGAATTGTAAGTTTTTGAATTGGATTCATTTGGATTCATTTTCGATTCCTTTTTCGGCTTTGGAAGATTTGAAAATGATTTTGGAAAATTAGTCAATCTAATAAACATTAAAAAGTTAACGGAAAAGCTTCAAAAATAGAAGATCGACTCAGCGTGAGAAAAGCGCGCGTTTACGTGCACGCACAGAGAGCGTACCGCCGCCCAACTTGTCCATTTTGGTATAGAATTTGATTTCAAATCTTCCAACATCAAACTCCTTCCATTTTTTCGCTTAAACCTTGCTATTACTAGATGATGATTGTGCTTTCTATACTGAAAATGCAATCAAATCCAATCAAATCTCGTCCCTTCATTCTTTTTCTCTGATTTCTGCCCTATTTTTCTCTTTTACACAAAAAATGCCAGGGAAAAGAGAGTTTTTTTTGCACAATCTCTATTTATCTTTCGTTTTTTTCACATTTTTTCACCAAACTCACCTAAAAAGAGCAAAAAACCGCAATTTTTTAGGAAACCTTTTGACGAAAATTTATTCTATTTGATTGTTTTTATCATTTCTTTGCTTAAAAAAAGAATTATGCAGAAATCAGGTGATTTTTTGAAGACTTGGGTAATTAAAGCGACTGACGGCTGGTCGCCTAAAAGCCGTCAGTCGTTTAGGTCGCCGGCTTACTAAAAGCTCCGTGTGCCAGAAAGCACGCGTTTACGTGACTGCACAGAGAGCGAATAGATCTGAGTTTTTGAAGACTTGGGTAACTAAACCGACTGACGGCTGGTCACCTCGGGTTACCAAGAGCTCTGTGTGCCAGAAAGCACGCGTTTACGTGACCGCACAGAGAGCGGATAGATCTGAGTTTTTGAAGACTTGGGTAATTAAAACGACTGATGGCTGGTCACCTCGAGTTACTAAAAGCTCCGTGTGCCAGAAAGCACGCGTTTACGTGACTGCACATAGAGCGGATAGATCTAGTTGTAAAATTTACTTAAAATTGATATTTTGCTAATGAAATTAATAAATTTTAATTCTTTAACATTTTAGTAGTCCTTGTGACTGGAGCTTCGGGATTTCTGGGAGCTCATTGTGTGAAAGCGCTTTTGGATAAAGGATATCGAGTGAGGGGGACGGTTAGATCGCTGAAAAATGCACACAAGGTTAGTAGAAATGCAGTAATTGGTAGAGATCTAGTTTTAGAAAAGTTTCTATCTATTAAATCATTTTTAGGTTGAACCGGTACGCAAATTGGATCCATCTGGAGCTCGACTTTCTCTCGTTGAAGCCGATTTAAACAAAAAAGATGGATGGGAAAAGTTTGTGTTAAAGCCCCTTCCCCTTTGTCTTTCCCTTTTCCCATGTCTGTCCAATCGACTGAATAGCTCAGTGGTTAGAGGTTAGAACCCGACAAGCAAGAGGTCGAGGGTTCAATCCCTTCTCCGGGCATTTTTCTGGAAATTTTCCCGAAAATTCTTTGATTCTTCTAAGAATTATCTAATTCTTAATGTCTTAAATCTTACAAGATCATTCTAGAGCTGTATCTGGTTGTGATTACGTTCTCTAATTTGAGTCTAATTTGAGTCTAATTAGAGTCTAAACTTTGATTAGTTCAGCTCTTTCAAAAAGTATTTCACTTTTCCAGCCATAAACGCAAAGCTCAATGCAGACTAAATAACTATAAATTACTATAAAATCGCTTAATCAACAACATAAAAACATTTTAGCATTAATTTGCATTCAAATTGATCGATCAAATTGATTAATTGATCGATTTTCGTTTCTGATTGGGGAATCTAAGGGAAAAAGGGTCGATTACTGATTTGGTCTTGTTTTCTAAAAGATCTAAGAGATCTAAAGGATCTAGAAGAGCCCATTGCTACCGTCTACCGTCTACCAACGTCTATACAAAAGCAATTCCAGAGCTGTATCTGGTTGTGATTACGTTCTCCACGTCGCTTCTCCTTTCCCATTAGGTGGTACGCAAGAAACAATCGATACAGCGATTGCTGGGACGAAAAATGTTTTGGAGGTTGGAAAAAATTAGGAAAAAGATCTATTTTGTTACTGTAATTCGATACTACAGTAATTTTAACATACTATTCAACTAAAGAAAACGAAATCAACAAGGAAGAAGAGGGATTTGAAAGCTATTTTTTAATTCTGTGAGTTTTAGGCGTGCGCTGAAGAGATTTCAGTGAAAAAAGTGGTTTTGACGAGCAGTGTGGCAGCGATTTCTGGTTTTTTTTTCATTTAAAAATCATATTTTAAAGATATTTTATATAATAATATCTATTTAAAGAAAAAAAAGCGACTTTTAGAAGGCCATCGAGCTTCCAAGGAGCGCATTGATGAGAGTTTTTGGTCGCTTTTAGAGGTGAGCTTTGTGAAAAAAGCTTTTAAAGATTCAAAATTACAATATTGAAATCTTTTTCTTCTTGAAAATCTCAAGTTTACAGGGAGCTGTTGCTTATGTGAAATCAAAAACATTGGCTGAAAGGGCTGCTTGGGATTATGTCAATCAGAAAACGCATAAAAATAAGTAAAATCTTTTAGAAATATTTGCATTAATTTAATTAATTTAATTAATTTAAAGAATTTCCATTTATAAACATGATTTTCGATTAGTTATACAAAAGAAATGCATATTCAGCTTTCCTTTAACGACGATAAACCCGGGTTTCATCATCGGCCCACCACTCACCGATGATAAGGGATCGAGTGTTGAGGTGGGAGGAGAACTGCTTCTGTTGCTGATGAAGAGCTTCTTGTGCAGAGGAAGAGCTGCTTTTGCTACTGGAGATCTTCTGTTACAGCTGAAGATCTTCGTTTACAGCTGAAGAGCTTCTTTTACAGATCAAAATCTCTATTCCCGGCTAAATACCCCGATTTTTCAGATCTTATCTCATCTTTGATCTTCTTTTCAGGTTATCATGCAAATGATGTCACTGCCAGCAGTCCCAAGAATCACCTTTGGTTGCATCGATGTCCGAGATGTGGCAAAGGTTTGTGGTTGCCCAAATTCTCTTCAAAATTCTAATTTCAAGACGAACTCTCTAGCATTTATCAAGTTTCCACAAAGATTTCAGTTTTTTTTTTGATGCAAACTTTCGTTGTAGATCTGGAAACATCGAATTTAAGGCTCACGTTGAAGCTATGGAACGCCCAGAATCGAATGGAATGAGAGTGATCTGTGCGGAGGCTGATCCACACTATATGGTGGAACTTGGGAAAAGATTGCAGCGAGAATTCGCGAGTCAAGGTTGAAAGCAGTTTTTGCAGTGTCATTTGTTCTTAGAAATTGTTATTAAGCATTCTAAAATAAAAGAAAATTGTTTTTAAAGGTTTAGCAAAAGAAAGGAAAAAAAAAGTTTCACAACCGGATCCGAACCTGGGTCAGAAAAGCGGAGGTTAGATCAAAAGCATCCCCACTTACCTCTACGCCATTCGGTCACGTTGGGAGGGAGTGGAAAAAGCCTATATATCCCTGAGAAGCGATTTCCCGAGGCTTAAACTTTCAAAGGGTTTTTCCTGTGAACCATTGAGAATGGGTAAAAAATAAATAGAGCATCGTGTTCCCGATAGGCGTTTCCATTTCAATGGCGTAGAGAAATCGTCCCTTTCGGCCATTTCGGCCATTTCAGACCATTCCCTTGTTAGACTACGCAACGCTCCTAGTAGGTGCTTCTATTAGAGTTTTTACGGTATGTAAATTTGGCTGAATTTCTCCGTTTGATTACCGTTAGTTTTGAGCGATTCTCTTGGATATTTTGGCTATTCTCTTGGCACAAGATCTCGCAAAACACATCCGATCTTGCTCATAAAACGTGTTTCCAGGCTATTCACCAGCAGCTAAAACTCTGCCTGATTTCATCATCAAAATCGGCTCACTGTTCAGCGCTCAATTCTCGGCTATTGTTGGTCGATTGGGACACGAGACGAGATTCGATAATACAAGGGTTTGTTGCGTCAAATGAATCAAATGAATCAAATGACTCTTTTAAGAAACAATTTGCATTGAATACTAAAGAGTAATGTACTAATTTAAGCAATACCAACCTTTCTATCACTATAAATCGACAGTAAACCATTTCTAGGCCAGAACTGTATGCTGGAAAAGTCCCTGTTACTTTAGATTTAGCTATAGAGTTTTAAAGTACGGCACCATTATGTAAATCTTATCGTTTTCAGTTACGAGAAGTCCTCCACGTTCAACCAAACGACTCTAGAGAGGCTTTAGTGGATATGGTTTACGAATTGATCGATCGAGGAATCATCAAGAAAACAACGAAATATCGCCCGAGAAAAGCATAAGATTATGTAGAAATTAGAAAATATTTAAACCCTTTTCGCACTTCCTGAATTAATAAAAGTTATTGGCAACATTAACAGCAAAAACATTCAAAACAAAAGAATTTATAATTTGAGAGGAGCTGAGCGATTAAATACTTAAAAAATACGATTTCTCATCGAGGTGACAAGGTTTCGAGGCGCACCAGACGAGGCGCACCAGACGAGGCGCACCAGACGAGGCGCACCAGACGAGGCGCACCAGACGAGGCGCACCAGACGAGGCGCACCAGACGAGGCGCACCAGACGAGGCGCACCAGACGAGGCGCACCAGACGAGGCGCACCAGACGAGGCGCACCAGACGAGGCGCACAAGACGAGGCGCACAAGACGAGGCGCACAAGACGAGGCGCACAAGACGAGGCGCACAAGACGAGGCGCACAAGACGAGGCGCACCAGACGAGGCGCACCAGACGAGGCGCACCAGACGAGGCGCACAAGACGAGGCGCACAAGACGAGGCGCACAAGACGAGGCGCACCAGACGAGGCGCACCAGACGAGGCGCAGAAGCGTCAAGGCTATTCCAGGCCATTCGAATCGCCGCTTTGAGAGCAAAAACGTTGGAATATTGCTGGTTTTGCTTGTCGACGTCTCGGAGAATGGTTGTCCAGAAATTTTCGATCACGTTGAGGTCTGGTGATCGCGCTGGCCAGTCGACTGAGTTGATTCCCTTTGAGGGCATGAACGACTTGGTGTGTCACTTGAACGAGTTGAAGACGCGAATCGACGCATGATTCTGCTGTATGCCTAAATTGGCAAACGGGAAATGGTAAATGGCAGATGGCAAATGGAAAATGACAATTGCTAAATGGGAAATGGTAAATGCCAATGGCAAAAAGGCAAATGGCAAATGGCAAACGCCAATTGCTAAATGCTAAATGCTAAATGCCAATTGTCAATTTCCAATTGCCGATTACCAAATGCTAAATGCCATTGCTAAACGCCAATTGCGAATTTTCAAATTCTAAATGCCAAATGTATGGCCAAATTTTTGGAATTAATTTTCGCCTGAAATTTGGCTGTATTTTTGAAACAAAAATTCGACATCCTAGGGAAACCAAAAACAGTTTCGAAAAAAACAAAACAGTCACAGTTGAAACAGAAGTGAGCAAAAATCGGCTGTGATTTGTGCTTTGCCTGCAAAAAGCGCTCTTTCGCAACACGATTTTCCTCTCTGAGTCTCTTCAAATTGTCATCAAATAGCTGAAATTCGGCCGTTTTTTTTTTCTCTATTTTCCCAATCCCCCCCCCCGGTTTTCTCACTCTTTTCCCATTTTTTTATTCTTTGAAACTCCCTAGAAACGGCAAATTTTTGGCGATAACCAAGAAAAATACAGAAAAATTATCAACTTTCCAACAATTTTCAACAATTTTCGGCAATTTTCACCAAAATTTGTCTTTTTTCTCCTCCCTTTCTTCTCTCTTTTTCTCCTTTTTCAAAATTCTGGCTTAATTTCCGATTTTTTTTCACGATTTTTTTTTCAGGTTCACAAAAGTCGCTTTATGGAAAATTGACTATTCTAAATATTCTAGCTTTACTTATGAGGAGAGACTTGCTTTTTTTGAACTAAAAACTTTACAGCATCGTCGCTTTGTCATTGATTTAGTCGAAACTTTCAAAATCCTCCGTTGTAAACAGATTAGCCCTTTGTTTATAGACTTTTTCAAATTTAAACCGCGGTCAGGGCCCAGAAGTGGCTCATTCCTTTTGCAAATTCCCTTTGCTTCCAATGCCTCTTTATCAAATTCATTTCCCGTTAGAGCCGCTAGATTATGGAACTTGCTCCCAAACGACATACGAGAAATTCAGTCGCTTTTCATATTCAAGAAACGTATCGATGCTTTAGATCTAGTGGCTCTTTGCCGTAAGTAATTGGCTTATTGATTTCAGTATGTATTGTATGATTAAGTATCACTGTGCATTTCTCTATCATTTCTTTCACTTTATCGTTTGAATAAAGTATTATTATATTATTATTATTATAACTTTCCAACAATTTTCAACAATTTTCGGCAATTTTCACCAAAATTTGTCTTTTTTCTCCTCCCTTTCTTCTCTCTTTTTCTCCTTTTTCAAAATTCTGGTTTAATTTCCGATTTTTTTTCACGCCTCTACTCAAACTTTCGCTTAAATTTTACTCATTTAGAACTAGCTAACAATTTGAGAACTGGTTATTGATTCGAAATGTCGTCGCCATGTAAGTTTTCTTTTCGTTTTTCTTTGACGCATTTGGATAAGTGAAAGATCGGTTGCTTAAGATGCTAAGGTCTGCTTTTACGAAAATGCAATCACTTTTCACTTGTCAGCTCTCAAACAAACACTTAGAATCGTTATTGTGATGTTTAGATTATAGATATCGATACTGTAACATAAGTTTCGGTATGTAAGATAATAAGCTTCAGTTTTGTAAGAAAGCTTCAGTGGTTCTTGTGACTGAAGCTTCGGGATATTTGGGAGCAACCGGAGTTCGCAAAATTTCAAATTCTTGCGAAACCAAAAAGCTAAGAAGCACCGGTGACATCCAGATTACCGTAATCTCAAAGAAAAATAGGCAAATTTCACTTGGATATGGGATAAACTAGCCTCCAGACGTTTTGGGGTACGGTAGTTTTAGGTGCTTTTTGCCGCTTTTAGAAATTCGGACTCGAGCCCTTTTTAAAAAGCAGCAGTGACATCCAGATTACCGTAATCTCAAAGAAAAATACGCAAATTTCACTTGGATCTGGGATAAACTAGCGTCAAGACATTTGGGGGTACGGTAGTTTTAGGTGCTTTTTGCCGCTTTTTGAAATTCGGACTCAAGCTGTTTTTAAAATAATAAGCTTCAGTTTTGCAATATAATAAACTTCAGTGGTTCTTGTGACTGGAGCCTCGGGATATTTGGGAGCTCATTGTGTGAAAGTGCTTTTGGATAAAGGATATCGAGTGAGGGGGACGGTTAGATCGCTGAAAAATACGAAGAAGGTAATGCTTATTTATAATTAGCATTTAAAACATCTATCTAAACTTTAGATTGATCCAGTGAAAGCTCTTGACTCGAGCGGGACAAAGATCGAATTTGTTGAAGCTGATTTGACAACGAAAGAGTCATGGCCAAAGTAGGTTGGAAGATAAAATTATCGATTTTTTCTCTAAACATTTGATTTCTTGTTTTAGAATCTGGTAAAGATGAATTAGACTCCTAGTTTGAGTCTAATTTGAGTCTAGTTTGAGTCTAATTTGAGTCTAATTAGAGTCTAATTAGAGTCTAATTTGAGTCTAACTTTGAGTCTAATTTGAGTCTAGTTTGAGTCTAGTTTGAGTCTAGTTTGAGTCTAACTTTGAGTCTAATTTGAGCACAATGCTTTTGATAGATGGCTTTCGATTTGAGCAAAGAACATCGTACAGACTATCGTTAGCGCATAATAGAAAATAGACTACTCCAAGCAACTATAGAAATGCTAATATTTCTATAACCAACTGTACTAGATGGCTAGCGATTGTGCGCGAGCAGAGAACACGAGCTAGAGGATGAAAAGCGCTTTTTTTAACTTTACTTTACTTTAAGGAGTACTTTGAATCTACTTTGATCTAACTTTGATTAGTTCAGCTCTTTCAAAAAGTATTTCACTTTTCCAGCCAAAACGCAAAGCTCAATGCAGACTAAATAACTATAAATTACTATAAAATCGTTGAATCAACAACATAAAAACATTTTAGCATTAATTTGCATTCAAATTGATCGATCAAATTGATTAATTGATCGATTTTCGTTTCTGATTGGGGAATCTAAGGGAAAAAGGGTCGATTACTGATTTGGTCTTGTTTTCTAAAAGATCTAAGAGATCTAAAGGATCTAAAAGATCCCATTGCTACCGTCTACCGTCTAAACTCTATACAAAAGCAATTCCAGAGCTGTATCTGGTTGTGATTACGTGCTCCACGTAGCCTCTCCATTCCCACTAGCTGGCACACAAGAGACAATCGACACAGCGATTGCTGGCACGAAAAACGTTCTAGAAGTTTGTTCTAGAAATTAATCAAAAATTTAGCATCAATTTAAATATTCAATTGATATATTTATTAAAGAAATTGAATTTTAGAATTCATTTTTTTATTTACTGTATTTTCTCTAATAGTAGTGCACCCAGAGCGTTGCCTAAACTCCTCGAAATCTTGAGAACCGCTTATCAGAACCTATCGATGTGCGGTCGGAAAATGTAGCTGACGATGAGATCTTGTGGGGGATTTGAGTGTTGAGCTTCTGGGAAAACTTTGGAAGCCCTAAAATGGACATCAACTCGGCTCGCTGGGATGCATTACTATTGCCTTGGTGAATTGAAAACTGCCGGACTTTGAACTAAAATTTATATCAACATAAAACCATGAATTCATTCCAAATAATTTCCATTATTATTGACGACTTGTGCACATTTTACAGCCAATTTGCGGATTCCTCTTTCGAAGTAGGATTTTGGTTTGTGTGTGAGACAAGTGTGAGACTCAGAAATGGAGGACTGGAGATGTCAGCTGTCAGCCCAGTTTAAGCACTTTCTTCAAAAGAAACCCATTTTGGTGTCAATAGAAAAGTTGTAGAGAATCAAAAATTAGGCTTATAGCCAAATTTCCAAAAAGATACACTTAGTAGTTTCGCTTAAAATGAAAGTTTTGTGAAAATTCGTAAATTTGGCATTTCTTGAAAACCAGTTTTTTGAATCGTTCTGAAAATTTGGATATAAGCTTGATTTTTGATTCTCTACAACTTTTCCATTGGCATCAAAATGGGTTTCTTTTGAAGAAAGTCCTCAAACTGTCACACATGAGAATAGACGGCAGTTTTCAATTCACCAACCCAATATTAGAGAAAAAAACGATAAATCGATGTAAATGAAAAGTTTAGGCTTGCGCAAACGAGAACACATTGAAAAAAGTGGTGCTCACGAGTAGTTTGGTGGCGATTTTTGGTAGGGAATTTAAAGATCTAAAGCTATTCAGCTAAGTTATTTAGCTTAGGCTCAGGCTCAGGCTTAGGCTCAGGCTTAGGCTTAGGCTTAGGCTCAGGCTCAGGCTTAGGCTTAGGATCAGGCTTAGGCTTAGGCTCAGGCTCAGGCTTAGGCTCAGGCTTAGGATCAGGCTTAGGCTTAGGCTCAGGCCTAGGCTCAGGCTTAGGCTTAGGCTTAGGCTTAGGCTTAGGCTTAGGCTTAGGCTTAGGCTTAGGCTTAGGCTTAGGCTTAGGCTTAGGCTTAGGCTTAGGCTTAGGCTCAGGCTTAGGCTTAGGCTCATATTATCGTTTAAATTTGCTTTGAATATCTATTTCACAATGCAAAAATCGATTCCAGAGGGACACGTTGACGGTCGGCGACTCACTGAAAACGATTGGTCGATTTTGAATGTAAGTTTGGGATTTTCAAGGATAAAACTAGATTTTCTAGATAGATATCGATGTTATCGATGTCTTAAAGAGTTTAAAATCGAATTTATCTCAATTTTCTACCAATTACAGGACAAAACGGATGCCTATTACACGAGCAAAACTCTCGCCGAAAAAGCCGCTTGGGAATTCGTCGAGGAACACAAAAATAAGTCGGAAAAGTCTAAATCAAAGCAAAAAATCGAGTTTTAAGAAGAATATGATTTCTAAATTTAGATTAGAGAACATTTTAGGCTTTTGGAATGACACTAAATAGTTAATTGGATTGAAAACGAGAGGGCAACTGAATCGGCCTTGCTTCTCGGCTTTGTTTTTATGGATTAAATCATCCAATCAAACTCTATTTGGTATCATTCGAAAGCCCATTATATTCTCTATCTAATGATCTAAAAACATAACAATATAAACATCACTAGAGAAAGTTATAAGGCTTTAAAGTTAGTTACTTCAAAGTTTACTTTCAAGACCAAAGACTTATTGAAATTCCAGAGATATATTCGACTATATAGATAGATATTTTAGATAGATAATTTAGATATTTAACTAGTTTAGCTATTTAGCTAGTTAATAGCAATTAATTATCAGGTTTAGATTTCGTTTCACTGTGGTAAATCCGGGTTTTATTGTGGGCCCAACGTTGACGGATGAGTTGGGGTCGAGTGCAGAAGTGAGTCAGAGATTAGTGAAGAATAATGAAAAGGATTACGGCAACTGTATCAATAACTCTATTTCTAGGTAATTAAAAAGTTGATGGAAGCTCCGGCGTTACCAAAAATGCGTTTTATCTGTGTCGATGTGAGAGATGTTGCAATGGTAAGTGAAAGCTAAGAAGGACTGCTTTTACAGAAGATATTAAACTAGGACTTGGGACTTGAGGGCATGAGAACTTGAGAACTATGAGAACTATATGAATCTAAAAGCCTAAGCCTTTTAGCCTAAGCCTAAGCCTAAGCCTAAGCCTAAGCCTAAGCCTAAGCCTAAGCCTAAGCCTAAGCCTTTTAGCCTAAGCCTAAGCCTAAACCTGAGCCTAAGCCAGCCTAGCCTAAGCCTAAGCCTAAGCCTAAGCCTAAGCCTTTTAGGCTCACATAGCTGCAATGGAAAATCAAGAATCGGATGGAATGAGAATCATTTGTGCTGAAGCTGATTCAAGACTTGCCAGTGAACTCTTTGAGAAGCTGACGGAGGAATTCGAGAGTCAAGGCAATTTTCCTAATAACCTTGTCTATTTTGTTAAATTTATACATTTATATAAAGGATTTAGGGTACTGTATCCCGACTCGATCAATTCCTGATTGGATTGTTAAATTTGGTGCTAATTTTAGCGATCAATTTGCAAAAATCGCTGGACGATTGGGAATCGAGTTGAACTTTGATAACTCAAGAGTTGGTTGATCAAAATTTGCATTTGGAATTGAATTGAAACCTTTCCAGCTTCGTGAGATCTTAAAAATCGATCCAAACGATACAAGGAAAGCCGTCGTTGACATGGTTTACACAATGATTGAAAAAGGTTTCATCAAGAAGACAACCAAATACCGGGGACCAAAGTGAAAAACCAAAAATTAGCTTTAAGCATTAGCTTCAACCATTAGCTTTAACCATCTGGCTTCGACTTTTCTGAACTATAGCATTTCCCCCATTTCACTTTGCATTTAATAAAGTTTCACTGAAAACAATCAATCTTTTTATCAATCAATCAATTTTATTGGGGTTGGGGAGAATGAGTCGGCGCCGAAAATCAAAAAAATTTCTGAAACTTCTATTCGACTTCGTCAAATAATATGCGTTTGATATCAGTAGAATGGTTCTAATTCTAATTCTAATTCTAATTTGCCTAGATGAACTAATTCTCTACAAAATCACATTTAAAAGAAAATTCAAACAGCGCCTCCGCTAAAAGAAAAAGCCATTTTTTCACAAAAACTACAAACTGTGATCTAGAAAAAACCATTGGTGGGATCTTCCTGCAAATTTGGCAACTTAAGTAATTCAATGTGCTCTATCTTTTTTATATAAACACCAAAGAAGGTTTATGTGAAAGAAACTGTTCAAATGATGAGTCGGACTCTTTGCCATTGTAACCAGCTGCGTTTCGAAGTTCATAAACTCCACGAAAGGAAAGCTTTGTGGAATCTCTCAAAAGTGATTTTGTAGAGAAATAGTGGATCCTTTTGATGAAACCAAACGTATGTTTAAAGAAGGCTTTATGTGTGCAAAAAGTCCCTTTAAAGTTGGGCGCCGACTCATTCTCCCCAACCCAATATTTACACTTTTGATTTATTATGTTTACACAATGATTGAAAAAGTTTTCATCAAAAAGACAACCAAATACCGGGGACCAAAGTGAATTACACATTACACATTACGCATTACACATTACAGAAATTGTGACCGAGACCGAATCGAGAGAAAAGGAACCAAATTTAGAGAGATAAGGGACCAAACTTAGAGAGATAAGGATCCAAATTTAGAGAAATAAGGAAGCAAATTTAGAGAGATCATGAACCAAACTTAGAGAGATAAGGACCCAAATTTAGAGAAATAAGGAAGCAAATTTAGAGAGACAAGGAACCAAATTCAGAGCGCTAAGGATCCAAATTTGGAGAGATAAGGAATCAAACTTAGAGAGATAAGGACCCAAATTTAGAGACACATTACACATTACACATTCAGGCATTGATTGAAGCTAAATGGAGGTCCGATAAAATATTAGATTTTTGTTTTTTGTCTTTCTCAACTCAAGCCTTAAATGCCTAGCGGTAGAAAACGATTCTGGAGAATGATCTTCTTCTATTTGCAACCACGAACATTGGACAAGGATGGTTGTTTTACATTCCGTGAATTTGCAAAAATGGCAGGACGATTGGGAATCGAGTTTACTAGAACCAAATGTTAAAAGGTGAGGTCCGATAAAATATCAGTTTTTGTTTTTGATCTATTTTTTTTCCTATTGTGCATCACTTTATTTAAAATTCTTTTGGACCGTGTAAAAAATCCGGAATAACTCGAAATTCTTTGAACTTTCTGAATCATTTACAATTTCACTTTGCATTTAAAGTCTCTCTAAAAGTCAATCAATTTATTTACATTCAAGTCCTTGAAGCTCGACAAATCAGGCAACACAGAAATCATTGAAATATTTACAAGAACAAGATGGATGAATTCCTTCCTCTTTCTCCATTTATTCTTCATTTTCATCTACTTGTCCATTCCAATCCCTTCTCCTTTTTGTTGTTGTCAATCGACGAGCTCTCGTTGTTCTTGTCGGCTTTTTTGTGTGATTATGGTGATGTCTTTTTGTTGTTGGACCTTCACTTGGAATTGGTTTGTTCGATGGATTTTGGGGAGGAAGAGAAGTTGAAAGATCTCTTGATGGAGATTCTGAAGAGATTACTGTAGTTGAGGGATCTTTGGGAAGATCTGTGGTTACGGTACTCGATCCATCCACCGGCACTTCAGTCGGATTCTCAGTGAATACAGTCGTCTCAGTCACAATGCTCACCGTTGTTGCCTCACTCGGCACTCCAGTTGACGGTCCATCTGTATGCGTTCGATTTGTTGGTGGTTGAGTGGGAGCCTCACTTGTCGATTCTTCTGTTGGTTGTTGGGTAATCGTTGGAGTTGACGGCTCGTCTGATGGTTGATCAGTTGGGCTTTCTGATGGAGAAACTGTTGTTGAATCTTGAGTGATTGGTTGCTCAGATGGAGCTCCAGTAGTCGGCTTCTCTGTCGGTCCATCAGTCACAGGTCTTTCCGATGGAACTCCAGTCGATGGTCCATCAGTCACTGGCTCTTCGCTTGGCCCATTGGTGCTTGGTTCATCAGAAGGAGCTCCAGTAGATTGTTCGGTGGGAGAAGCTGTTGATGGTTCATTTGATGGTTGATGAGTGGATGGCTCTCCGGTCGGACTATCTGTTACTGGTCCATCAGTTGGGAGATCGGTTGGTGGTTTGTCGGTGGGTTGATCAGTCACCGGTGCATCTGATGGAGCAGCAGTTGATGGTTCTCCAGTTGGTCCATTTGTGGGTTCCTCAGGTTGTTCTGTGCTCGGTTCTCCAGAGGGAACATTCGTTGGTTCTGCGGTAGATGATTGGGTTGATGGTTCTCCTGGAGTGGATGGTTGATCCGTTGGAGCTCCAGTCGACGGCTGAGATGACGGCGTTGCAGCGGATGGTTCATTGCTGGGTACACCAGTCGATGGTTGATCACTTGGTGCTTGTGTTGGAGCATCAGTGGGCTGTTCAGTGGGTGAATCAGTTGGGGCATTTGTCGATGGTTGACCAGTTGGAGCGTCAGTGACAGGCTCATGTGATGGATCGGAAGTAGATGGCTCTCCAGTGATTGGTTCATCAGTTGGGGCATTTGTGGGTTGTTCAGTTTGAGATTCGGTAGTTGGCTGATCAGTAGGTTCACCAGTTGGGGCGGCAGTTGATGGTTCTCCAGTTGGTTGTTCGGTGGGAGCTTCAGTTACCGGCTCATCTGTTGGTGAATGAGTGAGCGGTTCATCTGATGGTTCTCCAGATGGAAGATTGGTTGGTTGTTGAGTTGTTGACGGTCCATCAGTTGGTTGTTCAGTTGAAGAAGCCGTTGTCACCGGATTCATTGTTGTTGTTGTTGGCGCCGAAGTTGTCGTCGTTCTTGGCACACAAACGGCATTGTTCCGGGCAACGGAAACAATCTAAAATCTACTGATTACTTCAAAGAATTTAAGTGTTCAATTCCGAACTCAAATGCAATCATTTGAACTCACCGTCCTTACGGGAATTGTTTGAGAGAACAGAATGTAGTCAATCGTTTTCTGTTTTTGTGTCGATGTCTGATCGGGATCCGATTCTGCTTTTTGGATCAAAAGCAGTGCTTCGTGAGCCTAAATATCAAAACTATCAATCAAAATCAAATCGAAAAATACTTCAAAATATCAAAGTTTTAATCTCTTTCCAAACCTTTTCAACGATATTTTCCTGTCCATCGAATTCCTCCAGAATTTTCTCCTCAACAGCTTTCAAATAATCGTCGAGAGCAGTCTGGAATGGAGGTTTCACTTAAATGATCTCTTTTAGAAGATCTAATCGTTAGTTCTTCATCGATTTTCAACGGAATTTCCTTCGAAATTCTTACCAGAATGTTCTCTCCAAAGGGTTTAGCCCAATCCCTCATTTGTTCTTCTTTTTGTCGATCAGTCAATCGGTTATTTGATTGAATTTTCAGAAAAGAAAGCCTTGCAAAGAGGGGGACATTGTTGAGAAAAGTTGGGTTCGGAAGAGAACAGGAATTGTTGGGGAATGGAGAGATCGCCGGGGATTCGGACTGAAAATCGGATTTTGATTGAAGAATTTTGGATATTTGGATAGGGATAGCTTAGCCATTGAATTTTAGAAAAGACAAACCTCAACGAAACCCCCAATCACCAAAATCCCAATGAAAGTCGAGATCGAAGCACTCCTCATCGTTCAGAGAATATTCAAAGAGACCAATAGGATTACTGTAGAAAGAACTGTTGAATAGAAGGAGTACTGTAGTTGAGGTGTGAAGCTGTTATCTGTTCCTTTCCATTTCCATTGAATTCCTTTAAATACTATTCTCTCGAGTTATCTCATGATCGGTAATAGCCAATGAAACAAATTTGACGCAATCCCAGGCCACACATTTCCTTTTTTCCCTTTTAAAGCCATTTCGCCCTCCCCCACAAATTTTTCCTTATCTCCAGCCTTTTCTTTTCTTTTTGATGGCTAAATGGAGGAAATTTTATATTGTTTTTTTGGGAGTTGTCCATTCCGAAGATGACCTCAACAAAGGCATTGCACATTTAACTAAACGGCGATCGGCAATGGCGACCGGCAATTTCAACAATGTTAACCCACAGCTATTGGTCCCTTTAGAAGAAATAGTCCAACTATAATTAGACCTACTGATTGTGAGAGGTACCTTTGCTCTTTCGGATATCAACGTAATGTGCTATCGTACTCGAGTTTCAGCTCTGTTCCAGCCTTCACTCAAAACGGGGGGACCAATTTTAAGGCAACTCAGAGCACACTGCTTTTACGGTTTTATAGCAGGATTATAGCCGATTTTAAGGCAAAAATTCATCCCAGGAGTTTGGGCATTGAGCTAAACAGCTGAACAGCTCAATGTGCTAAGTGGATGCTCGGTCAATTTTTTTACCAGCCTTAGCCAAAGAAATGTTGATCAAAAATGAGCTCATTTCCTCGAAAAAAGACTCCTTTTATGATAGCAAGGTAGTTTATAGATTTGTAGTTTTTAAATATATTATTTTGAAAATTATTTATTTGCCCCGGCGGAAATGCATTACTCAAAAAAAAAGGTCTTAAACAAAAAAGGGGCCCCGGTGGCCCTACACACAAAAAAATAGCGGACCTAGTACAAGTGAAAACGAGAGGGGGGCGAGGCCTAAAAATCCTCTTTCTGTTCTCAGTGATGGAGCTGCTTGGTGTTAGGTTGAGACTGGCTGGTGTCAGGTTGAGCCTTGCTGGTGTCAGGTTGAGCCTGGCTGGTGTCAGGTTAAGCCTTGCTGGTGTCAGGTTGATCCTGGCTGGTGTCAGGTTAAGCCTTGCTGGTGTCAGGTTGATCCTGGCTGGTGTCAGGTTAAGCCTTGCTGGTGTCAGGTTGATCCTGGCTGGTGTCAGGTTAAGCCTTGCTGGTGTCAGGTTGATCCTGGCTGGTGTCAGGTTGATCCTGGCTGGTGTCAGGTTAAGCCTTGCTGGTGTCAGGTTGATCCTGGCTGGTGTCAGGTTGATCCTGGCTGGTGTCAGGTTAAGCCTTGCTGGTGTCAGGTTGATCCTGGCTGGTGTCAGGTTGATCCTGGCTGGTGTCAGGTTAAGCCTTGCTGGTGTCAGGTTGATCCTGGCTGGTGTCAGGTTGATCCTGGCTGGTGTCAGGTTAAGCCTTGCTGGTGTCAGGTTGATCCTGGCTGGTGTCAGGTTGATCCTGGCTGGTGTCAGGTTAAGCCTTGCTGGTGTCAGGTTGATCCTGGCTGGTGTCAGGTTGAGCCTTGCTGGTGTCAGGTTGAGCCTTGCTGGTGTCAGGTTGAGCCTGGCTGGTGTCAGGTTGATCAGCACTCGGGAAATCCTCCTAAAAATTCATCAAATGTAAAGGGTAAACGCTAAAAAGACAAACCTTGCAGTCCTTACGCAATGATTCTTTTAATTTGCCGAATTCGTATTTGAGAAGTTCAACGATAGGCGACGGTTGGTATCCATCGGTGGGTTTGTGTCCCTTGGTTTGGCCATTATCTTAAAATAGAAATTCTTTACAGATACGGAAGTGCTTTCTACAAAATAAAGCCACAACCTACATCTAATGTGTACACGCAAGTTGTCGTAAGCTTTGTCGACCGGGTCCTTCTTTTGGATACCTTTCCGTATTGCCCTTCTTGCAAATCTATCAGCCTGAAATTAACAAAAGCAATCAAATTAAATAGAAATTAAGCTATAAAATTATTTCGGAAATAACATTTCCTAAAGCATTACCTCTCCAAGGCGGAGATCATCATTCTTAATCCACTGAAACAAGATCTCCTTTTCAAAATAGGTTGCCAGAGTCTACAAGTTCTCATAACTAAACGTAAAATATAAAGAAATACAAATGGAAAAACAAACTCATTAAAAAAAGCTGACGGTCTTGGTCCTTGACGCTTCTTGTATTTCTTCCTCTTCTTCAAATCATTAATCACACTATCACAGTCAGTTCTTAGAACTATCGGCAAAGACCTTAATGATCAAAAGATTTTTCTACACACAAAATGGCCGAGGTTTATTGTTATTATACAAATAAATAATGCTTACTTGTGCTTTTGATCCTTCTTTTCTTTGTCGTTCTCTTCCCAAACCAAAAGACGTTGAAGAATTCCTGTTGCAGCCAAGATTTCAGCGCGATTGTTGTCGTGCTTTAGCTGAACCTTGTTGATGTATTGACTGACGTCGCGAGATCTAAATTTAAGAAAATTGCTAAAATTTTATTGGCTAATTTAAACAATAGTCAATATTTTATTTTACAAGATAAACTAATATTTTCCGGAACAATCCAAAGCATTTTTTTGTTCGGTACTATAGTTATAGCATAAAAAGACATACAGCTGAAGTGGATGACAGAATCCTATGAATGCTCCAATTCCTGTGATGTTGTGATCCAAATTCACGCTTGCATCGCAATAAACGATGACGTTATTAGGAAGAAATTCCTAATAGCGTTTCCTTTGCGTTTCATTTGGGTTATAGGTCATGGCTTTTTGTTTCTCCCATCATGGAAGCCTAGAAAACAACAAAATAAATGACTATTGTTCAGCAATTTGTTAAATTCCTGAGCAAAAAAAACGTCATCTAGCATTATATGAGTTTAGAATTGTCTCAACTGACAAAACAAATAAACCTACCATAATCTCTTCTTCCATATTCCCCACTCCAGCCTTCTTGTTCCTTTCGTGGTCGCTTGAAGTACTAAAAAATATAAAATAGGTTATAGTGAGAGAGAAATAAAGGAGACTGTTGGGTGCAAAGATTTATGCATTGCATTTTATTTGTTTCGTTTAGATTTTAACTGTTTTATGTTTAAAAATTCCTATATGAAACTCAAAAAACATTCAATTTAAAACCCTTTCTATAAACTTATCAAGTTCCGCCGCTGGGACGACGATGGTTTTTTTTGAGCTGAAGCCCGTTCAAACGTTATCCAAACGTTAAACCAAAATTTCACATATAGATGATTGAGCGCCGCTTCGACAGCGCGAAGACTTCGACTTGGATTGAGCGCGGCTTCGACAGCGCGAAGACTTCGACTTGGATTGAGCGCGGCTCGACAGCGCGAAGACTTCGACTTGGATTGAGCGCGGCTTCGACAGCGCGAAGACTTCGACTTGGATTGAGCGCGGCTTCGACAGCGCGAAGACTTCGACTTGGATTGAGCGCGGCTTCGACAGCGCGAAGACTTCGACTTGGATTGAGCGCGGCTTCGACAGCGCGAAGACTTCGACAGCGCGAAGACTTCGACAGCGCGAAGACTTCGACAGCGCGAAGACTTCGACTTGGATTGAGCGCTGCTTCGACAGAGTATCGATCATTCGGATCAATTGTCAATATGTGCGCGAGAAGATCACGAGCGGCAGCCGCTAGAAATTCGATTTATAGATCAAATGTTTGCTAATATTACTAGCTCTTTATTCAAATTGTTCTCCTAAAAATTGATTACGAGAACTATCATAAATATAGCTTGGAAAAAAGGATTAAAATTTTCCAATTAGATACTTTGCAACATCGAAATTAGAAATTTCTCGTCTCTTTCCGTTTTTAAACGAGTCTAGCACAATAATTGCTATTTTTCGTCTGAAAATTCCTATCGTGAAGCTAGTTTATAGTAGTTTTTGCTCTGAATTATCAGCCTTATTCTAGTTACTTTATGTTACACATAGCTGAAGCAAGAGTTGCAAGAGTAGAAGTGTAGTGTCGCGAATTTCACGGATGAAGCCATCACAATAACCAGCTGAGCATGTTCTAGCCGACTATAACAATGGCATTGGGTTGTTTAGCACATTGAGCTGTTCGGCTGTTCAGCTCAATGTGCTAAACAGCTCATTGAAAATTGAACTGTTTAGCTCAATGTCCGATGCCCAAACTCCTGGGATGAATTTTTGCCTTAAAATCGGCTATAATCCTGCTATAAAACCGTAAAAGCAGTGTGCTCTGAGTTGCCTTAAAATTGGTCCCCCGTTTTGAGTGAAGGCTGGAACAGAGCTGAAACTCGAGTACGATAGCACATTACGTTGATATCCGAAAGAGCAAAGGTACCTCTCACAATCAGTAGGTCTAATTATAGTTGGACTATTTCTTCTAAAGGGACCAATAGCTGTGGGTTAACATTGTTGAAATTGCCGGTCGCCATTGCCGATCGCCGTTTAGTTAAATGTGCAATGCCTTTGTTGAGGTCATCTTCGGAATGGACAACTCCCAAAAAAACAATATAAAATTTCCTCCATTTAGCCATCAAAAAGAAAAGAAAAGGCTGGAGATAAGGAAAAATTTGTGGGGGAGGGGGAAATGGCTTTAAAAGGGAAAAAAGGAAATGTGTGGCCTGGGATTGCGTCAAATTTGTTTCATTGGCTATTACCGATCATGAGATAACCCGAGAGAATAGTATTTAAAGGAATCCAATGGAAATGGAAAGGAACAGATAACAGCTTCACACCTCAACTACAGTACTCCTTCTATTCAACAGTTCTTTCTACAGTAATCCTATTGGTCTCTTTGAATATTCTCTGAACGATGAGAAGTGCTTCGATCTCGACTTTCATTGGGATTTTGGTGATTGGGGGTTTCGTTGAGGTTTGTCTTTTCTAAAATTCAATGGCTAAGCTATCCCTATCCAAATATCCAAAATTCTTCAATCAAAATCCGATTTTCAGTCCGAATCCCCGGCGATCTCTCCATTCCCCAACAATTCCTGTTCTCTTCCGAACCCAACTTTTCTCAACAATGTCCCCCTCTTTGCAAGGCTTTCTTTTCTGAGAATTCAATCAAATAACCGATTGACTGATCGACAAAAAGAAGAACAAATGAGGGATTGGGCTAAACCCTTTGGAGAGAACATTCTGGTAAGAATTTCGAAGGAAATTCCATTGAAAATCGATGAAGAACTAACGATTAGATCTTCTAAAAGAGATCATTTCATTGAAACCTCCATTCCAGACTGCTCTCGACGACTATTTGAAAGAAAAATTCTGGAGAAAATTCTGGAGAAATTCGATGGACAGGAAAATATTGTTGAAAAGGTTTGGAAAGAGATTAGAACTTTGATATTTTGAAGTATTTTTGATTTGATTTTGTTTGATAGTTTTGATATTTAGGCTCACGAAGCACTGCTTTTGATCCAAAAAGCAGAATCGGATCCCGATCAGACATCGACACAAAAACAGAAAACGATTGACTACATTCTGTTCTCTCAAACAATTCCCGTAAGGACGGTGAGTTCAAATGATTGCATTTGAGTTCGGAATTGAACACTTAAATTCTTTGAAGTAATCAGTAGATTTTAGATTGTTTCCGTTGCCCGGAACAATGCCGTTTGTGTGCCAAGAACGACGACAACTTCGGCGCCAACAACAGCAGCAACCACAACAATGAATCCGGTGACAACTGCTTCTCCAACTGATCAACCAACTGATGAACCGTCAACACAAGAAACAACTCAACAACCAACCAATCTTCCATCTGGAGAACCATCAACTGCCGCCCCAACTGATGGAGCCACGGATCAGCCAACCACCGAATCTCAAACTGAACAACCCACAAATGCCCCAACTGATGAACCAACCACTGGAGAGCCATCTACTTCCGATCCATCACATGAGCCTGTCACTGACGCTCCAACTGGTCAACCATCGACAAATGCCCCAACTGATTCACCCACTGAACAGCCCACTGATGCTCCAACACAAGCACCAAGTGATCAACCATCGACTGGTGTACCCAGCAATGAACCATCCACTGCAACGCCGTCATCTCAGCCCTCGACTGGAGCTCCAACGGACCAACCATCCACTCCAGGAGAACCATCAACCCAATCATCTACCGCAGAACCAACGAATGTTCCCTCTGGAGAACCGAGCACAGAACAACCTGAGGAACCCACAAATGGACCAACTGGAGAACCATCAACTGCTGCTCCATCAGATGCACCGGTGACTGATCAACCCACCGACAAACCACCAACCGATCTCCCAACTGATGGACCAGTAACAGATAGTCCGACCGGAGAGCCATCCACTCATCAACCATCAAATGAACCATCAACAGCTTCTCCCACCGAACAATCTACTGGAGCTCCTTCTGATGAACCAAGCACCAATGGGCCAAGCGAAGAGCCAGTGACTGATGGACCATCGACTGGAGTTCCATCGGAAAGACCTGTGACTGATGGACCGACAGAGAAGCCGACTACTGGAGCTCCATCTGAGCAACCAATCACTCAAGATTCAACAACAGTTTCTCCATCAGAAACCCCAACTGATCAACCATCAGACGAGCCTTCAACTGAACGGACCCAACAACCAACAGAAGAATCGACAAGTGAGGCTCCCACTCAACCACCAACAAATCGAACGCATACGGATGGGCCGTCAACTGGAGTGCCGAGTGAGGCAACAACGGTTATTGTAACTGATGGGAAGACTACTGTAGTCACTGAGAATCCCACTAAAGTGCCGCTCGATGGATCGACTACCGTAATCCCCACAAATCTACCCGAAGATCCCTCAACTACAGTGCTCCCTTCTGAATCTCCATCAAGAGATCCCTCAACTCCTTTTCCTCCTCAAAATCCAACCGACAAACCAATTCCAACTGAAGATTCAACAACGAAAATTCCCTCAACAACTCAGAAACCAAAAACGACAAAAAGACATCACCATCATCACACAAAAAAGACAACAACGACAACTCGAAAACCAACAAAACCGACAACAACAACGAGAGCTCGTCGCTTGGCTACAACAACGAAAAGGAGAAGAAATGGGAATGGACAAGGTGATGAAAATGAAGAATAAATGGAGAATGAGATTCGGGAATTGATCTATTTGAGTATTTGAATGATTTCTGTGTTTTTGCCTTAGTTTCAAGAATTTGAATGAAAGGTGTAAATAAAGGATTCATTGTTTTTGGTGAGACTTTATTGGAAAGTGAAATTACAAAAGATATGGTTCAGGAAAGTGTCAAAGAATTTAGAGTTAAGCTAGTGTCTAAGTGTCTTCTTAACGAAAAGCTTTTCGATTGTGTAAACGATGTCAACGAAGGGTTTTCTTCTGTCTTTGAAGCTGAGCCTTCTTTTGAAGCTTCTGGAAGATGAGCCTTCTTTGTCTTTAAAGCTTCTAGAAGCTTTAAAGACAAAGCTGAGCCTTCTTTGTCTTTAAAGCTTATTAGTTCATAGGCACTTCACCAGAATTGCTCTTTATCAAATGAATTTTGACAAATTCTCCTCCTTTAGTTATTCTGCTAGATTGGAATTCTTTAAAATTGTTCTTGAGCAACTCTTTGGTCTAGAAACGTTACACAAACGCCGTCTTATCATCGATTTAATGGAATGCAATTCAAATTGTTAAAGGCAATCATCCCGATCTCCTTTTTTCTGAACTCTTTGAATTCGGCTCTCTACGGGGCCTCTATGGGGGCCCCTACGGCCTCTACGTGGCCAGAAGAAGGCCTAATACGCCAACCTTTCGTTCCCTCTAAGCTCTCATAGTTTCTTTTTTAATTGAGTTAAATTGTTGAACCTTTTCCCCCTCATGTTTTTGAAATTCCAACCTTGCTTGGATTTAAAGCCGCAATTTCTGATTGACTGCTTTGTGATTCTTTCTTCAGGTATCTTTTTATCTTTTTATAATCCATTTACTCGCTCACAATGCCCGGGTACACACAGCAAACTTGGCTCAAAACACCATAGAAGAATTAGGCTGGAAACTTGTGCCTCATCCACCGTATTCGCCTGATATCGCTGGCTGGAAACTTCTGCCTCATCCACTCTATTCGCCTGATATCGCTCCCTCAGATTACCATTTGTTCCTGTCTATGCAACACTCTCTTGCAAATCTAAAGTTTAACAATCCTGAAGAAGTCGAAATTTGGGTGCAAGACTACTTTGCATCGCCGGACCCCGAATTTTTCGAATCAGACATCCGAAGTCTACGCAAAAAATGTAAGAACACAGTTGATAATAATGACAAATATCTTTTGGAATAAAGTTGTTTTCTTATTGATTTTTGGGTTGTTCAAATGTTGGTTATAATCCGCAATTTCTTTTGCAAGTACCTAATATTTAATCAAAAAAAATCTCTCATTTCCAAGAAAAAGAACTACGATTTTTCTGGATAAACTCTCAAAATATCTTTTAATTTGCACTAGATGATCACAAAAATATTTTTCACTTTTAAAAGTTTCCATTTTACGTAATCTAAGTTGAGAACAATAAGAAGAATTGAAATTTTTTTGTAAAAAAATGAAAGGAATAAAGAAAGGAATAAAGAAAGGAATAAAGAAATAAAGAAAAGAAACAAAGAAATCAAATCTCTGGACAATAGATGGATTAAAAGTAAAATGGTATAAATTTACTCCAAAAATTTACTCCAAAAAATTTTCCTACAATTCTTTCAAGTAAGAGATTAAAGAAAATTCGAAAGCAATTCTAAATTGAATATTTTAAAACGATTTCTTTACAGATTTCTTTACAGATTTCTTTACAAATGTCCTCTAAAATCTTTTAGAAACATGCTTTTTCATGAGACAAGTGTCTATGGACTCTTGAAATATGGTGGATCGCAGAATATGGAGATCTACAATTGCAGGTTGTTTTTAGGGGATTCGAATCTCCAGATCAGATTTATCCATAAGCAGATCTATCCATTTTTTGAGATCCAAATTCTAAAATGAACTCTCAGTGCCACTGGGAAAAGTTTGGATGAATGGTATGCGACTGGACGCTCACAACCGATCCTTGGCTTCACTCTACTCACTTATGGGAGTCTCATTGAGGTGCTTTTTCACTCACTAAACCCTTTTCACCTTTCAATTTGTGATTTCAAGTTACTCTATGTTCCGTCACTTTATGTAATCTCTGGCCCCAGCTACATCAAAATGCCGTGCTATAAGGTGAGAGCTAAAGAGAAGGAGCTGTAGCTGGCTTAGCTGATAAAGCTTAGAGTTAGCTGACAAAGCTTAGGCTTAGCTGACAAAGCTTAGGCTTAGCTGACAAAGCTTAGGCTTAGCTGCCAAAAAGACTCACTTTTTGTCAGCTAAGCCTAAGCCCAGCACTCTAACCTAGGCAAAGCTTGAACCCGACTAGTCCGCCCTGGACCAGCTCTGGATCGGCTCCGACCTTAACTCAGTCCAGATTCGGGCTTGGCTCTAGATCTGAATCTAGTCTAGCTGACAATACTGAGCCTAAGCTCAAGCTCTGAGGCCTGGCGGCTTTACTCTAGCTTACCAGATCAAGATCTACCAGCTTACCAGATCAAGATCTAGCAAGCTTTCCGCAACTGATAGTGCACAAGACTTGCCTCTAGCTGATCTAGGCTACGTTTCTTTATAAGAAAAGTTGAGTCAACTTTTCAGACAACTTTTCAGATCATGTGCCTCCTCGGGATTCTTGACATGTTCGCTATTGTGACAAACTCGCTGTTGACCGGTTATCTTCTAATAAAAGGCGCTGTTTTCTGCACGAATCCTGATTTGATCTTTTACTTTGGAGCAGCTGGAGTTGGTTGGTGAGGATAGAAACCGGAAACTTTATTGCTTTCAGGTTTCTGGTGTGCTGCTTGTATGTGTTGTTTGCTTCTCGTCATTAATCGTCTTTTCGAGATTTGGAAGCCGCACATGGCTGAGAGAATTTTTAAAGGTAAAGGACAGGAATTAGAGTAAACCCTAGGTCTACAAGATCTACAGTAGCCCTACAGCAAGCTACAATAAGCTACAGTAAGCTACAGCAATCTATAGTAAGCTACGGTAAGCTACAGTAGCCTACAGTGAGCTACAATAATCCTACAGTAACCTACAGTAAGCTACAGTGAACGACTATAGCCCTGAAGAAGCCACAGTAGCTCACAATTGTCTACACCCTACTATTCCTATCGTAACCTACGATAACCATAAGTAACTTACAGTAACTCGAAACTAAAGTACTTTAAAGCTATATACTGTAGCCAATGTAGCTCATCCCGCTATTCCAGGCTGGAAATTCATCATCATCCTCACTCTTCCCATCCTCTACGGAGCATATTTCTTCTTTTACACCCCACCTGTCCTTTTCACGTCTATTCATGACTCTTGGTTCTTCGATCCGTTCATTTTCGAGAACCGAACAGCTGAGGTGAGTAGATTTTTTAATGTAAATGATTTTCCAACACTTTTCCCAAATAATCAAGAATTTTGCAAAAACATCTGCACGAAGTGGGATTCGAACCCACGCATCCGAAGATACCAGAAGACCCGAACCCGCGTTGCCTGCGGGAAGCTGCTCGCTTGAGTCTGGCGCCTTAGACCACTCGGCCATCCGTGCTGTATCGAGGGGTCCGAGGAAAGGCAATATGTTTCGATCGCCAGAGAAAGGCAACTAAATTTCCATTTAGGAAAATGAACCATTAGTCTTTAAACACTTAAATAGAGTTTTATTCAAAAGCTGATTTGAAATAGGTCACGGATTTATCGAAATATTGAAATGGGTCACGGATCCACGAACTACCCTAGCTTCTTTTGCCTCAGATTTTCGAATCCGATCAAGAAATTCTTAGGCTCTTAGATAAAAATTGAAAAAAATAGAGTCAAGTATTGAATCTTTTCAGTACATGAATCCACCACATACGATAAACAATCTTCTCCTTTGTGCAATCACTTGTCTTCTCTATACAGCACTTTGTGGAGTACTTGCTCATCAATTTGGACAGGGTGGAGCTGAGAATAAAATGTCGTGGGGACAGAGATCGGTAAGTTTTCAAAAATTTCATCTTTTCTTTGTATTGCCAAGAGAAAAGAAATGAATTGAAAGAATTGAAATTAAATTTGAAAGTACTGGAGCTATGCTTTGAAAATACTGGAGCTATGCTTTGAGGGAAATTGGTACAGGTCACTCACTCTGAAATTGGTCAGGTCATTGTAATTCTTCAATCTCTTGAATCTGAATCTGAATCTTGTCACTTTTTATGTATGGGTTCGAATCTCAGTACAGACGTTTTTGCAAAGAGTGACTAGGTTTTTAGTTTTAGTTTTAGTTTTAGTTTACTTTGAGCTGAACAATTCAAACAAACTAGGGTACTTCTAGATTTGTTTCTGACTAAAAAACAGTACTTTCTGAGCACTTAGCTTTAATCTTTAATCTTTAATCTTTAAGCTTTAATTCTATTTTAGTGTACTTTGGGCTGAACAATTCAAACGCACATTTTCTAGAGTACTTCTAGATTTCTATCTGACTAAAAAAAACAGTAATAATACCGGCTGATCACTTACATGTTTGATCTCTAAAAGTGTTTTTATCCAAAAAGATATCCAATGTCTCATTGGAGCACATGGTCTAAATCTGATAATCCAATATCTTTTGAATGATGTAGAATATAGAATATTCCTATCTTCTTATGGGAAACTCTTTTTGTAGTCTAGAAAAAATGTAAGATGATTGGATTTATGGAAGTAAAGAAATAAAGATTCAATCAAATTGAGATAACACGAGATTGTTCAATTGGAATTGGATAATCTACTTGATTTCTGAAGGAAAATTGGAAATCAAAGAGACTAAATGTTTGGAGAAATTGTAACCCTTGACACTATAGTCTAAACCAGAATGAAAAGATTGATTTATCTGTGTAAGTCTCACCAAAGTAGACTCGTTAATGACAAGAAGTACTCAAGTTCCTTGTAAACTCATAAAATATTCAATCAAAAAACAACATTTTTTACATTTCATAAATCCCATGCCCAAATTAGACTGGGAAAAGCGTTTACATCGTTTAAAAGTACAGGAATTTCCTCAAAATTTACATTCAATCTAAATTCGATGGTTTTCTAATTCTTCAAGTAGACAAAAAGCTTCTTTTTTTGAGGCTTAAATACGCAAAAATCTTGATTAAAATGATCTATTCGGGAGGGGGGAAAGGAGACCTTTTTTGTATTAAAACTTTAGATATTTATCCAATCGACCGCCATCTGCATTGCGAATCTTGTTGCTGCACTTATCTATGTTTTCATGCAGGTAGAACTATTTGAGATCTATGAAAAACAATTGGAAAGCTATGGAAAGCTTAAAGAGACTCAAAATTAAGCTATAACTAAGTTCTTGTTCTTGTTCTTGTTCTTGTTCTTGTTCTTGTTCTTGTTCTTGTTCTTGTCCTTGTTCTTGTCCTTGTCCCTGTCCCTGTCCTTGTCCTTGTTCTTTTTCTTGTTCTTGTTCTTGTCCTTGTTCTTGTCCTTGTCCCTGTCCCTGTCCTTGTCCTTGTTCTTTTTCTTGTTCTTGTTCTTGTCCTTGTTCTTGTCCTTGTCCCTGTCCCTGTCCTTGTCCTTGTTCTTTTTCTTGTTCATGAAAGCTCTTGTATTTGTGCAAGATTATGGATATTATCTTAATTGGGGGAAACTAAGCGATTCACTTTAAAGCTTATTGTTTTATCTTTATTTTTTGATAGGTTTAGCTTTCTGGCTTGCTGTTGCCTAAATGGCTTCCTGTGGCCTAAATAAAGTTCAGTTTTAAGTCAACTTTTAAGTGTTGAATGGCAACGAGAGCCTGATATTGTGGGGATAGCACCGACTTTTTTTGTGTCTTTTTCTTGCTTAATTTAAACGATTTTAGACAATTTTAGACGATTTTAGACGATTTTAGACGATTTTCGACAATTTTAGACCGTTTTAGACAAGTTTTAGATAAGTTTTATACAATTTTAGACAATTTTAGACGTTTTGGACCATTTTAAACAAAAAAAAGGAATGAAAGATCAAAGCTCTAAACAGTTGTCCACAGCGATCTCCTCCATCACTACCAATATCTTTTTCATTTCCAGTTCTTCCCCACTCCAGCTTTCTGCATTCTCCTCGGGCATTTCTGCTGGGAGCTTTGCCATGGTGAGTCTCTTTTTTTTTGTCTGTTTGCATCACTTTACAGTAATCCTACAATAAACTACAATAAACTGCAGCTGCTACACTCAGCTACAGTACACCTATGAGATTCCCATTTTCAGGTTTCCCTGCTCTTGTCTATGTGACAATCAATCGATCGGTTCGCCGAGATATTTTCCGTTTGATCGGCTTAGGTCATTTGGCTAAAGGTGGCAGTCGGAATACGGTCGATTACAAGAGTGATAACAAAAAATCCACAAATCAAGCACATTCCAATGAGGCTTTCAGTGCTGATCATGCTATTTGAGAACATTTTCTCCTATTTCTCCTAACCTATTGTGAATTCTTTCCCTTTTTTCTCCTTTTATATCTCTTTTAATGAATATCTTGTGAAACAAGTCTTTGTAATTCTCTTTAAAGGCAATTCTCTCTTGAAATCTTTAGTTATTGTGAATCTGTGAATAAAAAGTGTTTCTATTGTTGAACACCACCAAATCCAGCAACTCTAACAGCTAAACTAGAGTTTGCAAAAATCTCTGAACGAAGTGGGATTCGAACCCACGCATCCGAAGATACCAGAAGACCCGAACCCGCGTTGCCTGCGGGAAGCTGCTCGCTTGAGTCTGGCGCCTTAGACCACTCGGCCATCCGTGCTGTGTGGAAGGGTCTGAGGAAAGGCAGCTAAATTGGGGTCCGAGGAAAGGCAGCTGTTCCGATGGCTAAGGAAAGGCAGCTAAATTTCCATTTAGGACAATGAACCATACTTTTACTTAAATAGAGTTTTATTCAAAGCTGAGTAACGAATCCAACTGGATTAGCTACCTAATTTGGCATTGTTGTGTAGCATTCGTTGAATTTGATTGTCTTTGTGGTACAAATTACATTTGAATCCTTTAGTATTGGCTATTATGCAAGCGATGTTTATAATGAACAATTATTACAGCTTTAAAACACTTAAGTATTCATAAAACAGTAGTAAAACAGTTTTTGTTTCAGAAAAAAAAAGCGGTCTTTTGATGGTCGGCGGTTAAATTTGCTGTTCTATTCTATTTGCATTAACTTTATCGACAAAGTCCTGCTCTAAGCATTGTAATGTTTAATTTACATTTAACAGAACAATGTTTAGTTTTAGAACGATTGGCTTGGAAGTCGAGATATAAAGCAAAGTGCAATCACACATCATATTTGTTCAGTCTCTATACAATGACGTCGAATTGCCCTTTGCTCTTTAACTAGCTTTTTCTTAAGCAAATAAGCCAAACAAATTGTTGATTTATCTAACAAAATTATATGAGGATTCTTTTAAAACCAATCGTAAGTTGATCCGATGCCTGTACGTCGAGATATAAGCAGTCAAAGTTGACCAGTTTCTGCAGGTTTTCCCAAAGAAAAAACCAGAGAAACCGGTCAACTTCTCGGTGTTCTTGTACTGTTTAAATCCTTAAATTATTGTTTATTCAAAGCTTTCTCTGATCGAGTAACTAATTCTGGATTTGTCACCGAGTTTGGGATTGTTTGTGTAGGTTTCGTTGAAATGAAATGTTTTTGGTACAAATTATGTTTGAATCCTCTTTATTCCCATCTATTTTTTCTTTATCGTCTGCTTCCATCCTCGAAGAACACTCCTCCATCCAAAGCACAATATTTTGGACAAACTCCTTTCTCTCCTTGATGACCAGGCTTTCCATCAGAGCCAGGTTTGCCCGCATTACCGTCGTTTCCTGGTTCTCCCGCGTTTCCTGGAGCTCCAGGTGGGCCTCGACTACCGGGTCCTAAAAAGTCATATAAATCATTGCTTTGTAGTATCCTAGCTTCCAGACACATCCTTGGTTCTCCAAACTCCAACTTGTCCAGCTAAAGATCTATTACTAGGAATTCCTTTTACCTCCAGCTTTTCCAGGTGGCCCAGAAGGTCCTTCAGGTCCAGCTCCTCCATCAGGCCCTGGCTCTCCTGGTGGTCCAGGCGTCGGTCTGCTACTTGGAGCATTGTCTCCCGGTGTTCCAAGAGGTCCAGGTCTTCCACACGGTCCAGCTCGTCCCGGTTTTCCTTTCTTTCCATCCTCGCCAGGAGTACCTGTGAGATTAACTTTAACGATTAAGATTCTCCATCCCTACCATCAGATCCCTTTCTTCCAGGTCCTCCAGGCGGTCCTCGATTCCCAAGTGATCCGGGTGGTCCAGGTGGGCCAGGTGGGCCCTGATTGTCAGTGCAATGGCATGGTGGCTCAGTGAGTGGTTCGCAAGGCTCTGATGGTGGTCGACCAGGGTTTCCAGGGTGACCAGCAGCACCGGACTATTTATTTCTAGCTTTAAGTTTTATTCTTTCCCTACTTTTCCAGGTTTTCCCGATTTCCCGGGTGGTCCTTGGGGTCCTTGTGGCCCAGGCATGCAACAACCATCACAAGTGTTCTAAAGAGAATATAAAGGTTAGATAAAATGTAGATCTGGAATTCGTTAGTATTTTATAGTAACCCTTGGATAAGTTGAAAGAATTCGAGGCTATGGGTTACGGTAAACGTCTAGATTTACAGTACGATCAAAGCTTTATGAGTTACTGTAAGGTTTAGGGATAGGGTAGAGTTAAGGTTTAGCTTTCAAATCGACTTAAACTTACTTGATTGCTAGCTTGACGGGTTGTTCGATTGCGTGGAGCGACGATAACCAAGTTGGCGGCTTCTTTATAGATTGTAGTGGCATGTTCCTGAAGATTGAATTTAATTGGATTTTTGAAGTGAGGGTATCTTTTCTATCTTTCTAAACTCACTCGACATCTAACGAGATCTCGTTGCATTGAGTGCTTTGCTGAATGCACATAGTGATAGACCATGGGAAGAGCGATACATAAGCTGAAAAGTTCCGAAACTTTTGTCAGTACGATTAGCAACTTATAGCAATGGAACTAAGCAACGGATGACGATAAAGTAAAGCTTTAACTCGTCTTTACTTTAGTTCGCTAGATCGTGTGGGTTTTCGAAGAGATAATGCAAACCTGAGAATCGCCAGCGTCGACAATCCAACGGATAACCATCCGATTAAGCGAAACGCTCGAATCTTCGAGTCGACGTCCATTCTTGGGAAAGACTCGAGTCTTTCTCAATTTTTGTCTATATATACCAAAAATGAAATGAAAAATGGAATTTACCTTGAAAATTTTGAGAGCCGATCACAGTCGCCGTTCCAGCCTTGCCACCAAAAGTAAACCGGTTAGCCGAATGCTTAGTGGATCTCGTAAAATCCTAAATCTAAGATTAATCGCTTTCAGCTAAATATCTCTTATTTTTTTATTGTGAATAAAGAAATATATGGAAAAAACAGTTCCGGTGAGTCGAAAAAGTCTACTGTAACTTGTCTGCACTTTTTGCATAGCATTGGATTTGAGATCAAAATACAGAACAAAAACTCAGACTTTGCAAAAATATCTGCACGAAGTGGGATTCGAACCCACGCATCCGAAGATACCAGAAGACCCGAACCCGCGTTGCCTGCGGGAAGCTGCTCGCTTGAGTCTGGCGCCTTAGACCACTCGGCCATCCATGCTGTGTGACGGCCGGAGAAAAAGACCGTTAAAAGTCAACCAGTACAGAAAATCAGTCTTAGTTAAAAGGCTGTATAATCTATTCAAAAAGTACCACTTGGCTACAGTAATCAGAACACATAACTACAGGCTACAGTACGCCTACAGTATCTGGCTACTGTACGCCTACAGTATCTGGCTACAGTAAGCCTACAGTATCTGGCTACTGTACGCCTACAGTATCTGGCTACAGTACGCTTAGCTTTGTGAGGATATTAGTCTGTCTAGTATCATATCATTGCTTCGAATCTTGAAGCCAATATCTTCCAAGACTTTGATCCCAGTCTGAGTTTAGTAACTGAGCTTTTCTGAGAGGAAATGAGCTTTTCTGAGAGGAAATGAGCTTTTCTTGAGTGTCTTTTTATTATCAATTCTATAAATGATCTTTATTCTCGATTTGACAAAAGAATAATAGATTCCTTGTTCTATCGTCTGCTTCCATCCTCGAAAAAGACGCCTCCATCCAAAGCACAATACTTTGGACAAACTCCTTTCTCGCCTTGATGTCCAGGTTTTCCATCAGAGCCAGGTCTGCCCGAATTTCCATCGTTTCCAGGGTTTCCTGATTGTCCTGGTGGGCCAGGTGGTCCTTGCTTTCCACTGTCTAAAATATAACTGGTTTAAAACCATTCTATACTTCTTTCAACAAGTCTAACAAGATACCAGAATTTTCTCTTACCTCCAGGTTGTCCAGGGCTTCCAGGTGGTCCCTCAGATCCAGCTCCTCCATCGTCTCCCGGGGGTCCTGGTGGACCAGGTTCAGGTCGAGAACTTGGCGCATTTTCTCCAGGACTTCCCGGCTCTCCAGGCTGTCCACGACCACCAGCACGACCAGGGAAACCTTTTCTACCTTGACCTCCATTGTTTCCTAAAATTTTTACAGTTAGACTTTGACAGAATCCACCAACCATCAGCTCCCTTTGGTCCAGGATTTCCGGGTGGGCCTCGATTTCCAGTCATTCCAGGTCGTCCAGGTTCACCAGCGGGTCCTTGATTATCCTTGCAGTCACATGGTGGGATCTCTTGCTTGCACGGCTTCTTTGGTGGTCGGCCAGGGTTTCCAGGGTGTCCTGTAGCTCCAGCTTTTCCAGGTCGTCCTGTTTTTCCTGGTGATCCCGGTGGACCACGAGGTCCCGGGGTACAGCAAGCTTCGCATTGTGCCTAAAATCTCAACATTGAACCTAAATAACTACAGTACGCCTACAGTATCTGGCTACAGTACGCTTAGCTTTGTGAGGCTATTAGTCTATCTAGTATCATATCATTGCTTTAAATCTTGAAGCCAATATCTTCCAAGACTTTGATCCCAGTCTGAGTTTGGTATCAATACAAATCTCGTGGTTCAATCCTTACCTCAAATTCAAAACGATCCGCTTGACGGGCTGTTCTGTTTCTCGACGGAACGATCAGCTTTGGAGTACCATCGAGTACTTCGGAGGCGGTGATCTGAAATGAGAATATCTAAAGTTAATTGATATTAGACAAAACCTTGCATTGATCCAAGCTCACTCGCATCGTGTGTCGTTGATGTTGAACATAATGATAAACCATAGGCAAAGCAACGCATAAACTGTAAAAGTTCTATATTTCTGTAATCATTTTCAGGTATTCAGTGCAAGAATCTAGCTGATTTGAAGAACTTTGGTGCACCAGAATGGATGGGTTTTCAAAGCAAAAAGCACTAAGATACTGTAAAGCCTAAAATAGGAAAAAGTTAAGAAAAACTTTTGACTTAAAAAGCCTAAACATTTCTTTCTTCTTTCGATTTCCTTATCTTTCTTCTTCCTTATCTTTCTTCTTCCTTCTTGAGGAAAGAAGGCTTGTTATGCCAATGGTAGAACATCTATCTTGTAAGCAGAAGATCGAGAGTTCAATTCACTCTCCTTCCTCTCAGCAGAAAGCTCAAGCTCAAGCTCAAGCTTCAGCTCAAGCTTCAGCTCAAGCTTCAGCTCAAGCTCAAGCTCAAGCTCTAGCTCAAGCCCAAGCTCAAGCTCAAGCTCTAGCTCTAGCTCTAGCTCTAGCTCAAGCTCCAGCTCCAGCTCAAGCTCAAGCTTCAGCTCAAGCTCAAGCTCAAGCTCTAGCTCAAGCCCAAGCTCCAGCTCAAGCTCAAGCTCAAGCTCTAGCTCTAGCTCAAGCTCCAGCTCCAGCTCAAGCTTAAGCTTTCAAGCTTCCATCTGACTCTCAAAATAACTCTAGAAATATCAGAAGTGAGAAAAGTTGGAATAGTTTAAGCAAAAGAACAATCAACATCAACCATCTCGATTTCTCTAACCTCAAAATCGCCACCGTGCTCACTCCAACCGAAATCCATCCAATCAAGCGAAACGCTCGAATCCTCGAGTCGACATCCATCTCTTTAAGGTCACCTCGATTCAACAATTCCTTCACACTCTATATACTCGGGATAGGCAAGAAAAATAAAATAGACTGTCAAATCGCAGCTTGCAAACAAATTACTCGCCAAACTTTGGGTATCTCTTGAAGGTTTTTTTTTGGTTTGTCTTGGAAAAGAGGCTCCCGTTCCACCTCAACTCTCCAGCTCTCATTTCCCAAAAAATCAACCGGTTCTCTCTGTTTTCTGTCAAATTTTTGAGAAGCTATCTTTTTGAAAAGACTTTTTTTTTGTCTTTATTTTGGGTAACTAAAGTGAGACTTTTATGAATGGGATAGCTATCGCTGGATACAATCATTGACGATTGATTCCATCAGAAAATTACTAAATTACTTTCAAAACTTTGGGGTTTATTGAAAGTTTTGATTGAGAATAAGAAAGAATTTCGATTTTGAAGGAGACTAATTTGATTTTCCAATTGATTTTACGTTTAGGATAGATTTATAAAGCTTTATCCTTTGAGAACCAGCTTTACAATGCTTTAGAATCATTCGTTTTCTTGATAAAGTAAGCAAAGAGAAGAAAATAGTGGATTTAAATATAAAGAAATATACTATTTCTTTTATCCATTTCTGCATTCCATTTCAAAACTAACTTCTCAAGTTAAAGTTTTAGATATTGCAACTCTTTTCACTATTAGAATTCCTTTTTAGATTTGGATAGATATAGAATAGATAATCCAGAGTAGTTTACTATTTAAAACAAGTGGAGATCCACGTTTTCCACGCAATCGAAGTCCAATGGCTGCTCACAGACGGACGGACAGACGTCTCTTCTGCTTTATATAGAGTAGATAACACTGGTCGTGTCAAATACAAAGCTGCAAATCTAAACTGATGATCAAAAGACCGTTTTTCCCCTCCCCTCCACACAGCACGGATGGCCGAGTGGTCTAAGGCGCCAGACTCAAGCGAGCAGCTTCCCGCAGGCAACGCGGGTTCGAGTCTTCTGGTATCTTCGGATGCGTGGGTTCGAATCCCACTTCGTGCAGATATTTTTGCAAAGTTGAGGTTAACTAGAAAATCTTCGTTTGCGTTTTCTTCTGTATTTCTTTGTAAAATTTCTAAATGCTGAGTTTCTTGGGAAATCTTTGGCTCACGTACAATTGCAAAAAAAGGCTTTATTCCAGAAATCTTTGGCTCATGTGCAATCGCAAAAAAATCCAGATTAAGAGGCCAAAATTCTTGTTTTTTTCCCGTTCCGAGGTACAATTGTTGAGTAATGAAATTGCTGAAGAAAGGTGTCGATCAAAAGTCTTCGCTTTTTTTCCCCCTATAATCGAGGTCACTTTTTCAATCCATTAGTGACAAATGTTGGCTTTGTATCAGCTTCTTTTTTTGATTGGATATGCAAAAAGAAATCTCTCGAAATCTCTCGAAATCTCTCAAGCATCCAAATTTGACTACAAAAACCCGGTTTTTTCAAGCGCTTTTTTCAGCTTTTTTCTAATGGTCGTGCCAGGCACTTCACACCGAGATTTGACTCACTTTTAGCCACAAAAAAGAACTTTTTATCGCACTTTTTTTTGATGAAATTTGTATTAAGTGAAAAAATTTGACCGCAAAAATGAGTAAAGAAGAGAAAGGAGGATTTAGTGATGTTTTTTTTTTGGTGATTTTCATGTTTTTGTATTCACTGACGCTAATGGATTTGGTATTTGAGGGTTCTTGCAAAAAAAATACCAAAAAAGTATATCGAAAATCATGATAGATTGCTCAGAAAAGACTCAGCTGAGAATTCTCAGCTTGTGAAAGCTTTGAAGCTCTAAAAAGCTATGAAAAAAAAGTGATTTTTAGTTCATTGAGCTTTCAAGTTGGGGAAATGAACCAAATCGATCAGCTCAGTGCACGAGAAGACGCGTGTTTACGAAAAAGCAGAGAAAACAGAGATGCAGAAGGGACATAGTATTGGACATTTCAAGATATTCAGCCAACTAATGAAGTGCGTTCTCTGAGGCTTCACGGAAACGTTGAACAACTGGCATAACAGTATCCTCCAGTTCATTTACCCAAGCGCCTTAAAAAGCTTTAGGTTAAACTGGAAACTCTTCTTTTTTTCTTATTCTTGTTCCTGTTCCTGTTCTTGTTCTTGTTCTTGTTCTTGTTCTTGTCCTTGTTCTTATCCTTGTTCCTGTCCCTGTTCTTGTTCTTGTTCTTGTTCTTGTTCTTGTTCTTGTCCTTGTTCTTATCCTTGTTCTTTCCTTGTTCTTGTCCCTGTTCTTGTTCTTGTTCTTGTCCTTGTTCTTGTCCTTCTCCTTGTTCCTGTCCTTGTTCCTGTTCTTGCTCCTGTCCTTATCCCTGTCCTTGTCCTTGTTCCTGTTCTTGTCCTTATCCTTGTCCTGGTCCTTATCCTTTTCCCTGTTCTTTTTCCTTTTCTTTTTACTGTATCCATTAAGGATCTCAGGATCCAGACCACTTTTGAGATCAAACTGTTATTTTGAGCTTTTGTTTTTGAACAAAAACAGAAATTTTTGCAAAACTCTAATCGAAAATTCTCTAAATCAGCAAAAATATTTTCAAAAAAAACTCATCTTTTCAAAATACTAATCACGGATTGAACTCGATTCGCGTTTACGAAAAGTTTCTTGAAAAAAAAAAAGCTGTAATAATATCCCTCCCAGCTTTATTTCAAGGGGGTGGATTGTTTTTTTGTGTCTATCAGTGAGATAGAGATGAAATTGTAAGCATTTGCATTGTAAAGAAAGCTTTAAAGCTTAAAGAAGCTTAAAGAAAGCAGATCCCCGTTTTCTTTGGATGGAAAAACTTTGAGGATTCATAGCATTACCTAGAAATGCTATTATGTTTAGTTTTTGATTATTGTTTTAACAAGGAGACTTGAAGCTTTCAAATGATAGCAAATAGAGGTTGATTGGGCTGATGAATCTTGAGAAAATCGAAGAGAGAAAACTATTAGATGGGATTATTCTCTCCAGTTTCACTAAAATAATCGCCTAAGAGAGTGTGGAATTTGTAGCGTAAATAAAGGCTGATTTAAGCAAAAATAATCTCAAAAATTTGGGCATAGTGACGTTGAAAATAGTAGCCGAGAATCCGCATTTTTTTTTTTTTTTTTTTGATTGATGGTTTCTCCAAAACGAACACCTATCTATTGGAGCCTTGTGCCAGACGACCAGCGATTACTCGTCCGCACAAAGAACACCTCGCCATTCCTTTTGACTTGATTTCTCTTTTACTTTATAGATGTTATAAAAAGATATTCAGCTGTAAATTTCTACTCCAAGCTTTTTGAGATTCAATTTGGCTCTTTTTGAAACGTTTCTTTTCTATAGTTGACGTTAAAGGACACGAAAAATTTGCAAGAAATAAAGATCAAACTTCTTTCGACATTTATGGTGATTTCTTTTTTATTATTCGACTCAGAAAGCTGATAACTTTGGCAGATTTCCATTTTCTCTTATCCTAATTCAAGGATTGATCGAAAATCCCATAAAAAAAAGCCCCAGAAATCCCAAAAATTACCCACAAGTCGGGGAAATTCTTCCGGGAATGACTGTTGTTGCTCTTCTTTCATATTATTCTATAAATTTCCGGAACTTACTTTCAAATAATCTTCGTAAATCGAAGATCTAAGAACTGAAATCACTTGGATTACAAGAGAAAACATGAATGAGTAATGGATAGACAGGCAAATAGTTAAAAATCAGCGCTCTGGCCATTGCTCTGGCTATTGCTCTATAGCGCTCTGGCGCTCTGGCTCGAATGGCTAGTCCAGCTCAGGTCTAGATTTGACTTTTGAATTGTTTTGAGTAGTAGTTTAAAAATAAGATAAAGATTGAACCGATTTAAAGAGATTTTGCTAATGAAAGCCAAAAAAATGCAAATTTAGGTGTCTATGATCATCAAAAGACCGTTTTTCCCCTCCCCTCCACACAGCACGGATGGCCGAGTGGTCTAAGGCGCCAGACTCAAGCGAGCAGCTTCCCGTAGGTATCGCGGGTTCGGGTCTTCTGGTATCTTCGGATGCGTGGGTTCGAATCCCACTTCGTGCAGACTTTTTGCGTAGCGACTTGGGTCATATTTTAGTGTACTTTGGGCTGAACAATTCAAACGCACATTTTCTAGAGTACTTCTAGATTTGTTTCTGACTAAAAAAAACAGTAATAATACCGGCTGATCACTTACATGTTTGATCTCTAAAAGTGTTTTTATCCAAAAAGATATCCAATGTCTCATTGGAGCACATGGTCTAAATCTTATAATCCAATATCTTTTGAATGATGTAGAATATAGAATATTCCTATCTTCTTATGGGAAACTCTTTTTGTAGTCTAGAAAAAATGTAAGATGATTGGATTTATGGAAATAAAGAAATAAAGATTCGATGAAATTGAGATGACACGAGATTGTTCAATTGGAAATAATCTACAAATCATTGTGAAGGAAAATTGGAAATCAAAGAGACTAAATGTTTGGGGAAATTGTAACCCTTGACACTGTAGTACAACTGTAACCATACTGTAGCCTAGACTAGACTACTACCTAATAAACTAGACTACAGCCTAATAAACTAGACTACATTCAATCTAGCTTATGCTAGAGCCTAAACTAGATTGAAAAGATTGAAAATATGAAACCCTCTGAGAAACTCATCGAAGTCGACTTCTTAATGAAAAGAATAAGTTTTGTTGTTGATCATCTTTGTTTTGTCAAACGAAGCTTGAGATAAATGAACCTTAACTATGCCAAGGGACGCGCGTTTCGGTAAAAGTTTAAATTCCGCTTTATTACTGTAGCCTGAATCACTCTTGAGCTCAGCAATTCAAACACACGAGGGCACTTCAAGATTTCTTTCTGACACAAAAACACTTATAGAATTTATAGATTAATAAATGAAAAGTAGCTCAATTCTATTGAATATCATAAGAAAATTCAACAATTTTAATTTTTTTTTTTGATTTGATCATCTTTTTCGTGTTTTTCTGCATAAATGAGACTCTAATGAAGCTTTTATTTGCAAACAGTAACTCAATAACTAACAATCAAGCGATAAGCGTTCGAGAAAATCGTCTTTTAAATATTTGACGGTGAAATTGAGAGTGGAAATGAGCGGCGATTCCACCAAAAGCAATCCAACTCCACAATTCACTTTCACGTCTTTTGAATGCGTTTCTGAAATTTGTAAATGTTGAGAAGTCTTTAAATCTTTCAATTTGTCAGAGCTTTTGAAAATTGACAGGAAATTGAACAATTGAACCGGCAGACGTTTAAAAGGTGATCGTTTAGGATAGCCTTAGAAAGGCTCAGGCTTAGGCTTAGGCTCAGGCTTAGGCTCACGCTTAGGCTCTAGGCTCAGGCTTAGGCTCAGGCTTAGGCTCAGGCTTAGGCTCACGCTTAGGCTCAGGCTTAGGCTCAGGCTTAGGCTCAGGCTTAGGCTCAGGCTTATGCTCAGGGTAAGGCTCAGGCTCCTGAGCCTAAGCCTAGAAAGCACAGAGCGTTCTTTGGCTCAAACGGAAACGCAAACCATTTGTCGCACAGATTTTGCCTTTTTTCTTTGGGAGATTTTGATTTGAGATTCTGAATTTATACTCGATTTATTAAAAAGTATTTGATCGAATCTCCATGCTCGATTTCGTCGAGTTTAGAGAAAGGTCGAGAAAGGAAAGCGCACGAAAACGCAAACCATTTGGCGCACGGCTTTGCCTTTTCGTTTCCTGATCGTGCTTCTTTACTAGTAAGGTAAAACAAGTCAAAAAATTCTCATTTTCAATCTTTCAATCATTTTCATCTAATCTAAACCTTATAATTGTTGAGTTATTTGAAACTTTCTTTAAAATATACAAAGATCGATTTCAAGCTTTCATTTTTATTTTCCTACTTTCAAAAATCCTTAATCCTAATCAGGATTTTGTGATTTTTATTGAGAATTCAATTTCTCATCGTCTAGATTCTAGAAATTAAATAAAGAAAAGAAATTGTAAAAAGAAGCCTTCTTTCTCAACGATTTTTGAGCACTTTGCGTAATTAAACCGAGCAGCAAAAGGCAGAAAGCCGTGCGCCAAATGGCTTGCGTTTCTGTGAGCTTTCCTTTCGATCCTTCTCGATCAAATACTTTTTAATAAATCGAGTATGGAGATTCAGAATCTCAAATCAAAATCTCTCAAAGAAGAAAGGCAAAGAGCCGTGCGACAAATGGTTTGCGCTTCTGTTTTCACCCAAAATCAAAATCTCTCAATGAAAGAGCGTTTGAAAGATTTGAATTAAGATTTTGAAGTAAATAAAGAAAAGAAAAATAAGGGATACTGTAAAGTTTTGTCTTTTTTCAATCATTTGAGTAATTAAACCAGACAGCTATAGACAAAGAACTGTGCGTCAAATAGTTTGCGTTTCTGTCTTCACCCAAAGAACGCTCGGTGCATAAACGAGAGCACTTTTCTACGTAAAGCACGTGTGGCTGACTGGTTAAGTGTCTTTTATCTTAATCGGAAGGTCGAGGGTTCGAACCCCACATGCGACATGGTCACCCCCTTCGGATTTCCTTTCCCTTCGGGTTGAGAGGTTTTCTGGAGGGCAGTCTGGTGGTTGTGGCCCCAGTTCTTTAAAGTGACAAGCCACTCCTTCATCGTCATCTTCCCTTCACCACCAAAAAAGCTATTTAGTTCCCCATTGAGCTTAGGGTTAGGGAGCCGTCTGTCATGACGTGGGTTAAGTTAAGATATAGCCTAGTATTGTGTGTGTCGTTGTATTGTGATTGATATATTTCGTGTATGCGATAAATTCACCACTGGTAGCCCCAGTCGGTATTTTTAAACGAGCACTTTCTGACGTACTGAGCTGAGAGACGTCTGTTCAATTGCGCAATTTGAAGTCAAATTTGAAAAGCTTTAAACCATTCAATTGCAAGTTCACATAAGAAATTAGCTTCTTGCTCATCCTGGAAGTCACTAGGGCTACTGTAGCTTTTTGGGTACGCTATAGCAACAATTAGTGGAAAGGGGTACGGTAGCTTTTGTCACCGTCTAGCATCTAGATTCCTCTAAGTGTATGCTCAAAAATCAGACTCATTTCTCATTTTCCTTTTCAGTACGTCTCGTGGCCACTCGCATTGAGTTTGCTATAGATTAGGATAGATTCTCTAGGTTATTTTAGGAATCTTAATAGATTAATAGAGTAATAGATCTTTATAGATTAGGAAAGCTTAAAGATCAAAAAGATTCTATGAATTAAATTCTGTACGGTTAGCTGTACATTTCAAACCAATAGGATTTAAGCTTAAAAGATTCAGCTATTAGATTCTACAAAGATTCTACAAACATTAGATTCTATTTCTTCTTAGTTTATTGATTCTAGATTTGTTATCAAAAAAAGGAAAAAAAAAAGATTTGTCTCACCTGGATAAAAGGAGGTCTGTTTGAGCATTTGTTTCGTGTGTGTCCCTTGCTGTAAGATGATTCGCGAGCGGTGCTGAATTTTAGATTTCAGTTTAGAAGAAGTGCTTTAGGATTTTGATTTTCGGTTTTAGAAAATGAACAGGCTACGGTAGCTCTTCTACAACTCTTCTACAGCTCTTCTACAGCTCTTCCACAGCTCTTCCACAGCTCTTCCACAGCTCTTCCACACCTCTTCTACAGCTCTTCTACAGCTCTTCTACAGCTCTTCTACACCTCTTCTACACCTCTTCTACAGCTAAGATTGCAATTGAGTTCTTTTTAACGTTGAGAGTCTTCTTTAAAAGTTGATTCTTTATTTCTTTCTTTAAGTTTATTCTTTAAAATGATATCATTTCGATGAGCTGACTAATGATTTCAATTCCGGGAAATTCTTAAAATGTATTTGATGAACTTTCAACAAGTTTCAGCCACTTTTAACTACTTTCAGCGTTTTACGGCTTCTCGTGGGGGATTGTTGATTTGTAAAAATGAACTTTTATTGTAGGATATCTTTCTAAAATTGGATTTTGTTCTTTTGTGTGCAAAGCCATAATTTTAAGGATTAAAATCATTTTCAAAATGTTATTAATTCGAAGATAATTTCGTTTTTGATAAAAAAAGATTGTGGTATTTGGCGTAGAATTGCTAATAGGGTACTGTGATCAAGGGAAAATAAACAAAAAAAGCGTCTAATAGTCCTCAAAATCCTGTGCCATCCCCAAGAAGCCTCTAATAGTAGCACCAATGACGGGGTATTGCCGCGTAGTCTATAATAGGGTACTGTGATCAAGGGAAAATAAACAAAAAAAAACCCTCTAATAGTCGTGCCATCCTCAAAAAGTCTCTAATAGTAGCACCAATGACGGGGTATTGCCGCGTAGTCTATAATAGGGTACTGTGAAGAAGGGAAAATAAAAAAAAAAACCCTCTAATAGTCGTGCCATCCTCAAAAAGTCTCTAATAGTAGCACCAATGACGGGGTATTGCCGCGTAGTCTATCTTTACGCGTCCCGTAATCCGCGCTGCTTTTACGCTACAATGTTCACTTGAATGCCCTTGAACCCTTGAAAACCCTTGAAAACTAGGACTTTTTGATGTCAAAAATCTTTGGGAAAAATAGAGGCTGAGAAAAAAGTCAGACTACGCGACTACGCGGCTGTACGGGGGCGCTAATAGACGGATTACGGTAGTAATCTATCAATTTATCTATATAATGGGTTTTTAGTTGAGAAAAATCCAGCGATTTTATCATGACTTGGGTAATTAAACCGAGGGCCGAAGTAGGTGGACGGCAATATGCCAAATGACCGTGTGCCAGACGACCAGCGTTTACGTGGGCACTCAAAGAATGCTACTCGTTCTCTATTATCATGACTTGGGTAATTAAACCGAGGACGGAAGTTGGTGGACGGCCATCTGGCAAATGGCCATGCGCCAGACGACCAGCGTTTACGTGGGCACTCAAAGAACGCGACTCGTTCTCTATTCTACTCACTACTTTTCACTCAAAAACACACAATTTCTGCTCTTTCTGCCATTTCTGAAAGTCAAATTTTCTTAGAAATCTCTAGTTGAAATCCCTGAAACCCTTTTAGAAACTAAATTTTTAACCATTCCCTCAAATTTCGATTAGAAAATCAAATCAGAAATCTTTTTTCGAAGTTTGTGCTTTCTAAAATCGAATCGGCGTAAAAATCGAATTTAAACGACGTAAAAAAAACTCACGAGTTTCCCTTTTTAAAAGATGGATTTTATTAAAGAAAATAGAATTATTCGCTCACTCACTCTTGTACTTTTCCTTCCCAGACATCGGGCAATTAAAGGCAAAACCAAATTTAGTCAACATTTCTCTTCAGATATCTTCATGTATTTTGTTGTCTTTTTGTAGAAAAAGGCAAAATTTACAATGATTTGATCGCTTCGGGGTCGAGTATTTTCGAAATTAGACCCGATTTTGTCGTTTAATTTGAGGCAAAGATTGCAAAATTTTCAAAGTTTCAAGCGAAAATTGCTTTAAAACGGTAAATTTGGATAAATGAAGCCATACCCCGCCTCAATGTGCCAGACCGTGTGCGTTTACGGGAGTGCACAAAGAACTCTTTCCGCCAACCATCTGGCACACTAGCCCAGCTCCCCGGCTCATTTATGAACCGAGCAATCTTTATTGGATAAGGCTCGTGTGCTAGATGCTCTGCGTTTACGGGAGAGCACAAAGAACTCTTTCCGCCAACTATCTGGCACATTAATCTAGCTCCTCGACTCATTTATGAACCGAGCAATATTTCTTGGATAAGGCTCGTGTGCCAGATGCTGTGCGTTTACGGGAGAGCACAAAGAACGGCTAGGCAGTACTTGTGGTCACCGAAACGCACGCCATCTGGCCCAAACCCCGGATTGCTCGGCTCATTTATGCAATAGGAATCTCTAGTCTCACCTTAACCTCCTGCTTTGTGAATGGCTCAAAATGAATGGAGACAGATCCCGGGATTTGCACCTCACACCAATCGTTACTCATTTTTTCTCCATCTCTCTTCTGATTCTTCAATGTCAATGGGAAATCGAGTTGATTGAGATGGATCCGATCACCACAGTCTGCAATTTATTTCATAGTCTTTAAATGTTAGATGTTTAGCTTCTAACTGAATATCTTGCTGAGAATTGGATTCGATTACTAGTCTCTACCGTAGTCTCTACCGTAGTCTCTACCGTAGCCTCCACCGTAGTCTCTATCGTAGCCTCCACCGTAGTCTCTACCGTAGTCTCTACCGTAGCCTCCACCGTAGTCTCTACCGTAGAATTTGAAAGCTTTAAAGCCCGGCTTTGAACGTAACTTGAAACCGTTTACTTGTTACAGTGATCCTCGTCTTACAGATTACTGTAAACTACGGTAGGGTAAATCCTGGGTTACTGTAACATCTATTTGGCTTACTGTAACGTCTACTTTAGTTACTGTAACGTCTACTTTGGCAGTACGGTAACCAAAGTTAAGAGTTCTTTTGTTTCAGATAAGCTACGGTAGCTAGAGCAAGCTTTAAAGCGCTCAAAGAAATCTCATTTTAAAACAATCTTCTTTAAAAAACAATCTCACATTGAATTTTCATTTAAAATGGTTTTGGAAATCTTATTTTTCCCTATAATCTTCTGTGTTGATAATTGGTGTCAAAGAATCTGTTCTCTGAAGCAAAGCTCTCAGCAATCAAGCTCTCAATGTGATATTTTGATCCCTAAATGTAAATTTCACGTTTTAAATGTTTTTTTAGAGAAAAAGAAAGAGAAAACTCTTTAAAGGTTGAGCCTTTTTCATTGTTTTTTTTTGGATTATTTCAATAGCTTTCAAGTACGCCTAACAATTTGATGATTTTTGAGTACAATTTGAGATGAAACTGCAAAAGTCAACGAAACAAGTACATCATTTTCTTTTTTTTACAATTCATTTTTCGATTCATTTAGAGAAAAGGGGTATTTGAAATTTGCGAAAAAAAAAAGTAAACGATTTGGCTTTGGATTTGGCTTGTTTGGGCCTGGGCTTTGGCCTTGGCTTCTGGCTTTGGCTTTGGGTTTGGGTTTGGCTTTGGCTTTGGCTTTGGCTTTAGCTTTGGCTTTGGCTTTGGCTTTGGGCTTTGGCTTTGGGTTTTGGCTTGTTGGCTTTGGGTTGGCTTGGCTTTGGCTTTGGCTGGCTTTGGCTTTGGCTTTGGCTTTGGCTTTGGCTTTGGCTTTGGCTTTGGCTTTCCTGTGTGCCACAAAGTAAATGTTTAAAAGCCGCCAGAAAGTATGCACATCACAGCTATTGTTCTGCTTTCAAAAGCGTACTCTTTAGCCCTTTAAAAACACTCGTCACTTGGCACATCGATTGCTTAGTTCACTTACTCAACTAAAGCTGAGGTTTTGGAAAAGGTAAAAGGGGATAAAGATGAAAGTGTTGTTTTTCGAAAGGTTTATGATTCACGCCTTTGCCAAGTGCTTAATATTTTCGATTTGATTCCAACTTGATTTCAATTTGATTTTAATCTGTTTCCAAGTTGATCAACTGGAACTGGAACTTCGAATTGGATCCCCCTCCTCCCTACAAAGCCGATCTTCGCTCGGTGACCGCTGGAAAGTCACATCCACACGAGATAACATCAAAATAATTACAAAAAAAGAATTCTAATCCTTTATTCCAGGGTTTTTTTGCGGCTCCCAATAAACACTATTGACATTGAAATTTGGTTTGCAAAAAAAAAGGGTTATAGATTAAAATTGAGTAGATTAGTGTGCTACCGTATTTCCCTATAAAGCCCCCCCTTGACCAACTTTGGACGCTTCGTTCTCAGCTCCATTTGGAGATATTTTTATGTTTAATATATCAAAAGATAGAAGACATTAAGGGCTATCTTTTGATATATTAAACATAAAAATACCTCAAAATGGGGCTGAGAACGAAGCGTCCAAAGTTGGTCAAGGGGGGGGGGGCGTTTATTAGAGGAAATACGGTAGCTTATGAAAAAGATCTTTAAAGATATTAAAAGCTTGAATTTTCTTTTAATTAACTTTTTAAACTATTTCATTTAGCTTTAAAGTACGATTAGTTTAATGAATTTAATGAATTTAATGAATTTAATGAAATTTGTTGTCAATGATGATGTGATTCTTTTAATAGGCAAATAAATCTTTTCAAACCTTTCAAATACCGCTTACAATTCGATTTTTAAGGTTAAAATTTGAGCGATTTTTTTTCGGTAACTTTTCCAATTCTTACAATTGCTGTACAATTACAATTGCCGCTTACAATTCAACTAAACGATATGGAAACGTTAGTGTGCCAGAAGGTGTACTTTTAGGCGAGATAAAGAACGCATAGGTCGTGATGATCTGGCGATGATCTGGTGACGATCTGGTGATGATCTGGTGATGATCTCGTGATCGTGATCACCACAAATGGAAATGGCCAACCAGACACCTTTGTGGCTTTAATATGCGTCGCTATCCGTTTCAAATTAGCTTATGTGCAAGACGTTCAACTCCATTGTGTGCAAGACGAGAGCCACGTCTTGTATAAAAGCTTTTTCTGTATAAAAGCAATGTGAACGAGATGCCGAGGTGTGAACGAGCCGCGTTCTTTATCTCCTCCGGCACTCCGAGGTGTGCCGTGGAGTCGTCTCTACTCTCCCAATCCCAAACCACTGAGCCAACTATTATTGCTGTAATGAAGATGATATCTAAAGCAACAATAATCACTACAACTTATTAGCTATCAGCTACAGCTACAGCTAAGTTTACTGAAGAACTACAGCATAAGTTTACTGAGAATGGTTAAATGATGATTTTATGAAAGGATTTTTGAAAGGTTAAGTCTAGGTTAAGTTCCTAGTCTTTCTTGTAGACAGTCCTTGAAAGGTTAACTTCCTAGTCTTCCTTGTAGACTTCCTAGTCTTCCTTGTAGAATTCCTAGTCTTTCTTGTAGACTTCCTAGTCTTTCTTGTAGACCTCCTAGTCTTTCTTGTAGACTTCCTAGTCTTCCTTGTAGACTTCCTAGTCTTCCTTGTAGACTTCCTAGTCCTCCTTGTAGACTTCCTAGTCTTTCTTGTAGACCTCCTAGTCTCAAGCTTTTCTCTTGATAATTCTACTACTTAAGTCTAATCTTTTAATGTCTTTAGCCTTTAAAAACAAATCTAGAATTCACTTAAAACAATGAAAAGTTCGTATCTAGAACTTTTAAGTTAAAAAAAATCAAAATCTAAGCTAATTTCTCAAAAAAAACAAAGCTTATACTTGAATTTTAGAAGAAAAATTTGTACTTGACGCCGAAATTGCAAAAATTCTATCGTAATTTAGCCAAAAAAAAGCAGTTGATCGGTTCCTTTTACTCCGATTAAATATCAATTTCAATTAAATCTCAATTTTCACAAAAATCATCACCAGTAAATCATTTCTTTAGCTAATTTAAATGTAAATTAAATGTAATTTCAATTAAAAAATATTCAATCTAGTTAATATTTAAAGATTTGAACCCGTTAAAAGCTTTAATTCATCAAAAAAAAAAAAAAAAAAACCCCCTCATTTCCCGTCACAAATTCGAAAACCCACATATTGAATTTATCCATTTCCGCGGATTTTCTCATGTCTACCATTAAAAGATCAAAAATAAACAGAATGATGTGGGATTTTGAGAAAATCCTATTTATTTAAATCTTATCAAATCATTGACTAAATCAAAAAAAATTTCCAAGAAATTCCGGGAAAACGTCAGTGATTTTTTTTTTCTTTACTGATGAGATTTAAAGTTCAAATGAATGTTTTTAAACATTCTAAGTACTTTTGAGTCCCAAATCAAAGTCTGAAAGGTTTCGCTCAGTTTTTGCGATAAAAAGTGCATTTTAAATGACGATGGCTTAATTTGGAAACATTTTTACGCGAACTTGGGTAATTGAACCGGGCAACTGGATGGTCAAACCAGGTAATCACTAAATGCCGTGTGCCAGACAGAAAGCGTTTACCAGACCCTACAAAGAACGCCTTTCTGTTGCCGGGGGCTTTGGAAAGCTCAGGGTAAAGCGATTTTCTGAGCACTTGGGTAATTGAACCGAGTAATTCGATAGCCAAACCAGCTAATCAATGATTCTCATGTGCCAGGCAGCTAGGGTTTACCAGTCCCTCCAAAGAACGCCTTTCTCTTGCCGGCAGTTCTAGAAAGCTGAAGGTAATTGAACCGGGCAACTGGATGGTCAAACCAGGCAATCACTCAATGCCATGTGCCAGACAGCTAGCGTTTACTAGACCCTCCAAAGAACGCCTTTCTGTTACTGGCAGTTCTAGAAAGCCATTTTCTGAGCACTTGGGTAATTGAACCGGATAACTCGATAGCCAAACCAGCTAACAACTAAATGCCATGTGCCAGACAGCTAGCGTTTACCAGTCCTTCCAAAGAACGCCTTTCCGTTGCGGGCAGTTCTAGAAAGCTCAGGGTAATGACCATTTTCTGAGCACTGGGGTAATTGAACTGGCGAATTCGATGGACAAACCAGGCAATCACTCAATGCCATGTGCCAGACAGCTAGCGTTTACTAGACCCTCCAAAGAACGTTTCTTTCAAATTCTTTCAACTATAATTCCCAAAATTGACTGACTGCTCATAGCTGACTCAGCTAGGCGAAATCAAAACACAGAAAAGTTTCAGATTCTTGACAAAAAGCCAATTCTCTTCAAATCAAGAAGTTTTTTTTTTTTTTTTTCTGTTTTTTCACTTTTTCCGAACAGCTTATAGTCTTGAAAATAAAGAAGAAATGAGATTTTCTGAAGTTTTTCTTCATTTTTGCCTCATTCCTTTCATTTCCTCTATTTGTAGCTTTCGTGGGTGGGTTTTTTTTTTGGATTTTTGGATTTTTCTAATTTCTAAGATTTCTATTTGAATTTTCATAGCTTTCCCTTATTCTATTTTCAAAAAACACATCATTTCCGGGTTTGTATTTGGGAAAAGCTCGAGATTTGTTGAGATTTCTTCAGATTTCTTGAGTAATTCAACAACAAATATCTCTTTGCTTTCTCTGGAGCCCATTTCCAGCTCAATTAAACGATTTTTCATAACAATAAGTGAAATTTCGTAAAAATAAGTCATTTTTTATAGCTTTTAGACTAAAATTTCAATTTGAAGCAGAAAATTTACAAAAGAAATTTCGCTGCTTCGTTTTTCTCAATTAAAAACGATTTTTCTTTCAATTTTCTTCAAGAACACTTCCTGTTTTATTAAAAATTCAATCAAAATTTCACTTTAACCTCAAGGGAATTCAAGAAAAAGTCAAAATTTGACGAAAATTTCTCAATGAATTCGCGTTTCTTCCAAAAAAAAAAAAAAAAAAAATGGTTAGCTCTAAGTAGTAAGGAAAGATTTAAACGATAATTCTAATTCGAATTCTAAATCGAAACGATAATTCTATAATTTCTGTCTGAAAGTACAATATCTATTTGTTCTGTAAAATCCTTGGGGAACAAGAAAAAACTGAATTTTTTTCTTTGGGGACTAAAAAAATTGTAATTTTGGCATTTGGAATCGAAAAAAAACGAAAATTACTACAAATTCATTACAAGAGTTGGATTCTTAATGTAGAAAGTGGCTGATAAATGATTAGCAAAAGATTGGTTTCAGAAAGATTTCAATTTTCCAACAAAAAAAAAAAATTTTAAAGACTTGGGTAATTAAACCGGCGCGCGCAGTAATGTGCCCTCTCAATGCGCCAGAGGGTGTGTTTACGTGAGCCTCCAGAGAACGCACAAAAGCTAGTATTCGTGGCCGATTTTTTGACATTTTTAAATGCAAATTCAATAAATATTAGATTACTTTTGTTTCTCATTCATTTTCAAAAGAAAACCCTTCAATTTTTGACCCTTTGTAGCCTTTTCTTCACCTGTTTTCTAATGAAAATTGATAGAATTAAAAAATTTTGATGAAAAATCATAAATTTTCATTAAAAAACTCATTTTTTTAATCAAATACTCTATAAAATCACCTGGAAATTGAAAATTTTCGTTTAAAAACCCAATTTTTCTATTGAGATTTGTGCTTTAAAAGAGAGAATTTCAGACAAAAAATCGTTTTTTTTCGATTTTTGCAATTATTGAGCTTAGAAATCTGATGAAATCTTGATTTTTTTTTTGCTTTTATTGTGTAAGTGGAAAGGAAAGCTCGGAAATTTTCACAAAATACCTCAAATTTTTTGATGTTTTTACAGAAAAAAAAAGATCTTTTACAGAATTAAAAGGCAAAAGGTTGTGGATAAAGAGATTTGCTTGAAGTTGATGATTGAAAGAGACTCATTCAATAATTTTCTTCAAATTTAGCTTCAAACCCTGAAAACTAAAGTAAATCTTGAAGAAAATTAAGTTTTAAAAAGTTTCACAAAAAAATGGAAAATATCTTTTTTTGGCACTTGGGTAATTGAACCGGGAGATTGATGAAAAATCTTACTTTTGTTACTCCCCAAGGTGCCAGAAGGCGCGCGTTTACAGAAAACCACAGAGAACGCACAAAAGGAAACAGATCGGTCTGCCATGAGGCGGCTCGGAGCGCCAAAAAGTGCGCGTTTACAGGGAGCCACAGAGCACGCACAAATGGAACCAGCTCGATCTGGCATAAGGCGGCTCGGAGCGCCAAAAAGTGCGCGTTTACAGGGAGCCACAGAGTACGCATCAAGGCAACCAGCACGAGCTGACATAACGCGGCTCGGTGCGCGTTTACAGGAAACCACAGAGTACGCACAAATTGGGCCGGCAGTTCGGTGTGCCAAAAGGCGCACGTTTACAGAGAACGCAGAAAACTTGCTTACGCATAGCCTTTTTTAACGATTTAGCATTAAGAAAAGATTAGTTTATGGGCATTTTTATATAATAATAAATGATATTACGTACTAATACTATGTACAAGCATTCGTTTACTCACAAAGTGTGGTGTTGATGAAAGTGAGTGAGAAGTAGAGTTGCGTGGTCGAGATCGACTTGTAGACGAGCGAGTGATGACCGGGTGCGAGATGGAAAATCGGATTTCGAATCGCGTCTTTCTCGCACAAATCGATCACCGTTTTTTCGACTTTGTTGAAGAGCTGAAAAAAAGAAATATCGTTTTCTACAAGAAGATCAATGATTAAAGCCTTTAACACTCGCCTATTCTGCTAGAAGTTCTTCAAGTTCTGAATGAATAATAAAGAAAAGAACTTCTCCTGTAGCCTGTAGCAGTTCTTTTCTTTGTCCATTGAATTCCAGTTCGTTTTCTTTTCATTTTTCATTGAATTCAATTCATTTCCCCTTTTTCTCGACCCCCTTTTGGCTCTCATTGAGGTTTAAATCAACCTCAATGAGATACATTACAACAACATTTTCTTTGAGAACTTCTTTTCTCTTGAGTCATGAATGACAAACCACACTTTTTTGAATACTACAAATCTATGATGACGATTGAAAGGCGGATACAAATTAGTGAATGAATTAACACCATTACATTTTGAGAACACAATACACGAGAATTTCTGATCAAGCTACAGAAAAAGAAAAAAACGTCACGCAACTTTATATTTGATTCAATTTAAAAGCTAACAAATAACACTTTAAAAAATGACCTTTTCTGGGTCATTTTTTAGTCTTTTCAAGTTTTTAAATAATAAAATGAAAGAAAAATTGTTAGAAATAGTTTTTTCTATGATTTTCTGATGCAAATAGACTACAGATAGTTTCAGCTTCGCTCAGCTTTGCTCAGCTTTGCTCAGCTTTGCTCAGTTTTGCTCAGCTTTGCTGAAACGCTTCAGCTTCAGCTTTTTAAACCACTACTAGCATCAGTGCACCAGAAAATGTGTGTTTAAAGAGCATGAAGTCTTCTAGTATTGCTTTCCACTCACTTTTACGCTGTTCTCTTCGCAGAACTCGTCGAGATTTACCATCGTCAATCTACCCATTCTCTCATTGGGGATTTTCATGGAAAGTGTGCAGGGTTTGAAATGATTTACTGTGAAGAATAAGCCGGCTTCTCGTGTCTTCTCGCTACAGGATCCTGAAATAACAAGTTGTAGAAAGAAGATCTGAGATAAAACTGTTTCCGAATTTTTCACATGTGAAAATAAATCTTCTAAAGTGTTCTTGAAAAACAAGAATTTAATCAAAACGATTTTTCTGGTTATTTTTGGTTAGTTGTTTTTCGACTTATGCAAAGGTTTCGACGTCAAGCGGATTCGAACCCGGGTTTGATTTCACAGGAGTTTCCAGTGCTAACCACTTGGCCATAGGCTACTGTTTCCCTAGTCGATAAAAGTTGATGATAACTTGAGCTTTATGCAAAAGTTTCGACCACCAGCTGACTCGAACCCGCGTTTGATCTGACGGGATTTTCCAGTGCTAACCATTCGGCTATAGGCGACTCTTGCCTAGCCGATAAAAGTCGGTCATAAATGGCTTCCAAGTAATTTCAAAAAAGCAAAAACTCACCTAATTCTTTAATTTTCACTTCGTATTGTTCATTCTGAAAATTTTCAAATAAAACTTTTAAATGCAAATTTCTTTCACCTGAACGTGCTTCGCCAGTGTGACACTAAGAAAAGCTGAAAAGAAGAAAAAGTGGAATCTCATGAGAAAAGATGGCACCATAACTGTACAAATATTATGTATTTTTATGGGAATTTGATTCGAAGATTGAGAGAAATGGCCAAGCAGAGTGGGAGATTTCCGCCCTATTCCCACTTTCATCTTCGACTTTCCCCCTCCAATAGCCCCGCCCATATTCTTGCTCTGACCTCCCCCTTTTTTGGATTACAGTAAAACGGATCAAGCTTTGATTTTGTTTCCTTTTTTAACGGATTATCGGATTTATAAGTTTTCACCTAACTATGCTTGGTCAGCAGGGAAAGTTTGTAGTTTTCTAAATTCTTGCTAGAGATAAGACGAAGAAGATAAGACAGAAAAGAAGAATAGATAAGACAGAAGATAAGACAGAAAAGGATATTGTACTAATATTGAAATTTCGAAAATTTGATTCTCAAAGAAATTTGAAACCTATTGAGCTAAAGTTTATTGAAATTTTCTCTAAATTTCTCTAAATTTCTTTAAATTTCTTCAAATTTCTTTTAATTTCTTTAATTTCTTTAATTAATGAAACTTTATTTTCTAGCTTCATTCAATTTTTATTTATATGAAATGATTATTCAAAAATATTGATCCGCTAAGGTTCTCTTATCAAGGAGGATTAAAAACGTCATTTCTTGCTCTTTATCGACCGCATTTCTCCTTGGAAGAGTTATTAGGTTGGTGCAGATGAAACTTCCGTCACCCTTGTTTGTTGATATTTCGGACCTAGTAAAAGTTTTTATTGAAGATATTTGTCTATCTGAAAGAGCGTCTCTTTGCGCGTCTTTTGGTATCTAAGACTTATGCGTTTTACTAAATTTGAAGTAATTTTTAGCTTCTAGAAAATGTCTGACCAAAAATTTCGAGTGCGGGTTTGCTTGTCTTATGATTTTAAACAAGGCAGAACGGCTCCGGAATCTCATCGTGCTCTGTGCGAAGCATTCGGCGATGACGTGTTGTCCGAACGTCAATACCGGACTTGGTTTCAGCGCTTCCGAGACGGTGATGAAAGTTTGGAAGACGAAAAACGCGCGAATCCGCCTCAAATTGTCGACAACGATGAGTTGAAGAGCGCTATCGAATCGGATCCATGCCAAACAACTCGGGAGCTTGCAGCGCCGTTTGTCTGCGACCATACAACCATTCTCGGCCATTTGCACGCAATTGGTAAGACGAATCAGTGTGGAAAATCGGTGCCACATCAGCTCAGCGACGCAAACAAGGCAGCTCGAGCTACAATGGCCGGAATTCTCGTCCGCCACGCAAAGACGGCCGGTTTTCTCGACTCCATTGTTACGGCAGATGAAAAGTGGATATGTTACGACAACACAACGAGAAAACGGCAGTGGTTGGACGCCGGTGAACCGCCAAAACCGACTCCCAAACCGAATATCCACGGAAAAAAGGTGATGCTTTGTATTTGGTGGAACAGCAAAGGTCTCGTGTATTTTGAGGTGCTGGATTCGGGTCAAAGAGTCATGGCGGATCTCTACAAAGCCCAATTGAGCCGCGTGGACCAGCCATTGCGTCGTCAAGGCAATAACACGGCGACTTACAAAATTCCTCCACGATAACGCTCGACCCCACACCGCGAAGATCACTCAGCAGAAAATCGAGGAATTGGGCTGTGAAGTTCTGCCTCGTCCGCCATATAGCCCGGACTTGGCCCCATCCGACTATCACTTGTTTCGGTCGATGCAGCACTCTTTAGCAGAAAAAAAAATTCAAAAACCGCGAAGAAGTTGAAATCTGGGTGTCCAACTTCTTCGAGTCGCAGTTGCCCGAGTTCTTCGAAAAAGGCATCCATTCTCTGCGTGGAAGATGGCAAAGAGTCATTGATAATGATGGCGAATATCTTTTGGATTGAGGTTCTGTATTAGGATTTTTATCATAATTTTTGTTTATGGTTCCAACGGAAGTTTCATCTGCACCAACCTAATACTTTGGGCAGTTCATTTTCTTTAGTTATCAATATTCATCAAGAAATCTATCGAATGAAGTATCACTCATCCCAAACGTTTCGTAAATTATATGTCAATTTTCAGTGAACAGTACACGGCGAAAGTTTGAGTGCTAGGCCCTTCTGAAACTTTTTGGAAGGTCAGCAACTTTTACGCGGCCGTTAACTACCTCCTATGGCCTAATGGTTAGCGCTGTGAAGTCTCGCGAAATCGAACCCGGGTTTGAGTCCGTTGGCCGAGAAAATCTTTTGCATAAATCGAAAAATAGCCATTAAACTATTTTACAAGCTTAGATCAAGCTATTGGGTCAAAAGTCAGAAACTCAAACACTCTACTAACTATTGAAATGGCGAAATGGAAGCGGATTTGGCTCGAGACTTTGCTAGGTTTAACAATTCTTTCTAGGGAATAACCTCTTTTAAAGTTCAAATTTTTGCATTACACACCAGTAAGGAAAAGGTTTTATTACCGGAAAAGATCTTACTACCGTAACCTGGTAAAGGGTAAAACTACAGTAAAGTTTATCAAAAACAATTTCAAAATCTGATCAAAAGCTTGAGAAAGAGAAAAAGAAAAAAGAAAAAAAGAGAAAAAAACATCTTCCCAACCAAAGCCACCATAACCTTGAAATGACTTTTTTGTGACAAAAAAACAGAGTGATTTGTGATGGATCGCTAGGTCATTTAGCCAGCCCCATTCTCACTCTCATCAACAGAAATGAGAAGCAGTCGTTCTTGGGACCCAAACAAAATCTCTGCGGTAGGTTTTGCAAAGCAAAAATTGATCAACGGTCAACAAATTGATCAACGGTCAACAAATTGATCAACGGTCAACAAATTGATCAACGCTCAGGCACTATTTGGCACACAAGAAGTGAATTTGTTGAAGTGAAAGTGGAAAAAATCACACAAAAAGTGAATTTATTTAGAATTCACAATATGCATTTCATTCTATCCACTTATCTAAATCATTCACCATCTTTGATTCCACGAAAAACTCGTGTGAGATTAAACCCGGGTTCGAGTCCGCTGGTCGTCGTCGTCAAACGTCGAAACGTCGAAACGTCGTCGAAATCGAAACGTCGAAACTATTTTGATTTCAATTCGGAGATTCGTTCTTGAGAGGAAAAATTAAGTTCTCAAAGAAACGATGACCATATCTCGATTTCTCTCAAATGATCTCAAACAGTTGTTTGTCAAATCGGTGCTTTGTTTAAAGTAAAGATTCTTTTTTGCGATTCACTGCATTTGTTGGCGATCCTGGAAATGTCAAAACTTTTTCCACTTTTGATAAATTGCAGAAGGTACAAGAGAGCACAAAGTGAACTTTTCACTTTTTCACTGCATTCCTCCATCATCTAGTTTAATGAAAACTGGTTAAGCTGGTTAAGCTCATTAAGACAACTGGTTAAGCTGGTTAAGCTCGTTAAGACAACTGGTTAAGCTGGTTAAGCTGGTTAAGACAACTGGTTAAGTTGGTTAAGCTGGTTAAGACAACTGGTTGGAAACAACTGGTTAAGCTGGTTAAGCTGGTTAAGACAACTGGTTAAGCCAACGAAATCCTATCCAACCTATACCATTTTATTTGAAAAGATTTGAAAAACTTCAATTATATGGGAATTGAGAACCGTCATCTGTATTGACAAGGGAAAATCAACTGGTTAAGCCAAACAAAATCCTATCCAACCTATTCAATTCTACGCGGATTCTAATGCTGATTCCAAATCTGTATTCCTTTTTTGCTAGCTGACAAGCTGCAAAGAGTTCTCAGCGTCTAAAGTTTTGTTAGGACTCTGAAAATTTGATCATTTGGATCTTCACAGCTTCCTTCACAGCTTCACGGCTTCACAGCTTAATCGACTCAATTTGGTGCAGCCGTGGATCGAACTTGTGAAGTTCTGATCTGGAAACGAACGCTGTAACACTCGGCTGAATCAAATTGAGTCCATTAAGCTGTGAAGACCCAAATGACCACATTTTCAGAGTCCTAACAAAACTTTAGACGCTGAGAACTCTCTGCAGATTGTCATTTAGCAAAAACGGAATACAGATCCCGAATCAGCATTAAAATCTGCGTAGAATTGATAGGCTGGATAGGATTTGGCCGGCTCAGTCAGCTGATTTTCTCATCGCAATCCATAGGACGATTTAATTACTCATATCGCATATAATTGGCCTTTCTTTCTTCAAATCTCTCAAAACTGTACGTACGACAAGATTCGACATTCCTCATAAAGCAAATGAACAAAATTGTTTACGATATTTGAAGGATTTGCTGGGATTAATCTCATAATCCGTTTATCCATTAGAATTTTCGTTTCCAATTTCGTTTTTAACCATGTGAAAAACGGATTAACTATAGAAGAAAAAGCTCTTTTCTAATTTCTCAAGGTTTCAAGTGCCATTTTTGGATTGAAATTTAGTTTCTTTCTTCAAGAGTTTTCTACTTTTCAATCAACCATTGAATAAGGATTAATGAGTCGAAATTTTTTGCGCAAATTCGACTAATCATTCTAATAGAGCTTTGTTAAAAAATGAGATTGTTGTTTTTTTTAAATTCCTACAAATCGTGCAAATCGATGAACTATAGAAGAACGAAATCCGGCAATTGAAAGACTCTAGAATCCGAATTCAGCTTTAAATTTTTGACCAACAAACTTCATATAGTTTATTTTTATATTTTACATTATTTTATATGTGTGAATTTCTTGTAGTTAACTTTACGACAAATGTCTGCAATTAAGCTGGAAAGAAAATGCCTCGAAAGGGTTAACTGGAATTGATTTAAAAAACGAATCCACCAAATAAAAAGAATACAATACAAATGTTTAGTTAAACTCTTTGCTTTGTGGTTTTTTTTGGTGCCTCAAATTGAATTCATCACTATAGAATTTGGGTAGAGCTTTTGAAGAAAATCGACGACGAATTTCCAATTGTTCTCCCCTATTTTCTATAGCTTTTAACTTCTAAAGCTCTTCAATTAGAATGGAAAGAAAGTTCTTGGGATTGGAAAGTTTCACTCGAATTGACTTGAATCGAATTGACTTGAATCGAATTGACTTGC